TTTTAGTTATAAGAGGATTTTTTACAGTTATAAGAGGATAATGTAATACTGTCACGTTTTGAAAAGCGTTTTTCGTACCGGATATTTTGTAGTTTATAATCTACGTAGGATAAAGTATAATGTTAGTTTTTCACATTTATCGTTCATGTAATAAATAATAAATAAATTTAGGTAGTTTGCTTTTTACTAAACTAGATGCATTTCAATGTTCCCTGTGCCAATACCCCAAGTTTAAATATCGTTCAATATTTTGGACATTAACTTAATCCTCTTTCTGGTTACTAAACTTTTTAGATACGGTTTTTTGTTGTTAATAATAAAAATAATACCTATCTAAAAACTTTATATATTTTTGAACGTTATTTTTTACGTTTTACGTTTTATTTAAATTTACTGAAATTCTGTTATCTGTAATGGCAACAACGAATTGATTCACGAACCATTGTGTCCAGTTTGAACACAGGTTTACATTGGGCAAAAAAAGTGTACCAGTTTTATATGACGGGAAGTGTACAAATCAATGACTGAATTAGGAGTATGTATATTTAGACAATATTCTTTACAGATTAATGGATACTTTACGCTATTTAGGCACAAGGGAAACATTAAAAATTTTAAGCTACTACACGAGAATTGCACATAATACACTTAATGTAATAATAAAGGAAGTAATAACTGCAACCATAAAAAAATTAGACAAAGAATACTTAAGGGTTTGTATTTATCTATATAAAATGCAGAAACTAGATGTTTGAATTTGCTCAATTCAAATTGTTCTTTTTGCAGGCATCACAAACAGAAGAAGAATGGCAGAAAATTAGCAAGTCGTGACGTCATTGGAGAGTTTCTCCCTACTCTAATCTATGAGTTACACGTTCGAAATGTCAGTTTTTTGTATGTGTCAATAAATAATCTTTAATAAATAGTTTGGAAATATCCTTATGTGTACAATTATTGTAATTATTGAACTTCTTACTTATTTTCGTCCAGTAATTTCATCACAGAATGCATACAAATCCCATTTAACTTCAACAAGAATTCAAATTCTACTCTCCAATGACGGCATGCGCGAACACGACCGATCACAGATTATAAGACAAGAAGATCGCCAACCTCAATGTTAAAAATTGCCGATACGATTTACAGCGCCCTCTACGGTAGAATTCTACACTACATGCTAATAACTTTGTAACTTACCTTAACGAAGGCCAAAAAAAAGAAGACAGAAATCTGTTAATGAGAAGCGGGAAATTCAAATTTATATGACGCGGGAAATTCAAAATTATTGTAGGAATTCTCTATAATTTAAAGGTACACTGTCAAGATAAATTGTAAAAATAAAAATATATCCGTCTAACGTTTCAATCGATCACATTTTTAACAATACAAGTGTGTTGGTCGTGTTTGAAGTTAAATTCGTTAAAAATTGTTTAGAAATGGAATAAACCGAAACGTTCCGATGCAAAGAATTTTATTTTTACCACCATCTTGAACAAGTCCTATTAAATTATAGGAATTAGAATTTAATGGTTATAAAACAAACCATTATTGCTGTAATTCATTTCACACATTTGCATAACATAATTTTAACAATGAGTAAATAAATCATAAAAATTCTATTTGGCAAATGTGAAGTTCATAGTTCATATGACAGAAGAAAGATAGAATAAGGTTGAATCTCACTCAAGCTAGGAAAAAAATAAAAATGTTCTATATAGTACAAGTGTTTTATTTATGGTGGTGGTGGAGATATAAAAACATAAAATACAAATAACAATGTCCAAAGAAAAATAACAATTTTAACTATAGTAATACAAACGTGAAAATATCAAAATTTATCTGACTCATTATTAACATACACAATATCATTATTGAAAAGAATATACATAGGTTATTGAAGAAGACTTATACATACATTTATATTTGCATAGGATGACACATATATTATATCGTCTTTGGATTTGGATCACAACACAGATTATAAGACAAGAATCACATTTATCACAATAAAAACGAGATTTGAATATTCAACAATCCGTTGGATGACATGCGGATGACAGATTACACTGTTTGTGTTTTTAAAAAATTACAGGTCACCAACCATCAATCATTACCTGGAGTGACATCTGTGCTAGAAAATATTACTAAACACGTTGTCGTTGACAAGACTATTCAAGTTAACCCCTCCTGCGACCGATTTTGGTCTACGGGAAGATCCTATCTTGTTATTCATAGTATCATGGATTTAATAGCAAATGGCAGTTTCCACATTGTGTAGGAGCAATGGATGGAAAACATGTGAAATATCGCCCTCTCATAAAGGATGGGACATACTATAGAAATTATAAAGGAACTGACAGAATTGTACTTTTTGCTGTAGTAGATGCAAATGTCGATTTATTATTGTAGACATAGGAAGAAATGCTCGTATTAGTGATGGAGGTGTATTTCAAAGGAGTGCTTTGTCTGCATCTTTGAGAAACCAAAGCCTTCAATTACCTCCTGCAACATTTTTATCAGGGAGTGATAAACCAATTCCTCATGTGTTTGTACGAGATGATGTAGTTCCTTTAAAAGAAAATATAATGAAACCCTATAGGTCTCATAATTTAACCAATGGACAAAGAATTTATTATAGAGTTTGCCGTGCTAGAAGAAATGTAGAGAATAGTTTTGGTGTTCTTTGTAATATATTTCGTATCTTAATATAAACAATGAATGTCAATGTTGAAAAAGTTTGTATAATTACAAAAGTATGTTCCATTTTATACGACCACCTTTTAAAAACCTCTTCGATATATTCGAAAAACCAGGATGAAGATTTATTGAGTAAAATGCAGGACATTAGTAGGCAAGCTGGAAATCGTTGTACTACAAATGCTAAAGATGTCAGAATAGAATTTCAGGATTTTTTTAATAGCAATGGTGCAGTGAGCTGGCAGCAATCGGTTGTAAACAATTTTAAAACATAAATTATTTTACTGATTTTTAATGTAAGTCTTAGTTTATTCTTATTTAATAAAAATAGTTCAAACTCAGACAGGCTTTTATTTTGTGCATTCAAGTATTTACACTTATTAATAATTAGTTTTAATAATTTTAAAATAATTAAAAATAAAACAAGTGCTATAACACAATAATATGATGTGTTGTCTTCTTAAACTTGATATCAGGTAAATAATACTTCTTATTAACAATATTATTTCCCACCGCCAATGGCACAACCCCAGGGGACTACCTACAGTTTTTAAATCAACAGATGCGAGGTTTATCCACACAAATGCAACCAATTATACCACAATATTTATTTCAGCTAAATCCTTCACTAACCAAATCCTATTATATCAAACGTGACAAGCATTCCAATACGAACTAACTAATGAATATGAACTAATAATCAACCTAAAACTCTGCCTCTGAAACAAAATGGGAGACAATAACAAACAAAAACGAAGAGAGTCCTGATGAGGAAAAATGTAGAAAACGAACAGGTTGTGATGATTGCTAAAGCCACTGAACATAAATAGCTCGTTTAGCGTGCTCATTGAAGAGAGCAAAGAAGGAAATGATCAACAAAATAATTTAAAAATATATCTAAGCCACCACCGGCAAGCATATATAATGTAGTTGTAGTACAACACCTTAATCATAGTGTTAGAAAAAACACATTCAGTAACTACAAAACAAATCACAATACATACTCAAAACCATCAACTTATCAACTATGAACCATTAAAGGCTAAGTCTTTATAGCAGAACACTTTAAAATATTTATTAGTGAACTTGACAAAAAGAATGCAATATCAAGTTCAGACTCAAAAGCAAAAAAACTTCAGATTTGTCTTAAAAGGTCTGTACCATGAAACATAATATTGAGGATATAAAGAAAAACCTTGCAGCTCAAGTCCATGAAGCAGTAAACATACACAACATAAAAAATTCCGTTACCAATGTTTTACATTGACATCATAGAGAAGAAAAATAACATCAAAGAAGTATAAAAAATCTAGGAAACAGTATCGTCAAATGTGAACCTACCTCATACCAGAAGAATAATCCAATAATGTATAAGATTACGGACACACAACAACCTACCGTCATAAAGAATTCAAATGTGTAAAATGTACAGGCAAACATGAATCTAAAGAATGTCCCCGAAAATCATGTGATGATAAAGTCTTCTTCTTCAAGTGCCATCTCCGCGGCGGAGGTCGGCAATCATCATAACTATTCAGACTTTTGAGACGTCTGCTCTGAAAAGTTCATTTGATATACATCCCTTCTTTCAGGTTATGCAGCTTCTCTTTCCTTGAATCTTTCCCTGCATAATCAGTTAGAGCAAGGTGTATTTCTCTCCACGTGTAATATGTCCGATATATTCCAATTTTCTTATTTTAATTGTATTTAAAATTTCTACTTCTTTGTTTGTGACGTGTTCTGTCCACGATATTTTCAGAACTCTTCTATACACCCACATATAAAGTAAAATATATCAATTGCAATGGGTGACACCCCAGCCAGCTATGAACGCATGAAATCTTTATTAAACTAGGAATATTTTAAAATTGCTACAATAAGTAATACATTATATGGATGTTAACATAATATGAATGTTAATATTAAAATATTAGAAACATTTACAAACACTTCACAAAATTAATAAAAATCTAATAAAAAAGCTAATCCTAAAATAAAAAAAACACATTTTATATAAAATCTGTTATATAAGATAAAATCATATAATTAACATAGTCAATGAGTTTTTATCTTAAAAATAAAAAGACAGGATACCAAGTCCATAAACAACTGCAGCAGAAACTATATCGTACCTTAAAGTGAGAAAATAAACATGCTACCACATCCTCAAATTAATATGACAAAATATACATCAACTACTATCTTCACAGTTTGAATAGTTCTTTGATTATCTTTTTAATATAGCATTTCTACATTCCCTTTGGCTTTGTGTCGTAAGACTCATAATCTCACTTGCGACAAATTCACCAAATTGTCAAGGAGTCCTCACTAGAAGATTGGCTTAATTTTAAAATAGCCTTAAAGAGTTCTCTCAGTGATTCTTCTGCTGGTTCCAGTTTTTGTCTACTTGAAGACAAATAAATGTTTCGTTCATAATCTGATAAGCGTTTATTAAGTCTTTTTAATTGTGGGGTTCGTAATTCTGCACTTTCCACATCACTAATGAACGACTCTTCAAATTCATTTTTCTGGGTCACATTTATGTCTTCGTCACCCAACTAAAAAAGCAAAAGTAGGAAGTGATTAAGTGGTTTACCTACATCAGGTGAGTATTTTTTTATTATTACTTATTATTCATATATCGTATTTTTGACTGATTTTGATTATTTATTATACAGGTGATTATTACCTACATCTTTACTTACATTTGCATTTATTAACACAGTTTCAATGCCACTTGTTTCTTCACTATTGCAATTGCTTTCCCTATCCGTAAATTGATCCCGAAAAAACAAAAGATCCTCAAAACACAACAATGAGATTTTTACTGAATCACGGCCTGAACCACTTAGTGTTTTGCGAATTATGCTTTGTTAATTCCTTATTGAACTGCGTTCTTAAAGAATTAATTTTTTGCTTGATATCCTCAACTACAAACAAAGTTTAATCATTAAGAAGTGCATGATCACTAATCAATGAGTGGCTCAGAGCCAGATGTGCCTATTCAACATATTTGAAATTTTTAAGTTCAGTGCACCTCTGCAAATTATATTTTTTTATAAACAAAAACTACACATGCCTATACTTCAAATAAATTTGAACATGTGTTGCCATCTATTAAAAATATTGCAAAACACGAATGTCACTTTCGTTAACCGCCAGACGTGCCTATACAGCATTCAAGATGGCCGACCCGTTGAGTGATGTTGATTCTTTTTCCGATTTTCATGGGATTTTCATGAAGAAGAAGAGGAGTATAAGCCTAGTGAAAGTGATAGTGAGACAACAGGTATGTACTTTGTAAGAGAAAATGATTTTTAAATAATATTTATTTAATATATTATATGTTGTATACGCTATTCTGGCTCTAGGTTATCATGATTTTTTTGAATAATTAGAAATTTAGAAGAAACGACCATTTGACGTCCAACACTCGAAAACTGAAAACTTCCTAAGTTGTCCAAAAAGTTCAAAAGTGCAAAAAGTTATGAAGGAGAAACAACATGTTTCAGATAAAGGTAAGACTGTTCGTCCAAAAGTATGCAAACCAGGAAGTTGCTGTAGAACTTGCCATCTAAGTTGCTCGGACAGAGTAAGTGAATATCGTCAACAGCAAATATTTCAATACTTTTATTAGCTAGATTGGATATCCAAAGATGCTTTTCTTTCTGGTCAAATTACTGTTGAACCTGCAAAAAGAAAATATACAAAGAAGGAAACATCAAGAAAACAGAAGACGAGAAGTTACAGATTTACAAGATGAAAGTGTACCAATGAGATGGATACATATCTAGCACAGATTTAAGAGGAATAGACAGAGTAATACTTTTTTTTCCAATTCAAAATATTTTTCTATTATTCCTATTTATTTCTATTATTTCGCACTATTTGTTAGTGCGAAAAGGGCCTATACAACATTTTTTCCTTTTTTCTTTAAAAATAAAGCTAATTTTGAAATATTCTTTTTGCTTTATTCTAACTTAATTATTTTAGTTTCTCCTATACAAAAACGCCAAAATGTAGTTATGTTACTTTATTTAGAAATTTATATAACCGATTAACTTTACTCCCAATTATCTTAAAATAGTGAATTTGTGATATAGTCACCTCTCGTTCTGAGCCACTCAAATATTAGCTTACCTGCAGTATTTGGCCGTATATCATTTAGTTTCAAAGAAATTTCCGCCAAGCATTGCTGACGAGCACATTTTTTATAATAGTGAGGATGTTTCACATTATACAAATTGCTCCTCTCTATATATAAATCTATTAAAGCCGAAACTTGCTCCTGGCTCTAAGACATTTTTATTCACACAGCAAATAGCAAAATAGAAAAATAAACACAAACCACACACTATCAACAAAAGAAAAATAAATTTCAAATTTCATGAATTTATGTGCTATGTCAATGACGTATAATATATAGACTGAGCAGTCCCGTATTCTCGCTATATAATAGGGTGTCCGAAAGATCTCCGCTCAAGGTTGAAGGTATGTTTACCTGAACAGCGGCGTGTTTATTTATAATTTAGTGACAATAGTTATTTTTTTAATTAAAATTGAATATTTATGATTTTTTTTGTTCCCGTTTATAAGAGATAAAATTATTTTTATAAAATAGCATGACATTTTACTAAAATAGTAAGTAAATAATTCTCAATAATTTAAAATAAAATTTGCTTCTCACATAAAATATGTACACACAAAATGGCGGAAATGTTTTCAAACACAAGATCAACTTCGTGATGCTTCGTAAGAAATCATGAACTTCGTGCATCTTCGTATCAAAACTATAAACAACAACAAAGGTATTTATATTGTGGACACTTTTTAAAGCGTTCACCGAGTCTAATGTCTTGATTGTCTTTATGATATTTTGCGACCAATCAAAATTAAAGTTTAATCAAACTTACCTTGAAAAATAGAATTCCTTTATTTTTAGAGGATTTGATCAAACTCAGGATGTGACGTCACATGCTGTCAATTTTTTGGTTTAGTTAAACTAGTTTGATCAAATATTTGACCGTCTGACACGGACTTAAGGATATTTGTAAGTTTATCGAAATATCTGCATGAAAGAGGAAAGTCAGCATGGGATTTAAAATGTTGATAAGACTGTGGCGCACCCAGGGGGTTTTGGGGATTAAAATATAAAGGGGGCATATAAAGTAAAAAATATATAAAGAATAGTAGACAAAAAATCAAAAACGCTAATTGAATAATTAAATTACCACTTTTAATATGTAGAACACAATAAGTATTGTATAAATACACAATAATTAATAATATTTTTCATTATATGGGGCGGTGAAAGGAAAAGTGGTGTAAGTCATCTGAGCATCATTTTGAGATATAAAAGGTTTTACTAGAAACGTTGTAATTAAATCTGTGAAACATTTATGAACATGCTTGTGATATTTTTTTATTTACTAAGAACATGTTCAACTCTATTAACATTTCTGTAAAAATAAAACTATGTTAAGGGTAGTTTTTAAGGGTTGAAATGACTTACACCACTTTTCCTTTAAGAGTTTAAAGAGAATGTAAAGAAAGCAAAACATGTTTATTGTTTTTACATTATAAAATCAAATATAAATTCACTAATTTATTAGTCATTGTTTTCTTCTACATCAGGAAGTGGTCCAGCTTCGTCATTGACTTCATCAGATGATATAAGATTTCTAAAATAAGAATGGTGGACTGGAGGAATGTATGGTAGTAAATACATATCCCGTTTTTTAGCTGGCATTACTGGTCGAGGTGCTGTGTACAGGCAATCCAGTTGAAGATTTTTCAACAATGTTGGTCTTTGAACTAATCGTAACAAGGCCAAGGCAAAATTCCAGTTTCTATTTTGGCCGGTGCAGCTGTCACTGTACAATACAACATGCTTTAAATTTGCTGCACGTAATTCTATGGGCTTTGTGACACAGGCACTGATTTCCTGAGATCCTCTCGACGCTGTTGTTTTATCCCATCCATACATGTAGCCTAAGCCAGTTGATAGCTCATGGCAGCCCAAATTGTAAATGTACATATTACATTTATAGTATGCGATAGATGTGGTTAGTTTTGGGAAAGGTAGGGCTTTCTCTAAGTCAAACGTGAATGCATAGTAAGAATCGTCAGTCTGGGCCTTTTCTGTATCCTTTTTCATAGAAGTACGTGCCAGCTCGGCCTTCCTAAGATGGAGTTCGTGCTCAACTTCAATCTGTTTTATCTCATTAGCATCTGTTGCTGCAGCTTTTTTTAATTTGTAAGCATCACACTTAGAGCACGTATCTTTTTGTGATACATGAAAATGAAGGTTGTACTCATTATTGAATGTACGACGATAAATATCACTGGAAACGGGGACAATAACTTGTTCCTGACAGTACACACTGTACAAACGATACAGCAGGGTAACATTAAGGTCAGAAGATAGATACCTACGATTGGGATTCTTATTCCTTGTGTAGTGCGATTGGTAAGATGGAAAATTTTGAATATGTTTCCGGACACAGTTCATACGTTCTTCAGATATTTTATTAGTTGGTATACCATGGCCTCGATTATCTGAACCAGGTGGTTCCGCTTGTTTTATCTTATTAATGGCCCGTGACATTTGGCCATCAGATATCTGAAAGGTTCCAAGAAAGTATTTTTTACATACTTTCGTGGTTTCGCCTTGTTTTTAAATGAAATATTGGTTAGACACTGTCTTACCAGGTAGTGACTGATTCCTAGGACGTTTTATTTTAGGTTTCTTTTGTTTGATCAAACCACAAATAAAAGCATTATGTGCTGTAAATGATTTCAATTTCCAGAATGAATCAAATGCTTTTTTTCTGTCTTCACGTGACATAGTTTCAAAACATTTTTTATTGCAAAAACAGTTGTTGTTTGAAAAAGTTTTACCTGCCACTACTTTTCCTTTTGTTGTCTTATACTCACAACCTGAGTTGCGAAGTCGCTTTATTTTTTCTTTTTTATTTTCATGCCTCTGTCGTTTTCGTGCTCTATTGGGTTGTTGAACTTCTACTTCTCGAATACTTTCGCTTTCATGGTCTTGCAGAGGGACTTCCTCATTTGATTCACAGTCTGAAACAAACCAACTTTATTAAAATAACACTCAAAAACGTTGTTCTATTTATACGAGTTTATTTATTGTTCGTGTAGAGAATTCGACATTTTGAGGTTAGTTTTTATTTTATACAAATAAATATAATACACAAGTTTAACTTACCAATACTTTCTTGTTGAGAATCAGAAGGTACCCACTCCTCATCTCCTGAGTAAGCGAAAATACTAGGCTCAACACTCACATCACTTAAACTGTCGTTATCCATTGTATTGAAAAATCACAACTACAAAATACTAAACAACTGTCATAGGAATGACGGAATAGTGGTGTAAGTCTGATTTGCACCACTATTCCCTCTACTACAATAGAGATTTTGTTTGACTGTCAAGTTTGTGCTGCTATCTGTGAGCAAATGGAAGACTTATGACTTACACCACTGTTGCGTCTGATAGATTTAAATATGGAGATTTTGAATATGCAATTATCTCTATTCTATAAAAAAAGTGACTTACACCACTTTTCCTTTCACCGCCTCATATTTAGATATAGATACCTAATATTAGGCTTATGACAAAAGTAGACAGAACGAGTCTGTTGCGAGTAGCATGCGCCTACAGGACTGTATGTGCAGCGGCCTTGTGGACTATCACGGGTTATGTTCTTCTGCATGTGTTAATAGTAGAAAAAAGACATCTCTATGAGAGAAGAGAGCATTTGACAACAGTTATAAAAAAATAAGAAAGGAAAAGATCAATAGAAAGATGGCAATAAGAATGGAACAACAAGAAAGATGTTGCCCAGTGGACCAAGATGCTGATCCCGAGCCTAAGGGACAGAATAGATTGTCTGTTTTAGGGCGTATCTTCATAGGATCAGAAAGACAGATACAGATAAATGCCCATACTGCGAATATTCCGATATTGTTACTCACACAATGCTGAAGTGTAATAGATGTCCAGTGGAGAGAAACAGAAAGTATAAAGAAATAGGTATGAACCCTGTGAGTGTAAGAGAGAGGATCGTGAAGATGACGGGAAGTACGGAGGGATGGAATAGTCTTCACAATTTCATCCTAGCAGTAATTAAAAGGAAAGAAAAAGAAGAGAAACACCAACCAGTCAAACGACAGAGATAAGATCTAAATATATTGAAGGTTAAAATAAATTTATTGGCGTTTGAATCTTTGATCTTGCACGGATAATTTTTTTATACTCCAACAATTAATAGAAAAAAGAACATCTAACCTTCATCGACCTATAAAACGCGTATGATACAGTTCCAAGACTTAAATTGTGGCAAGCTTTACAACAGCTCGACATTAGTCCATACCTTTGAAGAATAATCACAGAGGTATACAGGGATACCAGGATTCATGACATGAAAATATTACATGAGATGATGGTTAAACTATTTAATAAATGCTTAAAAGGACAAAATATCCCTGATGATTGGAATGTTGGATACATCAGCTCAATATACAAAAAAGGGGATAAACGCAATTGCTCTAATTATAGAGGAATAACTGTTACTAGCTCAGTTGGGAGGTTGTACGGTCGAATAATAAAAAAACGAATTGAATCAGAATATGAAGACATAGAGGAACAAAATGGATTTCGGGCAGGAAGATCGTGCATTGATAATATATTCGTTCTGCAGCAGGTAATCGAAAAACGGAAGGCAAGGAATCTATCTACCCACCTATTATTTGTAGATTTAGAGAAGGCATATGATACGGTACCTTTGAAAAAACTATTTTATACATTGACGAAAGTAGGTCTCAGTAGAGAGTATGTGGATGCTATCGCAAATATATACAAAAATGCAAGAAGTGTCGTTAAAGAAGGAAACTTTATATCTGAATCATTTCCAATAACCAAGGGGCTTAAACAAGGATGTTGTCTGTCTCCGACCATGTTTAAAATATATATTCAATCATCGCTAGAGCAGAGGAGAAAACAAGTATCCGGAATGGGAATAGACATAGGCGGTGGTGAATGTCTAACAGCTTTATTTTTCGCAGATGATCAGGTAGTCGTAGCGAATGACGAGGAAGACATGGACTACATGTTTAGAAAACTAAAGAAAGAATATGAAAAATGGGGCCTCAATATGAATATGGCAAAGACAGAGTATCTTAAAATAGGAGATGGTGAAGAAGATCCAGAGTTAGAAATTAGACACACAAAAACATGCAATGAATATAAATATCTCGGATCTATAATATCTAAAGAAGGCACTACCAAAAGAGACATCGAAAACAGAACACAGCAGGGAAAAAAAGTGGTAAACATTCTAAACTCTATACTTTGGTCTAAAGATATTAGACAAGAAACGAAATTGACAATCTATCGAACCTTGGTAGAGCCTATTATGACTTATGGGGCAGAGGTTTGGCAGATAACGCAGAAGGATAGAAAAAGAATAGAAGTAGTAGAAATGGATTTTCTAAGGAGAGCGTGTGGTATATCCAAAAAAGATCACATCAGGAATGAAGATATTAGAAGGAGGACAAATACTGTATATTCCAGTGTAGATAGAATTGAAACGAGACAACTAGTGTGGTACGGTCACGTGAAACGAATGAATGAAGATAGATGGCCAAAGAAAGCTTTAAATTACATACCACAACAAAAAAGAAGAAGGGGAAGGCCTTCAGTTGCCTGGGAAGAAAATGTACGGCACATAATGAGAGATAGAGCCATCAGAGAAGACGAATGGATGGACAGAAAACGATGGCGGTCGAAATGCGAGAAACGGCAGAGGCTGTAGGAACCTCGCTTATATATATATATATATATATATATATATATATATATATATATATATATATATATATATATATATACAGGGATAACAATACTTACCTAAAAATCGGAAATAGACTATCAGAGCCAATAAAATTAACTAAAGGACTAAAACAAGGATGTAGTATGTCACCCTTACTGTTTAATTTATATATTGAGGCAGCCCTCCAAAATTGGAAAAATCACTGCCAGGTAATGAAAATCCCCATAGGAAATGACGTACTATTGTTCAACTTTGCGGATGACCAAGTCCTCCTAACTCAAGATTCTTATGATCTAGAATTTATGATAAAGCGTCTATACAGAGAATATATAAAATGGGGGTTAACAGTCAGCATGAAGAAAACAGAATACTTATCAATCCAGATGCAAGGTTTGAAGTGTTGATAGAAGAGGACGTGTAAATCAAACGTGAAAAAATTTAAATATTTAGGTGTACTCATTGCTAAGAACGGCTTGGGAGAAAGGGAAATTAATCACCGAATTAATCAAGGACATAAAATTGTAGGATATCTAAACTCCTTGTGGTGGGATCGCAACATTTCCAAAAGGAACAAAAAAAGAATAGGGCAAACCATGGTTGAATCCGTTCTTCGTTATGGCTCTGAACTGTGGATAATTAATGCGACCTGAAGAGAAGAATGTTGGCACTTGAAATGAATTGTATAAGAAGAACATCACATTGTGCTAGAACAACAAGGCAGGAACGGAAGACCAACGAATCTATACGAAATAACATGAATGCTACAGAAACGCTCATTGACATAATAGAAAGAAGAGGTTCAAAATGGTTTGGACACATTGAGAATGCTTGACGAACGTTGACCCCAAAAACTTCACAAATGGAAGCCCCCTGGAAGAAGAAAAAGAGGTAGACCTTGACGCTCATGAAATAAAGAAATTAGAAGAGCGATGGAATCGAGAGGTTTGGAGGAGGAGCATTGCCTTGGACCGGGAGGATTGGCGGAAGAGAATGGGAATACAGCGATAGCAGTCTCCAAAATGTATTGTTGTAATGTAAACATAGCAAGGAAATAAAGAAAAAAAAATAAGGGATAGTAGCCTAGAAAAGAGTAATAATTATTTAAATAATTATTATATATTCCAAATTGAGTAAGGAACAAATAACTCGACCTAGTTTAAGTGTATTACACGAGTTCAATATCAGGTCGCCACAATTGTTTAAAAGAAAAAATCATGTTTAAAACATAGATCTTTGTTGAAAAATACCACCGCCGCCAAACCCGGTTAAGCACGAGGACTGAGTCAGCAAAAACTCGACATCGGTATTGCGACCGGTAATTGAGAATACGGGTTCATAAAAAACGAACGAAGTGGACCAGGGAGTCAGTAAGAACCGGACACCCGAAAGTGCTCCACGCCAGAAGCACGGGCGATCGGGGCGTAAGCAGCCAGTGAGCGCGCTATTGGAATTCGACGGGGTAGAGTACCGTATAAGTGCCGGTATCTGGTGTTTCGAAAATTCGTGATAGCACGCGGTACCTCAACAAACTGATCCTGAATTCCAGTAGGACTGAAGGGCGTATTCATTAGCTAGGGCCTAAATACGCGAAGGTAACTAAATCTATATACTAACCCAAGGAATATATAAAAACGTAGATTGTCCACCCTTTAATTTCTTGCTAAGATCTCTTCTCGTCTACCTTCGCGCCTGAACAAATCATTATTGGTTATAACTGACAGCTTATCTTAATTGTAGTATATAGTCTATTTAATACATTGTAAACTCGAAATTTGGTTTTATTGTTCCTCCCCGGCCGTTACAGGCAGAGACTAGAAGAGCACACATTTTCCGCTTATGCATTTCTCCGGCTTCTAAAGCAAGCCCATAGACTCAACTCTTTACAGGACCTGAGACCTAGAAGTCCTTAACCCCATTTTTTCCTAAATCTCCCTACCCTCCTGAACCCTTGAGGGCGAAACCAGTCAGTTCAGACTAGTGGGACCAGTAAATCTTGAATCCGCTCGCAGGGATAAGTATCCCCTAAGAATTGTAGACGAATCCAACGATTTGAGACAGGCGTCTTTTACAATGATGACAGCGGCATTTATTAGAATGGTGACAGTAGGGTTTCCGCGAATATTATAAACGGTTCTCCAAGTATTACAGTGGTGACCCCCCATCAAGTATTACATTGTATTTACAAGTTGGATTAATGTCAAACGTCAATAAACTTATTTTAACCTTCAATTGTGGCTTATTCCCATTAAAATAGTAAGTACTTTAAAATACCACAAGAAAATAGCTTCAGAACAATAGATAAGATCTAGATAAGAGAAGGGAGTGTTCCAAAAATGTCGTCAGTCTTACAGCGGCCACCCCACTTTCGGAGTACAGTACGTGCGACAGTCAACTGCGCACAAGTAAGAGAGGGTGGTTTTAGTTGGTAGGCAGGATAATAGATACCTGAACCTTTGGCACTGCTATCTTTAGTACTTTAAATTAAACTAAAACCCAAATTTAGTGACTCAAAATGGAGGTGGCATAAAAAAGATTCAAACCCCCCTCAGACAAATTCTGGGTGCGCCACTGTGGTAAGACAACAGATAAAACGATTGTTTTGCGGGCAAACGTTTTAGTATCTCATCTGATATTAAAGTGTAACGAAGTGTATAAAATCGATGTATAAATTCGAATATAAATGCGAATACTCTTATCCAATGTACAACTTCTCGATCGACGATGTGAAAAAAATCGAAGTCGTGTAATAAAAATTTATTGGTACTTAATAAATACATCCACTCAATGAAACTTTAAACAATGATTTATGTATTACTTGAAGAGGTAAATATTCTAATTAGACTACGTGCTCACAAGCTTTCAATCCCAATTTATAACATAATATATCAATATCAATTCATCAAAAAGTAAATGCAGTTTGTAACTTATACCTTTGAACCTAGATGGTTACACAAATATAGTTTGAGCTAGAAAGTCATTGCAACAGATTATTTGTACCTAGACGCTTACACAAATATAATTCAAACCAGGAAGTTATTGCAATAAAATTTAACAATTGATCCAATTCTACCAGAAGGTACATAACCTCGTCATTAAAGTATATTATAGGTATCTATTCCAATATACAGTGAAATTAGTGTGAGAAGGTTAATGCGAGATTACAAATTAAGGAGCATATAAATTGGAAATCGAATTCAGGATTCAGCTTAAATCTGTGCTTTCTAAACGTTGCAAAGCAAGCAAACGACAAATGTACTGGCATAAGGATTTCTAATTGTATCCACGTCATGCCAATCTATCCCATGGACGTATAAACACAGATGGAGTTATTTACATAAAATTGTGTAGTCAAAATTATTTAAATAGGTCACATTCTCAGCACCTTCAACTGTTGTCACGTTTTGTTTTAAAATTTCTTATTGAGGAAGTGAAAATATTACTCCGTATTTCATACTCTACAGGTGCTATCAAAAAAAAAAAAAATAATTTATTGGTTAGATTAATATATTTAATTGTAATCAAAATATCAAGTATGCACATAGTGTGCATTATCATTTAATAATAGCGTATAATAGATATCAATCAATTATTTTATATGTAGAAGCACTGAAAACTATTTATAAATAAAAACGGTTGTTTACATTTCTCTGTCTTATGGATCTACGTCAAACTTCAAATGCTGTTCCATGTTTGTTTACTTTTTACAGTAGATGAGGAAAAGTTGTTTTTCGATATTTTGGCTGTATTTTGAGTGATATTTGTGAAAAGTAAAATAAAATAAACGAAATATTTACATTCCGATCTCTCATTTCATTTGTAAGTACATACAATTTACATTATTTAAGATGAGGAAATAGGGAAGCGTGTTTGTTTACATTTTAATAGGCGTACCATTGGGTTTATTCATCTTCATTAATGTATTGAATAAGATATGAGTTCATGAAATTAGTAGACATTTTTAAATTGTAAGTAGACATCATCTGATTAAAAAAGATCTGTTTAGTACCTTTTTAATTTAATATTTCTCATGGATACAAATAAATTAGTGAAATGAATAAAACTCATTTATTTTTCTATGTAGGTTTCCAAATAATACTGACGATCGAACTATTTGCGTAGCAAATTAAGGCGAAAACAAAGATTTTTTATTGTAGCATTATTTTGATACCTATTAAAAAATTAACTTAAATTCAACTTTATTTAATTGTATTAATTTTAAAGCAAATAAAATTGTATTTTAATTTTTCTATAAAGACGTGATTTGTTAATAGTTAAACTCTCGTTTTTTAAAAATCTTTGTTTTTATACATTATTACTACTTCCAATTTTTAAAATCTGAATAATTACCCGCGAGTAAAAATTCAAGCACGTTTATGCTCATTGCGGAAGCATCACATTCTATCGAAGCTTTAAAACATTGTGTGTTAAAGGTATCTTATTGCTGTGTCCATCTATGTTTATACGTCCGTGATCTATCCGGACAGAAACCACTTCGTGAAATCGATTTCGATTTCCTAATACTCCATACTAGAGTAAAATAATAAAAATAAAATAGACGTTTTAGGTTTGATTTCGTTACATCGTACCACCATTCGCTGATATGCATATTTCAGCCTCTTGACTTCTTCAGAGCGAACTCATGGCAAACTCTGAAGAAGCCAATAGGCTAAAATATACATATCAGCGAATGGTGATACGCTGTAACGAAATGAGTTTCACGTTCGTTTTACGAAGTTTAACTTACATGATGTACTTATAAAATTTTTGCTTTGCCGTCTATGTTTTCCTGTTAGATTCCATGTAGTTTTCAACATGAATACCATAATTATCTTAACATTAGTATTTGATTAAGGCCTAGTAACAAATTACAGGTAAAAACAAAACCAAAGCACATAAGTATTTGCTGAACGTGATATACTTTCAGTACACACAGTCTTTATTTAAATCTATAATGTTTAATATTTTTTGTCACATAGAAATAAACAATAAATGTCACATAGAAAAAAATTACACAGCTAAAATAATTTTCTAAATATGCATATTTCGCCTTATCTACTTCTTCTTAGTTTCCTGAAAGAAAAAAATATATTATTAACCATTAAAAACATCTAATATAAATCAAATAAGAAAGTATTGTGATTGGTGCAAGTAGAAATCAATTTATACCATTTTCTCCTAAACTGGCAGCAATAGCAAAAACTACTAAAATATTGCTGAGAGTTCAGCTTTAAAATGTGCCGAGGGGTACATAAACTAGTTTTGACAATTATATAACCTGACACACTGTCAAATCCTATTTCCTTTAGCTCAATTACATGAAGAATAAAAAAGAGTTACAGGGAGCCAGGTACCTTTTACCTTCTTTCAATTGGTACTTCTGTGTACTCAAAAGTACATTTAAATTTTTATATTATTATTTATTACTTATTCTTACAATATTTTTTTATTATTTATGGCTCCCAAACTTCTTAATATAATATCTGATTTTTGTGGTTTTCTGGGTTTTTTAGAAAAACCATGTTTTCGACGACGTATCTAATGCCAATACAGTTTTGTAATGATTAGTAAGTCACCATCGGTTTATGGATAAACTCTTGAATGAAGAAGAGTCATTTGACGATGATGATGAATTTCTCAAAAATTAAAGTGAATAAAAATCTGGACAGTGTCCCTACAAAAGAGAATGTGTTTGATCAAGTAGTTATGAGCGGATTCCTTATTTTCTTACCAAGGGGGACGAATTGGGTAGTAAAGGTAATAAAACCCCACAAAAACATCTACAAGGGTTCAAAACATAATTATTTTGAGCTACATGAATACATTCATCTCAAAATGAAAAACAACTCTTAGGAATGCTGGAAATGTTAAATGTGAACTGTTAGTAAAAATTACATGTTATTTATGTATAAATCGTACGATAGCATAACACATAGAGTCGATGTGGTAGACAAGTTATGTTTCACCTATAATCGCGAAACACAAAACGCTGGCCAGTGGTTGGTGTTTACAGTATTTTAAATATAGCTAAAAGAAACAATAATATATGAGAGAACATCCTTCTAAACCTTTTTTAAGACAAAAAAAATTGACCACGATGTGCCACAAAGCTCGGACCTAGGCCCGCTACTCTAGAATGTACTGTAAACGTTAAATATAGGCTCATAACGGATAGGGTAAACACAGCCCTTGAACTAGTTAGGATGTGGCTAGAGAAGAAAGAACCGACGCTAACCACAGAAGGAGGTCATAATCTTTAAAAGCCCAAGAAACACCAAACAGAGCTTCGGTAACAAAGATCATGAAAAACGTATAAGATCCAGGGACAGGTAGAAGAATTCTTATGGAGGTGGTCCACTCCACCATACTATACGCAGCACCCGTATCGCTGAAGGTAATGCATAACAAAAATACACAAGAATTCTAGAAAAATCTCAGAGAAATGTCCTGTTGAGGGTCGTCTGTATACAGGGTGATTGATTAGTGTGAGGAAGCTCAGTAGATCTGTTATAGTAAAAATTACAAAAAAAAGTTATTAACAAAAATTGTAGGCAGCTTTAAACTCCATATTTTAAAATTAGTTACAATCCTACAGGGTGTTCCATAAGATGGTGGCAGACCAAACTTATGTTTTTTTTAAATGAAACACCCTGTATTTTATTTTAAATTTGAAATCTGCTTCACTTCCACATTACAACAATGTAAAGTTTTATTATGTTATACCGGGTATTTAAAAAGTTATAACCAATATTACCTGAAAATCGTATCAAGTTTAACTCCCTGTATAATTAAAAAGGATTGTAGGAACATTGATCTATTGCAACCATAGTTTTTTAATAATTGTTAAAAACTATAAAACATATTCATTTTCATAATATTCATTAAATCAAATACAGGGTAAGTCAAAATGCAAGTACATTATTTTCTTAGTAATTTTAAATAGAACACCCTGTATTTTATATCACTATCGAAAAGAACTAATATCGTACTTCATATTTTATAAAGTACTCCCTATACCTAAAGTTATTAGTTTTAAAGATATTTTTATTTTTCCATCAAAGTATTAATTTGGTAGATATTTTAACGTTTACCAATAATTATTGTGAGTTGGCCATGATTGATTTGTCAGAAACTGACAGTTTGACATTAATATTTATTAATTCAGTATTGGGGTACACTGTAAATTAGCAACAATTATTATTTAGTAATTCAGTAATTGATTCAATTTAAATTAGCAATAATGAATTTTACTACTGATGAAATGGTAGATATGATCTGGATATTGGGGGAATGCAATAAAAATTCATTACTATCAGCTAGAATTTATCAAGAACGGTTTCCAGATAGGCGACAACCTAGACAAGATACATCTGAAAAATTGAAAGATCGATTTAACCGCACTGGTTCAGTGAATTATGAAAAACATGAACGAACAAAAACTAGTGTGACAGAGGAAAACGAAATGAGTGTGTTGATGGCGGTTACAGAAAACCCACACACAAGCATAAGGACTATTTCCAATGAACAAGAACTTAGTTACTACTCTGTTAAAAACATTCTATCTAAAAACAAGATGCACCCTTATCATATTCAAAAGCACCAAGAATTAATTAATGATGATTTTCAGAAACGAATAGTATTTTGTGAATGGGCCTTAGAAAAAATTAATGAGCAGAGAGATTTTTTTGATTATGTCCTATTTGATTATGTCCTATTTGGTGATGAAGCTACATTCCATCGAAACGGTTCTTTTAATAGGCATAACTTTCACTACTACTCAACAAGTAATCCATACCACATAGTAACACATAGTCAAACAAGATGGTCTCTAAATGTGTGGGGAGGTATCGTCGGTAACCATGTAGTAGGACCATATTTTTTTGAAGATAATTTAAATGGTGAGATTTATTTAGATTTTATCGTAAATCAGTTACCGATATTATTAGAAGAGGTTCCACTTAATATACGTGAAAAAATGTGGTTTCTACATAACGGTGCTCCTGCGCACCACAACGAATTAGTACGTGGTGAGCTTAATAATCAGTTTGGGGAAAGATGGATCGGAAGGGATGGACCGGTAAGGTGGCCCCCAAGGTCACCAGAATTCAATAAAATGAACTCATTTTTTTGAGGTTACGTTAAGAACGAAGTATATAAAATACCCCGAACAACAAGGGATGATATGAAAAATAGAATCCGAATTGCATTTCAAAATATTTCTTTACAAATGCTTAGTAATGTAACCAACTCTTTCAATGACCGTTTTCAAGCATTACCATTTTTTATAAATTTTATTTTAAATAAATTGTTTTCTTTTCTGTGTCGTTATTTCGTTACTAAATTATTAAACAATAATGTCAAACTGTCAGTTTTTGACAAATCAATCATAACCAACTCACAATAATTATATTGTGAGTTGGTAAACGTTAAAATATCTACCAAATTAATACTTTGATGGAAAAACAATAATATCTAGAAAACTGATAACTTTAGGTATAGGGAGTACTTTATAAAATTTGAAGTACGATATTATTACTTTTTGATAGTGATATAAAATACAGGGTGTTTAAAATTACCAAGAAAATATAGTATTTGCATTTTGACTTACTCTGTATTTGATTTAACGAATATTATGGAAACAAATATGTTTTATAATTTTTAACAATTATTTAAAAACTATGGTTGCAATAGATCAATGTTCCTATACTCCTTTTTAATTGCACAGGGAGTTAAACTTGATACGATTTTCAGGTAATATTGGTTATAACTTTTTAGATACCCGGTATAACATAATAAAACTTTACATTGTTGTGATGTGGAAGTGAAGCCGATTTTAAATTTAAAATAAAATACAGGGTGTTCCATTTAAAAAAACATAAGTTTGGTCTGCCACCATCTTATGGAACACCCTGTAAGATTGTAACTAATTTTAAAATGTGGAGTTTAAAGTTGCCTACAATTTTTGTTAATAACTTTTTTTAGTAATTTTTACTATAACAGATCTACTGAGCTTCCTCACACTAATCAATCACCCTGTATATAAGACGACTTTGACAGTTGCTTTACAAGTGATAGCACTGGTGCCACCAATTCACCTATCAGTGGGGGAAACAGACTGAAGACCTCCTAGTTGTATGGATATCAACTTGTGCGAAGATGGGATTTCCAATTGATAAAGACGGGCTATTGAGTTCAGTACAAAAACCTGTTCGAGAGGCAAATACACTTCTCCAAGAAATTAACGCACCACTTCAATAAACCAATTTTATTTGTAAACAGGTAAAGAATAAAAAATAAAACTTCACCAGATTTATTTTACATTTTATTAGTAATTATAACAAATTTGTCTAATCATCAGAAAATGTTGAAGTACAGGAGAAAAAAAATAAAACGGAAAATTCTCAAAAAATAATGATAAGAAAAGTAAACTAAAATATGAAAAAAATCTTAATAACGAGTGTTTCCACCTCAACTACGTATAACAGCCTCACATCGTTGGCCCATACTTAAAATTAATTGCCGTATTTCATTTTGGTCTAGTTCTCTCCAAATCTGGATCAGCCTCTCTCCCACTTCCTGTAAGTTGTTTGGTTGGATCGGTGTCGCTCTTAATCGCCTACCAAGGATATCCCAGAGATGTTCAATCGGATTTAAATCCGGATTATGTGCTGGCCATTCCATAGTGTTAATTTCTACCTCTTTTAAATAATTTCTGACGATCTGTGCAGCGTGAGGTCTGGCATTATCTTGCATTAGTAATAAATTTTCACCGATATAAGGAGCGAATGGTACTACATGTTGCTCCAGGATCTTCAATATGTACCTTTCAGCTGTATCAGTTCCATTTTGTATGACCACTAGGTCCGTACGTGCGGTCAAAGAAATACCGCCCCATACCATAACGGATCCTCCACCAAAAAATGTGGTGTGTGAGAAGTTACACTGAGCATATCGTTCGGTGTGTCGCAACACACGAACACGTCTGTCGTTATTGTACAAACAAAATCCGGATTCATTAGTAAATAGCACTCGTTCCCAGTCAGCCTCTAACCAATTAACGTGATCTCTGGCAAAATGTAGTCTCCCCCTTCGACGCTCTGCAGTTAATAGAGGACCTCTGGCGGCAATCCTAGGTATTTAGTTGTATACCCTAAGTCGCTGGCGAACAGTTTCAGTACTAATTTGTATAGCATGCACGACTCGAAGCTGAATTTGTAGACTTCGATGTGTTACAAAACGTTGACGAAGAGCAGAAATTCTTAAAAATCGATCTTGAATAGGGGTAGTTTCCCGGTTTCGTCCTTACCCTGGTCTACGAGTATGATCCCCTATTACGAGGAATAGACGGATGTGTGAGACACATTAAACCGACGACCAATTCTTCGGTAACTCCAACCTTATTCCGACAGTATCACTGCTTGGGCACATTCATCTTGGGCACATTACGTGATTGACGCTCCATAATAAACACAATTAACAATAATAAACAATTAAACAGCAGCCGAATAAAATTCGTGAACACTTAAAAATTACTATATTTATAGAATTAGTACATGTTTTGCTTCTTTTTGTTTTGTCGCAAAAAAAAACTATAGCGATAAAACACGGTCAATAAATATAGAGTGTACGAATAGCATATACAAGGGGCTTGCAATATATAACATTGCAGTGGAAATTTTTATTAACGCTAATAAAATATTTTAATATTTCAAAGTGGTGCGTTAATTTCTTGGAGAAGTGTATTAAAACTCCTTTTGTCAATGATCGTCCTGGCAAAAAATGTTATTACATATTCCTTAACAGGCACAAGCAACTTTCCCAGAATAAAGCAGAATACATTCACGGTGCTAGAGGCGCCGTAACTGAAGAGAAACTTCGTAAATAGATCGAAGAGGTTGGTATGAATTTAAGCGATATGAGTGCTACCAGTATATTAGATAATCATAAAAGGATTTATAATATGGTTGAAACTTGTTTCTGTCTAGCCCCAAAAAGTGGTATTGTAATCGGACCGCGAGAAAAAAACATCTTATGAACGAACCTCATCAGATAAGAAAAATGTAACTACGTTAATGCACAAGGAAAATTCGCTCGTCTTTTAACAATTTTTAAATATGGTATGATTCTGTCCGCTGTGTGTAAAGCAGCTCTTAAAGGTTCGTAAAAACTTCTGTATCCCAACACCTGTCTCAGTGTACATAATATGATAATTTTTGAATTATTTTTATTATTATTCTCAAAATTTTACCAAAATTTCACATTACTTCAAACTTGTGGTTTCTTATGAAAGCCAATCGTTCCATAAATACTCTCACACTCGTTTTTTTTTATTTATAAATATTTTTAGGTTTAAATCTCTAAACTCTAAATTATAATTTTTCGAAATTCAAAAAAATTAAAAAAAAATATGGAAACAATATCCTTATCATTAGTAAAGGCAAAGATAATGGATAATTATAAAATTATTGATATTAGAAAAAAGCTATTACTATTAATGATGTCGCCAAAGACAATTTTTATTTTGAGTATGTGGACTTATTCCTAATTATCAGTTTTAACGTATTGTAATACTCACTTAATTAAACTGGGCTCTTTTAGTATGACTGGTCTCGAAGCTCTCTTCGGTCGAGGACTACTGAAAATATACAAATTAGATATTATTAATAAAATGTTCAGCGAGAAATAAATAGTTAATAACTAGTAACACGAAGACATTTAGTTTGGTAACGATACGAATATTTTTTTGCATTTATTTAACAATAGTTAACTCTCCTTAAGAAATATTTGTTTCTTAAACGTTAATAAGAAAAAAAAAGGAAAATCTACCGATGTTAAGTGTGAACTTTGCGAGGGAAATCACCTGCAAACTATAAAAGTTGAATTATCTATGAGCAAAAAATAACTTTCCTGGACTTAGACATCAAGAGGTGAACCGACTTACTAGTCAATCGATAAAAACAGAATTCACTAGTGTCTAGAGCCTGACCCACTATTCCGTGCAGAGTTGCGCAGTTCATTTGTATTCATTTCTGAATGTGCCAATGAGGTTTATATCTATTTATTAAATGATGAATAGTTATTCGAAAAGCTCTCCAATAAAAAATATAAAGAACTTTATCAATATATTGGATTGCCATGCTTTTATTTAACTGTTTTTGTTATACAATGTATTAAAGTAACAATCCCTTCTATATTAACTTTTAAATATATAGCCTTTAGGATACCTACTTACAGGTACCTACCTACCTTAGGTACATTCCATTTCACACCTGGTAAAAATATAGGCATGTTTCATTTATTTGACATAATATCTATTTTAAAAGAATATAGGTACATATCTTAGAGTACTATATACATTATTAAAAACAAGTGGAGATACGAAAATGAACTCACTCTTCTTTATTGAAATTAGAACCTTTTAAAGTCATAAGGAGACACGCAGAGAGTGATCTATTCATTAACCACCCTGTATCCTAAAATAGGTTAATTAAAACTATAACATACAATATATCAAAGTCCTGGAAATTTTGTGCATAATCCAAAAATTTTATGATATACCTAACCAATGTTTCATTTAAAATAAGAAAGTTGGTATCATAGTAATTGATATATAACATCAGTCAACATCCTGTATATAAAATAACAAATTTTTATCGGAAAAAATGCGCAAAAAGGACTTTTTTAAATACTTTTTAAAACTATTTTAAAAAACCTTCAATTTTGATTTGCTATTATTTGCTATTAATTTTAGAGTTATTCTAATGCAACCAACAATACACATAAACCTCATTGTCACATTCAGATGTGGATACAAATGAACTGCGCAAGTCTGCACAGAATAGTGGGTCAGGCTCTAGACACTAGTACAGAATTACAGATTTGGACAATTTTTGTGTCACTATGGAAATTCAGTTAGAAAATGCAAACAGCGTAGAGCCCGATAAAGTCCCCTGGATGTGGAACCCTCTTCAAAAGTGAGTACAATGCTTAACAGAGACATTTAACTACCTATTTACTACTACTATTTCCTATTATGGAGGTTTGGAGGTATTGTACAGGTTTGTAAGCTATGACTCCTCTTCCATCTATCTTGCCTTGTATTAATTATTAAGTGGAATATATTATACCATTTTGACCAGTTCAGTAACGTTTCTCATCTGCTGTAAAAAACTACGAACTGTATCTACGAAACTGTAACGATCCGAAACTCCTGTAAGTTTCACGTATTTCAAATTCCCTCTTGTATAAAATGTGAATTTGAGTATTGCAATTTTCTATTCGAACGAATGTTTTTTATACACAAATCAAAATATCCTAATTAAAAAATATATTGCTACGTGGAACATTCTTAACCCGCGGGAGATTTTTTACTGCTGAGATTGCGTTTATGCGCGAATTAGACGCAATTAAAACGCCTGTTACCATTTATATTTTCCTTTCACATTTTATGTTCGCAGTGTCGTGCAGCGTTAGTGCTTTTTAAAAGAGTACATCCCGTAATCTTTTTATAAATCTTGATCTCTGTTTTTTTTTCTATACAACACTAAATTTGTATTTAGATTCTAAGAATCGAAAAACTACATATAATAATGGACAGATAAATTTCCAATTTTCATTTTTTTTAAATAACGTTCAATATTAAGATCTTTCTTACATGTTTTTACCGCGTCACTGACAGAGTTCTATTTTAAACTTTTTATAAAGATGTAAGAAGGTATTAATTGTATTGGACATTTCGTTAAATTATTATGTCCACTTAAATGTATGTTTTTGTTATTAATAAATATGCCTTGTACGTAACCATTTTGTATTGTTTCACTAACAACCTTCTTTTCTCTTGGATTAAATATAAATATATACAAGGTGACTGTGATTATTTCTTGTTTATTTAGCTAGATAAGTATATTGGTTATTGTAATTGCTAAATATTAGGTATTTTGGTTTTGAGTTTTCTTTGTCCCTCATAAAAAAGACAAAGTGGCGTCCTTTTTGGCAATTTTTTTTATAAATTGTTTTCTGTCCATTTTGGAAAATTATCTATGATTTTTCTTTGTTTTATTTATTCCATGTGGAAATTTGCAAATAGAAAAATATTCTTAACGATACTTACGACTTAGGTATCTTCATGGGAGACACAGATCTAAAAATAGATAATACATAATTACTAATGACATTACCTTATATATCTCAGTATTCATTCTTCGGAATGTTTTTCCTTTAACAGAACGATTTTTTAAAACAATTTTCGCCAATCAGTTAAATTATAATATTTTATATACTTGCACAGAGGAAGTACACAAATACAGTAGAGTGGTCTGAGTGGGGGGTCGTTCAATTATTACGTAAAGCAATTAGTGGGGTGAGGGTCTTGTAAAACGCTACAGTGAGTTACAGGGGTAGGGGGTTCGAACAAAGCGTTACGTAACATTGTTTTTTTACTTAAATAAAAAACTATAATAATAAAATCTCCCAAGTTGACAATGCTTTTCGTTTATGTTTTATAGGGATTCTCTAGATTGTATTGTACAATTTTGTTATTTTTAAATAGGTAAAGAAATAATAATAAGACTTACTCACAATCAATTTAATTTAACAATCAGACGACCGGTTTCGCTTTCTACAATTTAAGATAAATAAAAGATAGAATAAACACATAAGTTAGTTCATACAAATTAAAGTAATTATGCCAATATTACATGTCTGTGGTTTTCAAAATGAATAAATTTGAATATATAAAAGGTATTAACAGACAAGGTAAGACCCACAATTGGTATAAAGTAGTAAAATTATATTGTAATAAATTAATAAATGAGCAGATAAATAAAACAAAATAAACATGTAAGTAATGTAAGTAATGTTTATTTTGTTTTATTTTGTTTTATTTATCTGCTCATTTATTAATTTATTACAATATAATATTACTACTTTATACCAATTGTGGGTCTTACCTTGTCTGTTAATACCTTTTATATATTCAAATTTATTCATTTTGAAAACCACAGACATGTAATATTGGCATAATTACTTTAATTTGTATGAACTAACTTATGTGTTTATTTTATCTTTATTAGACACCACCCTAATTGGGTTTATTTTATTGCAGCATTAGTTTAACTTTGTATCTAGACCTGAAGATGCTTTGCAAATTGTAGAAAGCGAAACCGGTCGTCTGATTGTTAAATTAAATTGATTGTGAGTAAGTCTTATTATTATTTCTTTACCTATTTGATATGGACTCACACAAGCAACACATTCATGATTTGTTATTTTTGTTTATGTTTTACGGGAAATTCTTCGACTGTATTGTACTTCCTTTTTATTTTATTTTCGTTATAAATAATACAGAGAAATGCGTTGCTGTAGTCAGCGTTTTAAATTAAATTCATTATATTGTCATCAAAAGTTAAAAAAAAAACGTGAAAATTGACAAATACTATGTTTCGGCGGAATATAGAAAACCTGAAGATAGCTTGCAGCATATAGCAGAACCTAATCTGGCATGGCGTAGTACTCACATCCCTAAATCGCAATATTTCTTCGGATTTCCTCTTGTCGGAATGTCCTACAGCCATCCTATCCAATCCTTCAAATCCCAAGTTACCTTGCGGTGCCAGGTCAGTGAGATAAAGGATCATGTAAGTTTGCAAGTTATTTTACCGACTTTCCGGTACTTTTGGCAACATAAATGTTATTTTTAGGAAAAAGCGCTCACTTGGGTGTTACGTAATGTTTAGGTAGGGGTAAGGGGTCTTGTAAAACGATACGGTGCATTAGATGGGGGTGAGGGGGTCAAAATTCTGGGCTGAGTGGTGTAAAGGGTACTCATCGGCCTTGGTTCGAGTTTAGAGGTGTAGTTTTTCCTTTTCTGAACTTGGTGGGCTTTTTAATTATTAGCGATTCTCATTGGAATAGGTTTAGGGCGTCGCTAATATTAGTGGTGCTTCCTTGATTTTTGAACTCAGAAAGTTCATAAAGGGAGATCAACTTAAGGTCGATTCAGACACATCAGTCACGTCTCGTCACAGTGATTGCGCCGAACCGAACAATCCGTCATACAAAATATTCTTTAATACAAATATGTTGCCGAAATTCACACTCATCAGTTGACAAACAGTTTCCCAGCTGTCAGATAGTTGATAGTTATGTGACCAAACAGGACCGGTTCGGCGCTGATGTGTCTGAATCGACCTTTAGAATGAATTTGTGAAAAGCTCGGTCGCCAAAGTTGAGAAGCAGTGAATTTTTACTAAACTTTACTATACTTTAATAAATTAAAAATAAAAAGTTGTGAGTGAAAGTGTTTGTTCTACGTGTTCTAGATAAGAGTGAACTTAGCTGAATTAGAGATACACTGTAAGTTATTTACCTCCCTTATTTGACGTGGTTCGAGAATTTTTTTATCCTGATTTTGGTCCGAAGGAGATAAAAGATTGTGGTTTTCATTCCGATATATTTTGAACGCATTATGTAAGAAAAATTACTTCTATCAGTGACCAGAAATTGAATGTTTTTCATCGGGAAGTTGGTTTTTATTTTATGTAGAACAGAACTTTTTATATAAAAGTACTGTTATATATTAAATAAAAGTGTTTTATTAATCACAGATCGATAAATCAAGGTAATTCATATAAAGTAATATTGAAAATACAACTTTGTACGGTATTAAAAATTGAGATAGTATAGGGAATCGAATTATAACCCATGACGAATCCAGATTTTGCCACGCATTGAAGAAAATAAAGAGTTGGACGAGATAGACACATAATTGAGAAAAGAGAAAAGCATAATTGAGAAAAAAATTGAGTTTGTTTTTTCTAGATTAACAAATACCATACTTACACTTTTCGATTTTCTTTTCCTTTTGTTTTCTTCTTAACAGTTTCTTTGGGATTTGGTTTTTCGTCATTGGTAGCTTCAACTTTCGAAGACGATCCTTTCGATTTAGCATTAGCTTTGTTAGTTTTTCTTAGTTTTATTTGTTTTACATCTGTAATAGGAACTGTGTCCAATGATTCGCTTATGGTTTTTACTGGACTAGTCGAAGTGCTCAAATTCATTCGTTTTAACAGAACTTGTGCCATCTTTTCACCACTTAAACAGAAAATGAACAAGTGTGTATATGAACCGTTGTGAACAAGTTATACGATATTTCAAGATATTACCATAGTTATTACTATTTTAATGGGAATAAGCCACAATTGAAGGTCAAAATAAGGTTATTGAAAATTGAAGAATTTTCAATTTCCACTTCGGAAACCGTTCTCAAAATATAAACATTAATAAATTAAAACAATTTATTTTATACACTCCGCGTCATAGAAAACGGGCCACCCCAAATATTTAAAATATTTTCGAAATTATTATTTATTGCTACAATATTAAGCATTTATTTTCTTGTATATTGAATTAACATTATTTTATTTTTAATGTGTCTTGGGTTATTTAAGTTAAATGGGTTGTTGCGAACGCAAACCGACCCTGTAACTGGAATGAGGATATTCGTAGAACCTATAAAACAAAACAATTTTGAGAAAAAGTTGTTTACAACTTGATCAATTTTCGAGGAAGCGATTGTTTTGAGAAATGTTTGATATTGTAAAGGGTTCTAATGAGTTTTAAACGCATCTCAGTATTACAATAGCCGACTTAGTGTGAAGTAGTCTTCAGTTAATAACTATGGAGAAGTTTCAAAAATGGGTTGAAATTGTAACGTTACTGGGAAGTGGATTAAGTCAAAGACAAGTTGCAAGGCAATTGAATGTTAGTCGTTCGACTGTACAAAAGACCCAGCAACGAATTATTGTCACAGGATCTCACCAACGGTGACCTGGTACGGGTCCAAAAAGAAACACAACCGCTAGGGAAGATCGCGTCGTCCTTCTTCCTGCATTACGGAATCGGACCCATACCGCTAGAATGCTTCAAGGCCATTTACAGCAAGCTCAAGGACCAGCAATCAGCCTTTCTACTATTCGGCGAAGATTAAGGGAGCAAGGTCTGACAGCTTGCAGTCCAGCAACGGGACTCTTACTTTCCCCAGCTCACAAAAGTCGAAGACTAGATTTTGTCCGTAAGCACATCAATTGGACAGCAGACGATTTAAAAAAAAGTATTGTTTACGGATGAGTGAAGAATGTCTATTTATGGTAAAGACGGACGTAGTAAGGTGTACCGACGAGCTGGAGAACGTTTCGCTGGTTGCACTTGGGCACCACGGGTTGCTTTTGGTGGTGGTTCAGTAATGTTTTGGGCAGGGATTTCTTTTGATGCGCATACGGATCTCATCGTGATCCGTATGCGTATCCCAGAAAAATTTTTGAGATACATTTTTGTGTCACTAAGCCGACGATATTTTAAAGTAGACAGCTTAAATATGATTGCTAATATCACTGAATTGCATTATTATTGTTTTAAAAATAACTATTGGTTATAATAACAGCTCACTATTTTAAAATAATCTTTTTTGACAACGATTTTTGAAGTGATAATCGAAACGTCACCACAATTATAAAATACAATCAATTGTGGCGTAATACCATATAAACATAATATTTATCAATAAACGCAACCTAAAAATTACCACTGAAACTAAAGAGATGTAACAGTGTACAAAATACACAAAACCTAATTGAAATTATATTCAGATTTTTTTTTATACCCTTTTATTAATAATATACAATAACACACCTCAATCTTGTCAATCTACTGATTCTTGTGATACTGATGTTTCCATTATATTTTTAATTTACTCTATGCGAAGTACCTACTATTTTGTTAACAAATGCAATAAAAAACACACCTCACATTGAAAATAAAATCAAAATAATAATAAGTAAGAACACATTTAATAGATTACAGTCTTTATTTTTTAAGCGTATAACTTTTAACAGTACGATAAATACACATATACAAATAATAAAATGAAACTAAATATTAATGTCTAATTTACACAGCAATTCAATTTATTCTGGTGACCATTCCACAAAGTCCATAAGAAAGCTATGCTTCCAAAAATATCCTATCTTTTAAGTTCGATCGAACACTACACTTCTACAAAATTTCATTGGAATTGGTTCAGTGGTTTCAGAGATTAGCAAAAACGAACATCGTGATAATAGATTTTTATATACATATACTTCATCTAATTTACTTACCGTTGCACGTCATCTGCGTCATAGTCCGTGAGGTCACATGATACCAACACGAAATATTTAGGCGGTAGGTGTGTTCTCTTTTAGAATACCTTTGCCGAGAACACTGGCATTACAGCCACTAGACATATTTTATTGTATACGCGTAGAAATAATATTTAAAGATTTCTATTAATGTTAACTTAATTGAATTTTAAAGTGAATACCGCTTGTTTCATATGTTTACCTATTTAATAAAATCTGTTCTTTTTAGAACAAAATTAGTGTTTAATTTCAAAAAATCACATAAAAATTTAAATAGTCGTTGTAAAGAGATGGCAATACTTTTAGACTAATGGCAGTACGTTGTAAAGAAATGGATTTAGGACTTTTTATACTTTGGCAGCTATGTCAACTTCGATCTCTGACGTAGATAATGGCGTGCAACGATATGAAAATGAGATGAAGTATATAAAGATATAAATCAATTTAATGTTATTTGTAATTAAAGTGAATAATAACACATATTATCCCCACATAGCAGTGACGACTTGTGACTACTAAAAGAGGCGGTACACAAATAGATAAATCTACCATAGGTAAAATTACCGCGTACTGGATGAAAAACAATTTTTTTTTCGTTTTTTAGGCACAATTTCTTTAAAATTAACATTTATGCATAATTAGATGACCGCATGGATAAATAATTTTGAAAATAGATATTATGTCATAAAAATCCAACAACAAGAAAAAGACTAACAAAATAATAAAAACTTTAAAGGTATTTAAAGGTACACTGTTGAAACATATTTGAAATCTAGTCTTCGTTCGGTTTTACTAGCAAAACGGTCAATAACTCGTTTATATTAAAGTCTTCAATGTTGTCGAGAAGCACTTTTTCAGCTGATAACATTCCTAATGCACTTAGTCTTTCTTCTTTCATCGAGTAGCATAAAAAAGTTTTTATCCTTTTCAACGTAGAGAAGCATCTTTCACCTTCGCATGTTGACATAGGCGTAGTCACTAAAATTTTTAGCAGCTTAATAAATGGTATCTAGTTTCTTGGAAACTAGATACAATTTCTCCTTTTGATAATAATGCCAAGAGTTTCAGAAATGATGTGCAGTTATTTTCTTTCATATAGTACTTGCAGTTCTGTTTTTCAACGTTTTTTTTTTTAGAAATGGATATACGTCAACAGTATCAGACAGCAATTTGTCTGGAAAGTTTTTTTAATATTGGTTAAAATGAATCGCAAACTGCCAATGCTTCTCTTTTTATTCATTGAAACAGATATATGAGACTGAGAACAACGTCGCCTTTTTTGAGAAATAGATTTATCGGTTTCTACTAGCTCCGAATCTAGTTGGTCAATAACTGTATTCATTTGATCACGAATTTTTTGCATTGTCTTTGTAAATGTTTGCAGATCTTGTTTAATTTTAATGGGGTCAGTATGAATCATCTGAAGTTCCATAAAAAATATTTCTACACGTGGCATGATCTTATGAAAAACTGTTAATCAAAATATGAAGTCTTTATTCTGTAATCTAAGTTTATATGCACCGGCTTGCTCAATCATTGAATTCCATTTAAACCACTTTTGTCATTCTCTAAAATATCCATGACTTGATAAGCTCATTTCGGTATTGATAAACTGTATGGACTCCATGAGAATGAAAATTCCATCTAGTTTGTGATGATCGCGATAATCGGTATGAGCTATCTCATCTAATGCCTTTGTTCTTTAAGGTGATGTAGTAAGGAAAAAGAACACATCCCAATTAAATGGGCGAAAAAATCCGAACAGATGCATTAATTGAAGCAGAATTACTCATTATAAGATTCATCTCATGTACATAGTTATGTACCGGGTGGTCCAATAAGCCGATCTCTCGGCTATATATCAGAAACTATTTATGCTATAACTTTAGGAGAAAAAATTCCTTAGTAAAAGTGGCCAAGAGAAATCGCTGGAAATAACTTTCAAGATTCTGGATTAACCGCTAGGAGGCGTAACCTGCAAAGAAAATTTTGAAAACCAGTTTTTTTGGGAAATATGTCCAATTATACCAAGTGTTAAATAAGTAAACTAGAAAGAGCATAAATTCTGCACAAAGTTGTTCAAGTACTTTTTTTTATTTTTTCAAATAAAGGGTCGGGGAGAGTGGGAAAGTATTTGTGGATAAATACCTATAACTTTGGTTTGGATCAACCGATTTTAATGAAATTAGTGTCATTAGAAAGAGTGTGGATGAATTATTTCACATCGACTATAAAATACTTGCATTTAGTTTTAATAGTCGTAGGTAAAGGGGACTTTCAAATAAAAAAATTAAAATTTGTTTTTCTTCTAAGTTTTTAACGGAAACACCTATTTATTGTAAATTATAATCGAACTGGATTAAATTCGTAACAAAATGGAGCAAACCGCATGTTAATAGCTTTTGTTGAACTCGAGATATGAATAAAAACTCATAAACATACGTAAGTATAGTATTGACACACCCTGTATTATAAATTACATTAAAAAATAAGTCAGTAGGTATTTTCAAATTTTTTTATAGCAGAAGAATCTTAATGTTGATACCTATTGTATAAAAAATAGTTTTTTCGAAACTAAGTAGGCTACGACAATGAATTTGACGGGGAGTTCATATTGTTTATTTATTGACAGGAGACATTATGGCAAAGAAGTTTTTGAAAGAAAGGCAAAAAGATTCAGAGAAACTGGTAGTTTTTCTCGTCCTTGTTTTAAACGACGTAGTAGAGTTATGACCGAAGATAATTCAATCAATGTTCTTGCTTTAATTCAACAGAATCCACATATAAGTAGTCCGAAATCTCTACTTCTTTGCCACAATGTCTCCTGCCAGGATATCTTACAGAATATATACGTGAGGCAATAGCGCCATTTTGGTGATATTCGAAATAAACTCCAATCATATCATACAATTTGATATACTCATCGCGAATTATTAGTACTGATAATTAATTACTAATATTACCAATATTAATATCTATTGAAAAAAATGCAATTTTCAATTCAAATTATAATACATATAACACTTCTTAACAATATTTTGACTGCTGTCAATAAATAAACAATATGAACTCACTGTCAAATTCATTGTAGCCTACTTAGTTTCGAAAAAACAATTTTTAATCATATGAAATAACAAAGGTCAAAATAGGTATCAACATTAAGAGTTTTCTGCTATAAAAAATTTTGAAAGTACCTACTGACTTATTTTTTAATTTAATTAATAATTAATTATTAATACAGGGTGTGCCAATACTATACTTACTTATGTTTATGCGTTTTTATTCATATCTCGAGTTCGATAAGAGCTATTAACATGCGGTTTGAGCCATTTTGTTACGAATTTAATCCAGTTCCATTATAATTTACAATAAATAGGTGTTTCCATTAAAAATTTTGAAGAAAAAAAATTTTAATTTTTTCTATTCGAAAGTACCCTCTACCTAGGACAATTAAAACTAAATGTAATTATTTTATAGTAGATGTAAATTAATTCATCCATACTCTTTCTAATGACACTAATTTTGTTAAAATCGGTTGATCAAAACCAAAGTTATAGGTATTTATCCACAAATACTTTCCCACTCTCCCCCACCCTTTATTTGAAAAAATAAAAAAAGTACTTGAACAACTTTATGCAGAATTTATGCCTCTTTCTAGTTTACTTATTTAACACTTGGTATAATTGGACATATTTCCCAAAAAAACGGGTTTTCAAAATTTCTTCGCAGGTTACGCCCCCTAGTGGTTAATCCAGAATCTTGAAAGTTATTTCCAGCGATTTCTCTTGGCCACTTTTACTAAGGAATTTTTTCTCCTAAAGTTATAACTTGAATAGTTTCTGATATATAGCCGAGAGATCGGCTTATTGGACCACCCGGTACATACACATTCGGAATTTTATTTACGGAACATAGGATTTTTAATACAATAACTAAGATTCCCTAATTTGAAATTAACCAGTATAAATTTCTATATAACATCACGATGTTTTATAACGAATTTATTTGTTCCACTGTATTGCCCCTACTCTGCGGTTTGTAGTAACGTATGTGTCACGCCGACAATGTTGCTCCGTCTACCGATTTTTCCTGAAAGTCCGGTTTTGTGCAAATAATAAATAATGTTTTATTAACATCAATTTTGTTTGTGTTCATTAGGTATTATTTGAATTATTAAATTTATACTTAAATACATTTATTATTCTAAATATTGGTTATAATTTCCAATTAAAAAGAGTGAATTATTATTATTTTATTTTTGAAATTCCTTTTTATTTTTATTTTTAGAAATCTACTTTTTCTTAAGCCGTTTTGACAATAAAACATAACCATTTTTTTAGTTAAATATTTATAATTCCATATCTACATTCATAAAGACGTACGTTTTCGGCAAATTGACATGCACTCTAGCTGTGTTCCGTTTTTACACTTACACTATTTAGCAGCATCGGGGAATGAATTGAGACTCCAGTCGAACCAATGAATTAACTATAAAACATCGCGACGTTATATTGAAATTTACAGTGGTTAAGTGCAAATTAGAGGATCTGAGTTATTGTAATAAAAATCCTATGTTCCGTAAAAATTTTTCCAAATCTGAAGATTGCAAAAGGATATTTACCTTAAATTATTTTTTGTACCCCATTTACACCTCCGCTCATTACTGACGCTACGTCATAACTTTGCGCAAATAACTTATTTGGGGCGTCACTGACTAAAGGATTAATTTAAAATATAATTTGCTATTGGAAAGGCATTCGGTCCGGAAGGATTTACAAATTTCCAAAATCTTTCTATTGAATAATTGATGGATTCGACCGTTGATGGAAATTCATTTTATGTAATAATAAAACACTCAAAACTTTGTTTTCAAAACTTCCACATTTATTATAAAATCTTAACATTACAGCTAATAATGCTAGGATATGTTAGATAGCCCTTTGGCCTACTCAATTAAAAAAAAATGGCTGACATAAGTATTCTTTAAAATGAAGTATAATGGATAGTGTGAGGAGCTGCAAATGTCCCATACCACTGAAAGGAGTGGGACACTAGTAGGGAGGTCCGGGACAGGATGTAATTTTTTTTTTTTTTCGACACAATAGAAACTTTTCTTTATTGTACATTGTATTTTGTCAATTTAACCGGAAATACAAACAATGATTTTACACTCTCTGTACCTCCAGATGATATTGGTGCAGGCAATTTAAGCAATATATCCTGTTTCTCAATAACGCTATTGTCCCCCACATTCGGAAAATAAAATTTCCAGATTTCTCCTTTTTTACGCATGAATTGAACTTCAACTTCATCTAATGAATCACACTTCAATACTCTCCCAACATAATAAACAACAGACTTTTTAGTATAAAATTTAACAAGCACAAAATTGTCAGTCTTAAGATTCACAGAACTATTATTCCAATCTATTTGTTCCATTCCATCCTCCTCAGAACTCAGAGATATTTCTAGGTCATCATCTGTATCTTGATATGGAATTTGTATTTCCTCGGACGAAGACTCAGAATCACAAACTTTCTTCTTATTAGATATATTGCGGATGGCTACAGATAATTTACCAGACTTTTTCCTTTCTCTCTCGACAGCTAATCTTTCGGTCTCTGCTTTCTCTGGTGTACTAGTTAAAATACGACTTCTGCCTCTCTTCCTTTGTTGATGGTTTTTCAAAAGATGTAGAAGGATCTTTTAAGGAAGGATGTTCTTATTCTGCTGAAGATGAAGTACCATTAGCTTGCGCAGATGGAGGAGACCGGTTAGTTACTGAAGATATTAAAAATTCTGCTTCGGTGAATGGCTCACTGTTGAAAGAGTAGATGCCAGTCTTTCGAAAACCGGCAATAATGTTCTTCAGCGTTACAGTCAAAGGGTAAGCTTGCCCCACAAGATCACCTATGCAGTAGATAGGTATGGTTTTGCCTGGGTGATTCAGTAGCCAATCATTACAAACTCTGTTATATTGACTTTTAAATAGGGCAAAAACAGATACATCGAGGGGCTGTAGTATGTGACTACAATGTGGTGGAAACGTTAAAAGTATAACTCCCTTTTCTTTTGCTATCATTATCACTTCTAAACCCACATGGCTCTCGTGGTTGTCTAAAATTAACAATATTGGTTGTTCCTTAGTGCATTTTGTGTGATGAATTATGTGTTCTAGACTCTGTTTAAAAAGATCACTTGACATCCAACATGTCTTGCTAGTTAGTGCAATACTGCCTGGAGGAGCACCATTTAAGAAAAACTCCTTATATCTGATTCTGAGAAACACAAGTCAGGTGGTAAAGCGTTTCCTATTGCATTTACTATAAAAAGGCCAGTGATTTATTTGCTCCCCCCTTTCAGTCAGTGTCACTTGTCCTACTTGCTTTTCACCACGCTTAGCCACAACCTTAGGTGGAATATTGACTGTACTTATTCCTGTTTCGTCACAGTTGAATATACGATCTGGGGTGAGATTATACTTTTCATAGATAGTTTTTAAGTTATTTAGGAACATATCAACATTGGTTTTGTTGACGCTTGTTGCCCTTCCCAGAATTGTAGCTTCTGGAGAACGTAGCGAAAGTTCTTTGTGTCGTTCCATGAAGCCTTTGAACCAGTCATATCCTGCCATTTGGTTAACTTTCCATGAATTGCCTACTTTATATTTCAGGGCACTTGCATAATGCCACGCTAGAATTCTGACCTGAACTGATGTTAAACCATGATGCATTCTACTTGCAGCCAGGATGTATTCTACTAGAGCCAATTCTTGCTCTTCGGAGAATACCATGACACATATCAAATTAGAACAAAAAACAACGCATTCTTTGTTGGGAGCTTCATCATATTTCTTCAAATGGCGTTGAAGAGCCGATTTTAAAATATTACAAGTCTTGGCTACCTGACTTATGCTTTTTCCTTCTTTAATCTGCTGAACGGCCTCCACAATGCGAGACTTTAATGGAGCAGTCCTCTCAGGATTTTTCTTCTTCCACTTATGAGACATCTTACACTATAACAAAGGAAAAATATACAATTAGAAGAATTTAAATAATATCAAATTAAAATTAATACATAAGGGGAGGACGTATGCTATGTCATAGTCCTCCCAGTGGAGCATTTTACAATAAATCAGTGAACAAACATAACCTCAAGGTGCCCCAGCGTTTTGTATTATATAATTTACAAACTTAAATAAAAACATATCATTATATTGGTTTCTATGTTGCCTTGAAATATTATATTAACCAGAAAAAATAATTCACGAACAAGTTTCTTACCTTTCAAAAATGAAAATCAATAAAATTCTCTCTTGATCACTACAAATGCTTTTACAACACTAAACAAATAGGAAATGCTACAACCAGTAATACATCGAGTGAGAAAGTACAGAACTTTTAGTTCACATATAAAGGTGGGAAATTTGAAATGTCCCACAACTCCCTTGTCCCAGACCTCCCCCTTCTCCCCTATGTAGATAATGCATTGATATTAAAAAAAAACATAGTAAAAACAAAAGTATTTTTAGTGATCAATATATGTTTGCCAGTGCCATGACCCCGTAGCCATTTAGGACTAGCCGCCACTGCCACATAGGGTGTATATTTCGAGCAGAAAATTATTTTTTATGGGTGCTTTTAGCTCTCTACATAAAATACAATAGTACTTCTCATATTGTCACCTGATTTGTTAAGGAAAAGATTTTAACCACGGTTTGACCAAGTGGTATATTTTAAAACTTACCTATTCTTTCTCTTGGTGATGAGTGTGGAAACAGGACTAGCATTTGATACAGATATTTCAGTGTTCTTTTTTTTCCTTTTACGTCTTACACTAGATGGAGGTGTCGGTATAATTGGGGTTGAACTGAAAGAACAATCAGAAAAATGTTTATAGACTAAGCAACAACAGGTAAGATAGCAGTTTTATTATTCTTTTTATACTTTTCTTAACTAGATCATTACATTCATGCACTTTTGTAGAAAAGTAGTTAGCATTAAGTTTTACGTTCATGTGAGTGAATGTGTTCATTGACAACTTTCTTTTTAGATTTCAAATATTTTGAAATTCATTTATCAAATCAGTTTCTTCAACCGTCTCGTAAATCAATAAGAACATCTAGTTGCCGTGATTCGTCGTTTGGACGATATCAATCAACATAAATTCCTTCGATTCTACGATTTTTCTAACCTCTAATAGCATTCTTGGTATTGGTAATTGAATTATTGGTATCAGATGAGCTTGGAGTTTAAATTCTAAAGTTTGATCCTACAGGTCCAAGTCGGTTTTATTATTTGGTTACTTGATATCAAATTTTGATTTTCACCGTACAAACTAACTCAATTTTCTATATTTAATATTACTTTATGAATTACACATGTCGTGTAATAAAAATGATTTTTTTACTTAAATGTTGACTAGTACATGTGTACTGTAATGTATATTTTATAGAAATAATACAAATAAACAGGAATATGATAGCATTAACCACAAGATCTTATCAGTGTATCAAAGAAACTAACTCAAAAAATAAACTGTGAGCTTAGACAATATTTTATAGTATATGTCTACGATCAGATATCCTCAGCCGAAACGGATGAATCCTAAAAAATAGCTTTATTTTGCTAAAAGGGGCATCGTAAGAAATAGGACAGATAATAAGAGCAAACAAAATTTGCATTTCGAATTTACATAATACATATTGAGAAAAACAAAAACGGGATGTGGTACTCCGAGAGTGACCGAGGACGGGAAGCATAGCTTTTTTATCCACGGAGCGATTTTAATTTAATTTTAACTGAACTCACTTAAATTTAATTCAACTGAATTCAATTCAAATCAATTATTTAATTAAAGTATATTCAATTCGATTTAATGCGATTCAATTCGATCCCATTCCATTCAATTAAATTCAATTCGATTCAATTCCAGTTGATTTCATTCGATTCTATTAGATTCGATTCCATTGCATTCAATTCGATTTTATTCGACTTGATTGATTCTATTTAATTCGATTCGATTACATTCCTTTCCATTTGACTCCATTCCAGTGGATTCCATTCGATTCGACTTGATTGCATTCGATTCAGTTTTATTTTATTGTTTTTATTTTTTGTAATTTTATTTTAATTCATTGTATTATGAAATTTTTGAATGATTCAAGTTTTTAAAATTTTTTACATTTCCAGTACCAGATACTACTTTTTAATCTACTTAAGTGTCCAATAGAATTATTTTAAAAAAATTTCAACATGTATGCAAAACAATCATTCCGTTTCATCGTACTTCTTTTGTTTTTATATCTTCACACCTCTTCGCGATCATGTATGCATTCAATCCGTAGTTCGAGATGAGAAAGCAATGCTTCCAAAAAGTTTCAGAATCTCCAAAACAATCTAAATCAAGAAATGTTAGCCACGATTATCGCAATAAACTAACTTCAGTATAACTTACCTTTTTAGAGATCGATTTACGAATCTAAGTGCCAAGTTAACAACATGCCAAAATATGGCTAAATCTAGAAACACATATCAATTTGATTCGATTCGATATTTGATTCGATCCAATATACGATTCGATAGTTGATTCAATTTGATTCGATTCCATATTCGATTCGATATTTGATTTGTTTGATTTGATCCGATTCCATTCTATTCAATATTTGATTCGATTCAATTAACTATTCGATTCCATATTTGATTCGATGCGATTCGATTCCATTCGATTGGATTCCATTCAATTTGATATTGGGTTCGATCATGTATTTTTTTGTTTATATTTTATTTTATTAATAAACACGCATGGGACTACGTTTACTACTCTATGTAGAATGTAGTGTGTAGTCGCGCGATCTGCCGTTACAGTCCCTACAGTCGGTTTTATTTTTTTCTCATATCGCTGCGATCCTCCGCTCCGTCCGTAGCTCGCGGTAAGAAAGCTATGCTTCCAAAAAGAAGTCATTAGACTCTCATCTGTGCCAGTGGCACCCCTTGTTCAGTGGCTATGTTACTGGAGTAACAAGCTGGATTTCAATTTCTAATTTAACTGAGCTACCATCGTGCTTCGGAGGGTACGTAAACCGTCTGTCCTGGTTACGAAAATAGTCCTTAAGTCATGTTAGGAGCGCTTGCGCGACCTGAAAACCTAACACTAGACCTTAGCCAGAAGGTTACACGAACTTTACTTCTACTTTACCTGTGCCAGTAACACTTGTGTAATGATCCAGTTGCCTCCAACACTTGGTGAAACTGGACATTACAACGCCTTTTCCAGAACAGTTTCCAGAAATGGAATATTGAGAAAAAAGTGCCAAAATATAACTGCTGTAGAATAAATCATAATTACAGAATGGAGCCCGATCGGAAGAAGAAAGAGAGGAAAACCCCGAAGTTCATTCAGAGACGAAATCGACGAGGCTATGGAGAAAAGAACCCTGCGAGATGGAGACTGGAATGACAGGGAAAATTGGAGAAAACGGTTGAGTGAAGAAAGACAGTGAAAACTGTGGAAATCCTTGGTAGTAGCAGTAGAATAAATCATTAAACGAAGAAGAAACGAAGAGAAGAAGTCGACGAAAGAAAGACAGAGATATTGTGCCGAGCAGAACACTTTGAACAAACTTTTGGCAGAAGTTCGTATAACATATTTACAGACAAGAAGCGAAACGAGACTAAATTTTAGCAAAATTTAGTATTTCAATATGTGTACTTTTAAATATGGTTGGCGTGTGGAAAAATTTTAAATGAGATAATTATTTGGCCCAGTCTTGTTATTAAGAAAATTTCAATATTTTTTTGTCTCAGCGATTTCTTTTTCCCTACTTTCCCTCTTTTGTCTTAACGTTTTACCTACGGTTTTTGCCTGTTTTTGTATGCTATGTATTACATTCAAGTGCGACTATAGAATATTTGCCACCTAAATACTGGTCTAGTAGACCCCAAACATATAAAGCCCGTTTACTAAAAACACTAACGTATTAAACTGTATTTTTTTTAAACAGTATTATTGTTTGACATGAATTGTATTTATACCATGAAGAGTAATAGTACACTTTTAAATCCACGCATTTACTCCGGTATTCTGAAAACGGAATCGGTTCCGATATATTAGAGAATTATCAAGTGAAAGAGGGAGAATACGGTAACGTTATTTTGACAGCGGGACATGCGCAGTATGAAATGTGAATAACGTAAATGATTTTAACGTTTATGGGCTCCGTTACCGTACGTCGAATAGCGGGTTTGATATACGGTAACGTTAGCAGCGAATCGCAGCAATTCGTCAAGACTCGGGACTCGGAGATTGAAGTTCCTGTTCTGTAATTTTATCTCTGTGCATTGGTTAACACGTGTTTTCTGTTTTCTTGGCATCTGCGAGACAAATAAAACATTTTGTTATATTTCATTATATTTATCAATTATGAACACGGACATAGTGAAAACGACAAAAAGGTTGCATACTATCCAAATTGAATACCGAATGTACATTTTGTATGTTATCATTTATAATATGATTTAGTATTAAATCTTCTATAACTTCGTCATTTTCTTCAACTAATATTGCTTGTTCTAAAATGTCTTTCATATTTCTGTAGAAAAAATTTGAAACCCAAAATTTACAAAACCAGACAAAATATATACCTTGGGTGAAAGAAAACAAAAAAATTATTTATTTTGCTGTCATATACGACATTTGACTGACAGCTGCCAACTTTAACGTGAAGCACCAATTCGACTATTTGATAACTCTAAAATTACATATCCGTTAAAACTGTATACCGTAAAATCTAGCGTTAACGTGTCAAAATAACAGAAGGATAAAATTTTACTTGATAACTCTCTATTCCGTCAATTACTTGTGCTTGTCTCTGAAAAGAAGAATGTTTCAAGGGGCTATAAATGTTTGAAATCTACACCAACAGAATCAATTTTAATATTTATATCTAAAGCATAGTAGGAATAAATTATGATTTATCTGTTAGTTAGATTTTATTAAAATTAATTAGTATTGTTACAAATGTAAGAGAAGAATACCTGAAGACCCCTCACTATATTTAAAAAGAATATACTCACGTAGTGATTGTATCTGATTTCAGGACAGTTTGTTCCAGACTGTAAAAAAATGATGAATAGATGAAGTTTATACATTAAGATGATGAATTTCGACAGCAATCAATAAAATCACATTTATTATATTTTTTTATTACACAAAATCTGTTATGTTAAAATTATTTAGATTTTTAGAAACACTATAGTTCTAAAATAACCACGCAAAAAGAAAACCAGCGAACTGAAGCAAACAAAAAACGAAAGACATAGCAAATAGAGTATGAAAAATGAGAGAATCCAGAATGAAAATTAAAGGAAAATATGACATACAACTTTTAATGCTGTTATGTACTGTTCTTCTGTATCTATTGCAGTCTTGGCTGTACAAATCATTTGATAGATAGAGACGAGACTACACGAAACTAAAGCATCGAAATTTGTTTTGATAAATTTATATTTCGATCAAACAACTGAATGAACAGCAAAACATATCAAACAACAAAGCATAAATATGTTTCTATGTTAAACCCTCCAAATTTTTCGACAATTTGACGAATATTATGTTCTCTTGTTGCTTTTATGCAGTATAAACTGCATCAATCAGATGTATTTATAAAGTAAATTGTAAGGATTTGTAATTGTAATTCAACAGATTACAACTACATCAACTACATCGTTATTTAGAGCTGCTGTCAATATAGTCACGATAGCGAATATGGTAGCCAACAAGATATCCAACGATCGATAACGGTCATGGAACTAGAAGAAGAAGAATTCAACAGATATTGGACAGACGCATTAGTATTTACATACACGAATTATTGCACACAAAACAACATAAAAATCGTTGACTAAACACGACAGCCTTATCCAAACATTCTTTAAAAAATAACCATTCTTTCGATTTTGAAAATGCATACATTTTAGAAAGAGTCAAATTATAATTAAAGATATATATTGGAGATGATACACATTAAAAACAATCAATCTACAAAAACTACAAAACCATATCTGGAAGTGCACAGACATAATCCATATGTATTTTCGTTTTTAAGGAACCACCTTAATAATTTATTCCTTCATTTGCACCAGACTATTTTGTCACAAAAAAATCTATTAGTACTTACTTTTGCTGTTCAGGTACTGGGGATATTGTACGTTCTAGAGTAGTGTCATTTTCGTCCACATCTGCGGTACTTATTGATGGTCGACAAGTCGTGTCATTTTCTATCTAAAACACACAAGTATTTTTTATGATTTACTTAAAGAAATAGGGGTTGAAATTTTAAAAAATCATTAATTTTAAAAATACCTTAAAACATTAAAAAATACAGATATAATTTTGAATGAGCAACTTGTGACAAATAGTTTTCCCCTCCTCAACTTAGTTAAATACTATAAAATGTAAACGCATAGTAAAAATAGATCACTTAAGTAAAGCACTCTACCGAAACAGCTGTACTGATAATAAATGTTTTGTTTTTTTAGTTAAAAAATACCTATTTTCCGAAAACAAATTTTTGTAACTTAATTATAGCTGCTCTACCACTACACAATGGAGTCGCAATATACTGAAAAATGCTACAGTGTAAAAAGAGACATACGTTTAGAGAAAAAAGACATACAAATGCCTTTTGGTATATTGTATACCGCGATATATAAAAGAAATTACAGAATTTGTTTCTGGAAGAAAAAAGGTATTTTTCGAATGTTTCAGCGATCGCTGTATAGTAAAGACACATACTGTCTTGTCTCGTTTGTATCATCTAAAGTAGATGGCGCTACGTAGCGAAATTACTCTGTGGAGCTAAGCGCGAGGTGGTTCGGGTCTTTCTTTCGAACTTCTTGATGACGGCGGAGAGTGCTGAACATCTTGTTCCCACCGTGACGTCCAAGTGCGCGTAGCACAAAGAAAATCACCGCTAATGTTTGTTTTTTTAAATTCCGTAAGTACCGTCCCGACCCACTGCTAATTTTTAAGAAGAAAGCTTGGCTAAGAATCCCACCTTCATCTTTCCGAGTTTACCATCAGTTTTACCACAAATCACAGAGAGACTTTTAAAGACAAAAGACATGCATTCATGCCATCTGGTGCATTTTACGCCACTCTCCAAAAAAAACCTTATTTTTTAAGTGGTATTAAAAAATGTTTTTGGGGGTTTTGAAATTTTCAAATCTTTTAATTTAATATCCAATAAGATAATAAATAAGCCAGATTATTTCGTCCTAAATTTGACTACACTAAAATTTGGTTAGGCTGTTTAAAAATTGAGTATTATTAATTCTGCTACTTCCTGATCTAATTTCTAAGAAATAAATTGAAGAATATACCAAAAATTAAACTTAAAGATATTCAAATATCTATTTGCAACTACAAATTTAATTTGAAAATACAAACAGAAATAATTGTTTATACCTGCAGCACTTATTAAGAACTGTATTTTTTCCGTTTGTAAACCTTTACAACAAATTTTCAATTTATCATTTTCATCATCTGCAGGTATTTCCACAATATTGAAAAATAGTTTTCTTACTCCTATCTATAAATCTAACGAACGTGTGCTAGAGACCGTGCACAAAGAGCGAGCATTGATCAACATCATCAAAATGAGAAAGGTCCAATACTTCGGTCATATAATGAGAGGACCTAAATATCGCTTACTCCGGTTAATCATTCAGGGCAAAATCGAAGGAAAACGTTGGGTCGGAAGAAAACAACTGTCCTGGATGCGTAACATTAGACAATGGACAGGTCGAACGGTCGAGGAACTGTTTCATCTAGCTGCCGACCGGGAATCATGTTATCAGCTTGTCAATATGACGATAGTCAACGCTTGAATACAAGCACGGCACACAAAGAAGAAGATCTATAAATCTGGCAATCGTGAGTGTGTTAACTATTATAGAGGTATAACTATTCAGTCAGCAAATCCCGAAACTTCTAGATAAATTGGTATCGATAAATCTCACCTGGGCTTGCAGAAACATAATTATTGGTGAACAACATGGATTTTCTAAGGGGAAGTCAACATTATAGTGTATTTTTATGTATGAGAGAGTAATAAAACAATAAATTATGTATGCAAATCCCTAAACTGTTGATACGGGTGACTCAATGAAAAACAGATATTTGTCAACAAGTTTACAGAAGTATATAGGAAAACAATTTTAAATTGAGTATGACCACCAGGTATAAAGGTTGGAGCAGAATAGAATACAATAGTTGTGAGGGTTACTAATCCCTAAATAAGGTTGCCAGTGTCGGAGTGATGGAGGTTAACAGGTACTCATGAATTTGCAAGAAATGTAAGATGTTTATTTTATTGGTTATATATAACCAATAAAAGTTTAATAAGTACCTACCTATTTGCAAAATAAAGTTTAATTCTTTAGATAAAATAAAACGTTTTATTTTATCTGAAATTAGTGCATTCCACGAAGTAAGGGTTTCAACAATCAAACATTTAATTCTTTACTTGCAGAAATCTACGACAGTAATTGACTAGATAATTACCTTCTAAACTTATTCCACAGAAAATGTGATAGTGGGTTTTTCCATTTTGTAGGAAGGTCCAAGTGGCGTATTCAAAATTCTTAACAGTTCACTAAAAGTAGGTACTTCAGTTGCAAGGTGCAGTTTATTGTGTATACTAGTGTTATGGAAAATTTGGAAGTGCCGTGTAAACGCCGAAAAATTGGTCCTTTAACAGTTAATGAAAAAACATTAATATTTAATTGTTTTAAATCATTTACAGACAAACGTTTATGTGAAAGTGTTGATGAGACCGTTGAGTTAGTTAGCAGTACACTTGGTGTTGGGAAATCTACGATTTACAGAGTTATTAAAGAAGAGAAATGTGGTAGTTTTCAAATGCCACGTAATGCTCCAGGGAAACCAAAATTTCAAATAGAATATCATTTTAAAGAAGGACTTCGACGGAAAGTGCATGAATTCTTCTTTAGACAAGAATTTCCAACATTGGATAAAGTTCTTGTCTCAGTTCGAGATGATAAGGATTACCCAGAAATGAGTCGAAGTACGTTATGGAAACTTTTAAAAGAAATAGGCTTCCGCTGGAAAAAGAATCCCAGAAAGTCTATTTTATTAGAAAGAAGCAATATTCTCATATGGAGAAGACATTTTCTAAGAACCATAAAGGAAATGAGAAACCAAAAAAGAAAAATATTTTATCTTGATGAAACATGGATCAACGAGGGTCATACACCAAATAAATTTTGGCAGGATGAAACTGTTACAAGTCAAAGGCACGCTTTTGTAAATAACTTATCTACTGGTTTAAACCCACCATCAGGAAAGGGACGCAGGCTGATAATAGTACACATTGGCAGTTCAGACGGTTTTGTTGAAGGTGGTTTATTAACTTTTGAATCAACTCGTACCGGTGACTACCATGAAGACATGAACGCTGATGTCTTTCAAGAATGGTTCGAACAAATGATATGTTACGATAAATTCTGACCCAAAATCGTAAATATATTTTACTAATATGTTTTTATTCATTCATGAATGTTCTAGGTATACCTACCTGACGAAAATCAGCCGAGCCGCTATAAAAAAAACTCGTTCCAGTTTATTCGAGACAATGCAGGTCAACATCCATGGGGTCTCCCCTCGGCTATAATACCAGTAGTACGTCACATTCCAGTATTTTCGCCAAGGGTCAGGTCAGGTCTAGGCGGTCTTACGGTTCTTTATATAAGAACGAACTTTTATTGAAGGGGTCAGTCATAAGAAGATCGGTAAACGCGGTTTACTTGTAACGAAACGTGAAATAAATACATTTGTAAAGTTATTTAATAAATTAGTAATTAGCTACCGTGAGTTTTAATAAATTAGATTATAGACAATAAATTAGAATAAAGACAAATAAATTCGAACTATATAAATATACAACAGATAGATCTTCTTCCTAAGAACTGTGTAATAGTAATGGATAATGCAAGTTATCACTCCGGACTTATAAAAGGACTGCCCACAACCAAGTGGTTAAAAAAAGACTTGCAGAATTGGCTGAGTTCAAAAAATATTACGTACCATCCCGGATCTATAAGAAAGGAACTTTATTCGTTGTGTGCCCTTCATAAAGAAAAATTTTAAAAATACGAAATTGATGAAATTGCCAAAAATCGTGGAATGACAGTACTTAGATCCCCACCATATCATTGTGAATTAAACCCGATTGAACTGGTATGGGCACAGATAAAGAGTGAAGTTTCAAGAAAAAATACCACTTTTAAAATTCATGATGTTAAACAGTTGTTTTTGGAGGCCCTAAATAATGTAAAACCTGAAAACTGGGAAAAGGCAGTAAATCACACTATTAAAGAAGAGGAAAAAATGTGGAAGCTGGACAATCTTACTGATAAAATGATCGAGCCAGTTATTATAAATCTTGGTTCTGAAAGTTCATCTTCTGAATCTGATTTGGATTTGTAACAAGTAGCTGTAAGTTTTATATTAATATTTTTATTCATCTATTTAACATACCTTAGACGGTTTTAAAAACTCTTTTTCTCTTATGTAATTTTTAAAAATTAAAAAAAATGTGAATTTTTTAAAACCCTTTTTAATGTAGGCCAGTCAGTTCTAATATAGTGTGTGATAAAAGAGGTCACTTTTGTTTACATACACATAACACCATGGACGTATAAACACAGATGGACTCAGTTATTTACATAAAATTGTGAAGTCAAAATTATTTGAATAAGTCACATTCTGAACACCTTCAACTGTTGTCACGTTTTGTTTTAAAATTTCTTATTCGCGAGTCGCTGAAAATATTACTCCACATTTTATACTCTACAGGTGCTATCAAACCAAAATAATAATTTATTGGTTATATTAATATATTAATTGTAATCAAAATATCATGTATGCACATAGTGTGCATTATCATTTTTAATGATAGCGTATAATAATCAATTATTTTATATGTAGAAGCACCGAAAACTATTTATAAATGGCAACGGTTGTTTACATTTCTCTGTCTTATGGATCTACGTCAAACTTCAAATGCTGTTCCATGTTTGTTTACTTTTAACAATAAATGAGGAAAAAGTTATTTTTCGATATTTTGGCTGTATTTTGAGTGATATTTGTGAAAAGTGAAATAAAATAAACGAAATATTTACATCCCGATTTCTCATTTCATTTGTAATTACATACAATTTACATTATTTAAGATGAGGAAATGAGGAAGCGTGTTTGTTTACATTTTAATAGGCGTACCATTGGGTTTATTTATGTTCATTAATGTATTGAATAAGATATGATAGACATTTATAAATTGTAAGTAGACATCATCTGATTAAAAAAGATCTATTTAGTACCTTTTTAATTTAATATTTCTCATGGATACAAATAAATTAGTGAAATGAATAAAACTTATTTATTTTTCTATGTAGGTTTCCAAATAATATTGACGATCGAACTATTTGGGTAGCAAATTAAGGAGAAAACATAAAGATTTTTTATTGTAGCATTATTTTGATACTATTAAAAAATTAACTTGAATTCAACTATATTTAATTGTATTAATTTTAAAGCAAATAAAATTGTATTTTAATTTTTCTATAAAGACGTGATTTGTTAATAGTTAAACTCTCGATTTTTTTTTAATTCTTTGTGTTGTAACGTGTTTTTATACATTATTACTACTTCCAATTTTTAAAATCTGAATAATTACCCGCGAGCGAGTAAAAATTCAAGCACGCTTATGCTCTTGCGGAAGCATCACATTCTATCGAAGCTTCAAAACATTGTGTGTTAAAGGTATCTTATTGCTGTGTCCATCTATGTTTATACGTCCATGCATAACACTTTATAACACTGAAATAATTCATTTATTTTTTACAATTATTCAAAGTAATTTTTCAATTAATCTTGAGCACGCCCATGGAGTGGTCGGAGGTACCAGTTAAAATTATGCTAATTACTCTCTCGTTCATAAAAATAAACTATAACAAACCTTGTCAATTACCAAGAATACTCGTTGGGTGCATTTGAGAATAAAATTCAGATCGACAGCATTTACCTGATCGACCTGGTTAATCACAACCTTTTGGTCCACAAACTGCATGCATCTGGCTTTGATGACCCTATTGTTAATTGGATAAAAAGTTTTCTGATGGGACGTGCACAGCAAGTTCGTATTAACAATTCTATTTCAAAATTATTCCATTGTTGTTTGTGTGTCCCACAAAGGTCTCATTGTGGTCCCTTGTTTTTTAACTTGTTAATTAACGATATTGGTAAGCCTATCAAAAACTCACACTTTATGTTATTCGCTGATGAAGTTATTTCGTTGTATACATGATAAATCGGATAGAGATCTCTTGTAAGATGATGTAAATAATATATGTTTATGGTCTAAACAAAACGGTTTAAGCTTAAATCCAACTAAATGTTCTTATATTTCATTTGGTCGTATAAATAATCTAACAGCTAATAGATATGGTCTTAATGATGTACTCTTGGATTCAGTTACTGAAATTAGAGTTTTGGGTTTATTATTGTATTGTACATTGACATTTAGAAGTCATTTTCTTAATATTAAGGAAACAGGATTTCGTAATCTTGGTTTTATTTATCGTAACAATAATGATCTCTCACCTATTGTATTCAAATTATTGTATTGCTCTCTGGTTCGCTCAGGTCTTGAATACTACTCTGTTGTTTGGTCCCCATTTCATCAACTCTACATTGATGAATTGGAGAGCGATCAGCGGAAGTTTCTAAGATCTTTAGCTTTTAAAACACATATTAATATACGAAATACTGAGAATTATTTCATAGATTATTCTGTAATAATGTCTCAATTTAACATTGCTACACTAAAGAACCGCAGGTTGACAGTTGATATGTTAATTTGTTTAAAATTCTAAACAACGTTATTAATTATTCCCCGTTATTAACCAATGTGTACTTAAACAGAATACATAGAACTCGACACACTGGACTCTTTTATATTCCTTTTCAGAGGACTGATTATGCTCGTCATTTTCCCTTGTCGAGAATGCTCAGCTCTTGCAATGACTTCCTATTGGATCCATTCTGTCCAAACATTAAGGTTTTCAAAAGGCAACTTAAGACTCCAATTAATCTAAATATGTGATATTTTTTTACCTTTTGTGATTTGATATACTGTTTTAATGTACAAATTTTTACTGTTTAATTCTTTCTTTTTTTGTTTTGATGTTTATTGTACATGATATTTACTTTTTGCTATTTTTTGTATTTTACGGTTCTACCTTTGAAATAAATAAATAAATAATTAGATATACTTACTTTGTGGCTTGTGAATTTTCTGAACGACTATGACCTTGAAAGTACCTGTTCGTCAGGTCGTCCAAAATTATTAAAATTTGTAGAGTCGAAGCATAAATTTGTACTTTGCGTAAGCATGAGTCATAGCCATTTAGATAATCCACTACCTCTATATATATTTTACTTTGGTGACGGCATACTAACCTCTGTTTTAGACCAATCAGATCGATCTTTGCTGAAAAAATCGGACGCAGACCCCGAGGGTGATAAAAACGAAAAATTATCGAATGTACTGGCAAATTTAGTGCGACCTACACTACCACTCAGAATGGTGTTGTTTTCGTCTAACATGGAGTTGCTAACTTCGCCGGAGAGAGATGAAGGACTTTCTATAAGGGACTGCTGAGACGTATTTTGCCTATTATTTATATATTCAGGTCCGAGAGGGCTGAGATAAATACGTATCTAAAAAAATGTAATAAATGAGTAACGTTGATAGCCGATCGTAAAGCTCAACTATAAATGATGTTCAATAACTAATTGTAGATACATCACTTCAAAAGTCGCAATCTCTTTATTGCCACACTCCTGAATTAAATTATGTGAAATTAAATATATATATATATATATATATATATATATATATATATATATATATATATATATAATACGTTTACTCTAGTTACTTTTACTCAAATAACAACATTGCACGGAATATATTAAGCTTTATAATGAAATCTTAGCCTTCTTATTATTACGAATTATATTGTAACGGGAATTAAACCCTTCTTCTAAATGTGCCTATCTTCTAGAGATGTTGTCGACCACATTGACCCATCTTATTCTATTCACAGCAGCTCGAAATGGATCAGTTGACGTTAGACCAGTCCATTTCCTAGGATTGGCCAGCCAGGAAATACGTCTACGTCCAGGGCCTCTCTTGCCCTCAATATTGCCCTCTAGAATCAACTATAGAAGTCGGTATTTATCATTACGCATGATGAGGCCGAAGTAAGCCAATTTTTCTGTTTGTATGGTGTTAATAATTTCTTTGTCTTTTCTTAGGCTCTGGAGAATAGTTATGTTACTTGTGTGGTGTATATATGAGACCCTCAACATACGTCTGTAGCACCACATTTTAAATGCCTCCAATCGCTTTATAATATCTTCTGTAAGGCTCTAGCTTTCTACTTCATAGAGAAGGATACTACAAACGTAACGTCTAAGAATTTTTATGCGTATATTGATACTTAAAGATAAGTTGCAGATAATCTTCCTAAGGCTGTTGAAAGAGGTTTTGGCTTTTTCAATACGAGTTTTTATTTCGTAGCTGTGATCCCAAGTATCCTTAATATTGCAGCCTAAATAGCATATTTTTTTAACTCTTTCTAACGGTGTATCGTTAATTGTAATCTAGGCGTATATGTCGGTGTTCTTACTAATGATCATTATTTTTGTCTTCTTGCAATTTAGTTTTAGGCCATATTTGTTATGTGCGTCTACAACGTTATCCATCATCTTTTGGAGCCCCTACGCACTATCCGCCAGCAAAACTGTATCGTCTGCATATCTATTGTTGTTTATAAGTTGGCCATTTACAGCAATCCCATCTTCTGATTCGTCCAAGGCCTCTCTAAAGATGTTTTCAGAGTATATGTTAAATAATCCCCTTGACAATATGCAACCCTGTCCCACTCCTTTTTCGACTGTGAAGATCTCGGACAGTTCATTTTCTAATCGTCATCATTATCATCAGTAACTCGACAACCCTTTCTGGGTCCTGGCTTGTTCTAGAATTTTCCGCCATTCTGTTCTGTCCCTTGCTTTGTTTTTCCAGTTGGTAATCTTAAGTGTTTTCAGATCTTGTTTCTCTTGTTCCATGTATCTAAGTTTGGGTCTTCCCTTTGACCTTCTCCCTACTGGTGTTTGCCTCATTATATGTTTTGGCGTTTCAGTCTCCAACATCCGATTAACATGGCCCATCCAGCGCAGACGTCCAATCTTTATGGATGTTATGATCTCGGGTTCATTGCATGCTGTGTATAGTTCAAAGTTCTATCTTCTGCGCCATATATCATTTTCCTTTACCCCCTTATATATGTGTCTAAGGATTTTTCGTTGAACCTTCTCGAAATCAATGAAACATCGCAGGGATGTCAACACATCGCAGTTGACATCCCTGGCTCTCTGTATTAGAACTTGAAAACTAAAAAGTGCTTCTCCCTTCCGAGTTCTGCTCTGAATCCAAATTGAAATTCACTCAGTGTTATTCTAATTTGGTATATATGCGCCAGTGAATACTTTGAATACAGTGAAGGAATACTTTAAGTACATGGCTCATCAAACTAATTAATATATGTTCTCCACATTTTCTACCGTTGGCTTTTTTAGGAAGTGGAATGAATATTGATAGTAGCCAGTCTTTTGGTAGTACCAGTCTCGTAGATGTTGCTGAATAGCTTCGTAAGAGCTGTGATTTGGTGTGACTCTAATAGCTTTAAAATTTCACCATGCACCTCATCAGGTCCTGGTGATTTCCCATCTCTAAATGCGCGTACAGACCTACAAACGCATGCGATGAGCAGCCACGAATACACATACGTGTGCAAATGTGGACGGCGCTTTCGTAACCTCTCGCCGCATGCGTTGCTTCTCGCGAATGACTTGAGCATACATGCTACGAGCCAGAGTGTTGTCGGTTTTTTCGCACACATCAAAGAAACATACGTGTGCGTTTGCGCTCAGTTTAGACGGATAGCGTGGGATTTGTTGCATTTGTAAGACAAGTTCGGATTTATTGAGTTTTATTTGTGTGTGTGTGTGTGTGAGTTTGTGCATTATTGGCTTCGGAGACTCTGTCCATTCGCCATCTTACCTTTATGGGATAATTTTGTATTTTTTATTCGGAAGCAATAAAGGAGTGCTCCTTGCTTTCTTCTCGTTTGCTATACAATCATAGTCCTGCTCTAATTTTACAAAGAATTATTTCCTATATATCTAATTTTACAATTTTACCTTAGACTTGTATTACTGTTATAACATATATTCAGCTTGTTTTGAATTATTTACTTTTGTTGTGTGTTTTTTTTTATTTCTTTTTTTCTTTTTTTTATACATACATTTATACATATATACCTACATATAATTATTATTTTCTCTCATCTTTTTATCTTATATAATTTGGGATATTAGACTAGGATACAATTTGACGCTCAGGGGTCGATCAGAGCATTTAGACGAGACAGGTGGACCTCGGATAGACTTAGGGCTTTGCACGAAGGGAAAAAAACATAGGTTATAAACTTAATCTAATACATAAAATATGTTTATACAAAATTTGATAAATATTACAATCTTCTGAACTTAATAATTGGGTTAGGTTATATGGTTGGATGATTTTGGGTATTTTGGTTATTTCTTCATTTAATATTTTTACTTCATTACTTATTTTAGGACAGCCTAATATCATGTGCTCTGTTGTACCTTCTTCTCCGCATGGACAATCAGGAGAAACACTTAATTTTATTTTATATTTATACTGCGGAGTTAAAACATGGTTGAACCTTAATCTGCACAATACAGAGAAAAACCGCTTACTTCCCGACAGTCTTGAGAACCAAGATTGGCTAGGAGGCTCGATAACTATGTTTTTATAAAATTTTCCTTTTGGACTGCTTCTATACATTTCTCTCCATTCTGTTAGTAATATGGGCTTTACGTGGCGAGCAATTTCATTGTGAGGACATTTATAATTTAAATATTCTCCTGTTCTACTTCCTATTTTAGCTTCTTCGTCTACTTCTTCATTTTCTTTTATTCCACAATGCCCTTTAATCCAAACAAGTGATACATTAATTTTTTAAGATTGTAGTTCATGAAGTTTAGTAATTATTTTGGTAAAAATATAATTACTATTGACCTGGTGGATATTTTTTATTTTGATAACAGCACTTTTACTATCACAAATTGCAAATGATTCTTCTGTAACTTTCATATAGAAGAGCTTCTAATATGGGAGTTTTATTTATTTTATTGATTTATGTGTAAAATGGAGTGGTCAAATGAACAATGTTTGCAATTAATAGATTTGTATGAAGAAAACCCTATATTATGTTATCAGTAAACGTTCCTTAACAGGTATGGCTTTTCGTAAGACTGCGTCGTTTTTCTTTATTACGGGGCCTATATCATTTAAAAGGCGTTCAAAGTTTTCTTCTGACATACGTGTAAAAGTTTGAATTTGTTCAGTATTAGGTTCTAATGCCAAATCTACTAGTAAATCGGACTTCATTTGTAGGGTTCTTTTAAATAAATGCGCCGTCTACCATCGCCTATTTTTCCTTTGTTTTTTCTTTTTTAATGAACTAATAACCACAAACGCGGCACTAACCATAAGCAGCTCCTCATCAGACATTTTTTCACGAATGGATGGAGCGCCTTGAGCACGCATACATATGCGGTGATTTCTAATTTCAACGAATGCTCTGAGCGCGAATGGTTTGAGTACGCACGCATATGCGTGGCTTCTCACCGCATGCGTGTGCTAGTCTGTACGCGCCTTAATCCGCTTAATGGCCATATTTACTTCTTTGTTTGTTATTTCTGGGCCGTAGGGATTGTTTATTTCAGTCGGACTTCGTGCTGCATCTTTGAATAATTCTTGCATATATTCTTTCCATCTTCATAATTAAACTCACGGTTCAATTTATTTACACTTTTATTTACTACAGACTAGACTTAACTCCATAGCAATAATAATCTGGCGACATAAAACACATTCTTTATACCAATTATCATTGTCTTCCACGCATGAAACTAAAGACAAACCAGCTTCCGCCTGTGTAAAGAGGAAAGTGTTAAGTAAAGATACATATTATTTTTATGAACGATCTAGACTCAATACATCGAAAAGAGAAAGGTACAAAAAGACGCTCGGTGGCGTTTTCACATTTTAAGTAGAATTTGTGACCAGAGACCACTAATAACTAGACGTTTCACGTAGGTAGCTCAAGGTCCAACTAAACTAAATGCCATTTGTAGTACCGATACAAATCTTTTGATGTCGCTATACTCTACATATAGTCTATATTCTGCATTTTAGGTTTGGAACCAAACTAAAAATTATAATTGTCAATTGCCAATTGTCAGTAATTGATTAGCGCCTATATAATCAGATTTCAGATGATTATTATTCGTCTAGATTGTTTGATTTGATGGTTATTATTGCTTATATTAGTTATAAGAAATCAAACTAAACTTGGTTTAATATCTCTGGGTTATTGTTAGTATTAACATGTGGCTTAGTGTTATAAAAAATCATAATTTAGATATGATGAATTCCACTGCAGTTTTTAAAACAAAACGAATATGCGACAGGCACTTTGAAGATGTTTGCTTCTACATGGAGTCATAGCTTGTACCAAAATGCAATTCCCGAGAACAAATAGCTGATTGATTTTGGATTATTCTTCTAATCTACATCCCAGAAGTATTTGAATGTTTTACGTGAAAGCAAATGTAATAGAAAGTAAGTATGATTTGTAATTATTAAAAATTATTTTTCTTGAAGTGAATAATGGTATAAATTATTATATCAACTTTTTGTTTTAGTTGAAAGTTTTTCAACAAGTAGAGATGCACAATCTACACACATGTTTCAATAATTTGAGATACCCTATTGTAGTAAATAAAATTGTACAATTTTCAGTGGTAATTAAGCATATTTCTATTGTATTCTAAATTGATCATAATCATGGTGCCACAAGATCGTGTATACGAATCACTCAAAGTTTCGTTTCTTCAGATTTCATATTTATGTAGGTAAAACAGATAAACGACATCGTTTCGTTTTCTTCAATGTAAAAATTCGCCTTCAAAATTTAATGTATAAATGAACAAATGTAATAAAGCAAAGTTTCGAAACTTACCTCTCTAATACGGTCCGTAATTGGCGATGGATTGCTTACCATCGATTGATTGCTTACCATCGATTGATTGCTTACCATCGATGGATGTTTGCTTAGCATCGATGGATGATTGCTTACCATCGATGGATGATTGCTTACCATCGATGGATGATTGCTTACCATTGATGGATGATTGCTTACCATCGATGAATGATTGCCTAGCATCGATGGATTGCTTACCATCGATGGATCGATTTCGTCGACTTCCTCAATGGTCAAAAGCCGTTGGCTAAAATAAAACAAAAAATTAAGGTACAGATTCACCTATAGCATGACTCTACAACGTATGTTAATCTGAGAATTATTTATAGAGAATGTAATGAAGGAAGAAATGGCAGAACACAGATATTGATCAAATATTAACTAATGGTATATTTCTGTTTTTAATTTTAATAGTCTTCGTTATATGTAGTAACGTTATGACAAAAGAGTGGGATTCGAATGAGTTTTAAATTAATTTTTTAGTAACAAAATATAACAGATTAACATTAATTAACAAAACACTAGTTGTTGAACATTATTATCTTGAACTATGTGTAATTTGGTGACTTTTGAAAAATAAGATTTTTTGAAGCAAAAAGAACCTATGTATGAAGTTTCAAGAGTCTAAGACTTTTGTCCAATAATTAGCGCACAAGACGATTATAGTATAATCATAATAGACTTCCCCTGTCTGTACCTAAAGTTCTCGCTCTTCTGATGTTTGCAACCAGATTTTGTTTACCTTTCTTAAATCATTCAGGTAGCGTGTAGGTAAACTTCCTCTAATTCGCTTATCTGCTCTTGGTCTCCATTCCAGTAGTTCATCTTCAATCCTTAATTGCTGCCATATGTCCAACCCACTTCCATTTCAGGTTACACATAATTTCTATGACATCTATATTAGTTTTAGTTTGTAAATCTTAGTTTCTGATCTTGTCTTACAGCTAGATACCTATTATTGATAGTTCCATTCGTCTTTATGTTACCATTAGTCTCTAAATGTTTCTGTGCAGTGCACCATTCAGCATTACTGGTATACTATAACAAGTTTCAATTAAAGTTGACTCATCTACAAATTGATTTGAGAGCTAACGGCAAAAATGTTAAATGTTATGAGTAAATTCTTACCGGTACTTACCGGGGTGAAAAGTAAAACGGTTCATAAAATTTGACTCCGTAACAATATACCTTCGGTATACCGGTGCGATTCACGAGCGAATAGTTGAACAAGTTCGTTGAATACTTTAAAACATTGATAAACTTATCAACACTTCGCTGGTCTATATATTTACGTCCTTGGAGAGAATGGGAATACAAGAAATAGTTTATTCGTTTCACATTCCATATCTGCATAGGCGTGGTATGTTCTATTTCTTGTAAATATATTTATTTAATATATTTATTAAATATAAAATAGTTTTTGAAGTAGGTAAACAACAGACAAATAGCAGAATATGATTGATGTTTATTCTATTGATAGCATTAAGATGGATGTCGTAGCGGGCCCAAGTAATGCACGAAGAAAGCGGAAGTTTACGTCGGTAGAAGAAAAGCAGATTGTCTTTAGACTGTATGAAAATTTAAAAAATGCACTTTGTACAGTGGAGGCTGTAGCTCAGTGTTCATTTTTAACGGGAGTATCCGTGTCGACAATTAAACGCATTGTACTTGAAAAAAAAAAAGGTCACAGGGATTGTGCAAGCTTCAAAAGTACATTGTCGTGGTAAAAAAATTGAATTGTACGAGTATCAGAAAAATTTTGTACAAACTATCATTCTTTCTTTTTTTTTGAGAATAAAGCGCCAACCCTCAAATCGATTAGGACAAATGTAATGGAGAATGACATCATTCCAAAAATGAGCAAAGAGACGTTAAGGATAAAAATAAAAGAAGATTTAAAATTTGTATATGCCAAAAGATCCCGTAAATCTGTCTTAATAGAAAGAGAAGATTTAATCTCAAGGCGACGAAGATATCTTCGCTCTATAAGAGAGGTTCGTTCTGTCCACAAAAAAAAAATTATGATCTGGGTGAATGCTGGGAATAGTAGACATTGTCGACAAAATAATAATAGACTAAAGTGTGACTGGGATTCCTCTTCGGACGAGTCGCTGGATTCCGAAAAGCATAACTTAATTATTATTTATTGAAGTTATACTTCTATACGCACGGTCGGCGTTGGAAATTTGCATGAGAGTGAATCTGTGAAACCATTACATATGTAAGATAATGAGTAAGAGAGACAGACGATATATTTTCTCTCTCTTCCTCTCTCGAGAATAAAAATGTTCCTTTTGTATGTATGTATATATATATATATATATATATATATATATATATATATATACAAAAGGAACATTTTTATTCTCGAGAGAGGAAGAGAGAGAAAATATATCGTCTGTCTCTCTTACTCATTATCTTACATATGTAATGGTTTCACAGATTCACTCTCATGCAAATTTCCAACGCCGACCGTGCGTATAGGAGTATAACTATATATATGTATATATATATATATATATATATGTTGAACAATTATTCCGGGAAAATATCCGTTGGTCATTTTTTAATTGCAGACGTTTCGCCAAGGTCTCACTTGGCATCTTCTGTGCGTTGTCTTCGGTCTCGTAGTCGATAACTGAATGAGCTGCGCTCAGTCCTCACTTCTTTTATATCGTGCGCTGTTCGAGCGGATCGTCGCTGATTGGCCGTATTCGTTACGCCGCTAGGCCCCGCCCCCTGGGGAGCGAAGCTCAGGCAGTCAGTTTGATGTTGGCGTCTCGAGATTATGGACTTCCAAGCTTGGGGCAGATTTAAGGAGTCGTCACGTTTGTTAAGAAGACCTTCTTTTTTCAATTTCTATAGATTCTCTGATGGTTCTTGTTTTGAAGTGTTCAATGTTGGCTATTTGTTTGCAACTTTCGAAGTTTATTTTATGGCCTGTGTTATGCTCGTGTTGAAATAGAGCAGATGTTAGCTGTCTGTTGCGAATTGCTAGTTTGTGTTCCTCTAATCTTGCGGAAATTCTCCTGTTGGTTTGTCCGATGTAGGTTTGGTGACAGGTTCCACATGCAATTTTGTAAACACCCTGATTTTCCAGTTTGGTTGCATCTTTGGGGTTTCTTAAGATCGATCGAACTGTTTGCTTCGGTTTGTAGATTGTCGATATGTTCTTTTTTCGGAGAATGCGCCCTATCTTGTCGGTGGTTCCTTTCACGTATGGTAGAATAGCTCTTGGTTGATTTTTGTTGTCTTCTTGTGTGTTTTGTGTGGTCTTCCGTTGTTTCTTTATTGCTTTGTAGATGGTGTTTGAGCTGTATCCATTTTGTTTCAGTATTGTTTTTATGTTCTTGAGTTCTGCATTTCTATGTGTAGTACAGGTCAGGCTATTTGATCTTGATATCAGAGTGTCAGCTACTCCTTGTATTTGGGAAGGATGGTGGTGCGAGTTGGCTTGTAGATATCTATCGGTGTGAGTTGGTTTTCTATATACTGTGTGTTCAAATTTACCACTCGGTGTTTTTATTGCGAGAACATCTAAAAATGGAAGTTGGTTGTTATCTTCAATCTCCAGGGTGAATTGGATTTTTGGGTGTTGATTATTTAGATGATTAAGAAATTGTTCAAGTTCTACTCTTCCATGGGTCCAGATCACAAATACGTCATCTACGTATCTTAGCCACAGTTTCGGTTTTTTATCGTATGTTTTGATGGCTTTTTCTTCAAAGTAAATCATGAACATATTGGCCACCGCCGGTGATAATGATGAACCCATTGCTGCTCCATCTGTTTGTCGGTACATTTGTCCATCGTACATGAAGTATGCATTGTTGAGGCAGTGGTGAGCTAGTTCTATGATATGGTCAGGAAGGTCTTCGTATTCCGATATTAACTGGAGTGCTTCGTTTACTGGTACGTTGGTGTATAATGACTTGACATCGAAACTAGCTATAATGTCATTGTTGTTGAGTGTAGTTGAAGTCAATATTTGTGTGAAGTGGTGTGAGTTTTTAACGTATGAGGATGCCTTTTCCGTGATGGGTTGGAGTATCTGCGCTATGTACCGTTCAAGTTTTTGTAGGGGTGAATTGAATGCGCTAACGATGGATCGCATAGGTACACCTGGCTTGTGGATTTTTGGAAGACCGTAGAATTTTGGGCATCTACTGGATTTTTCTCTTGGTATGAGTGCCCTTTTTGTTGTTTCGTCGATAGGAGATTTGTTGATTTTAGTTTTTGTAGTTTTCTCCAAGTATGTGGTGGGGTCCCTCGATACCGCTTTATATGTTTCATCTTTTAGGAGGTCTTGCATTTTTGATTTGTATTCCCCGATGTTCATGACGACAGTTGTGTTTCCTTTGTCGGCCGGTAGTATGATGATGGATTGATTTTTATTGAGGTGTTTGAGGGCTTGATGCTCCTTGTGCGTAAGATTAGGCCTCGGTGGTTTCGCTTTTCTGAGGATGCTGGCAACCCGGTGTCTTATTTCCTCTGCATCTTGCTCGTTTAATGTTGTTAAGCTTGATTCAACATTGGCTATGATTTCCTCTTTGGGTATTACTTTTGGTGCGATGGCATAGTTGAACCCTTTCTCCAGAACGCTCTTTTCGGGTTCAGAAAGAGGATAGTCTGACATGTTATGTACAGTATGTTTGTTGCATGTTGGCTGTGGAAATTTCGTTGTTTTTGGTTTGAGCTTTTCTATCTTTCCCTCTAGCTTTTTTGTTGAAATTTGTTTATCTGTTTCAATGCGCCAGTATGTAAGTAATTCAAGTTGGTTCCATAGAAGTGCATGAATGGTTTCGCTCAACTGTAGATGTAGTTTGTACAGGCGGTTCTCAACCACGCTTATGTTGAATCGTGTTTTCTTTATTTCTGCTCTAAGTAGAGCAATGCTGGCTTGTTTTAAAATAGCTTTAGTCTTTCTCGTGTTTGTATGATGAGAAAGTTTTGTAAATGTAGGTTGAAGGTCCAAGTCTCGGCATTGTAGTAGGAAGGTGAGGTTGCATAGTAATTGACATCTCTTTTTCCTTAAACTCTCATAAGTTTTGGTGGCATTAAATGTCTCCTCCCCGTAGAGGTGAATAATGTTAGTTTGAAGTGTTTCACGGATGGAGTAATATGTTGAACAATTATTCCGGGAAAATATCCGTTGGTCATTTTTTAATTGCAGACGTTTCGCCAAGGTCTCACTTGGCATCTTCTGTGCGTTGTCTTCGGTCTCGTAGTCGATAACTGAATGAGCTGCGCTCAGTCCTCACTTCTTTTATATCGTGCGCTGTTCGAGCGGATCGTCGCTGATTGGCCGTATTCGTTACGCCGCTAGGCCCCGCCCCCTGGGGAGCGAAGCTCAGGCAGTCAGTTTGATGTTGGCGTCTCGAGATTATGGACTTCCAAGCTTGGGGCAGATTTAAGGAGTCGTCACGTTTGTTAAGAAGACCTTCTTTTTCAATTTCTATAGATTCTCTGATGGTTCTTGTTTTGAAGTGTTCAATGTTGGCTATTTGTTTGCAACTTTCGAAGTTTATTTTATGGCCTGTGTTATGCTCGTGTTGAAATAGAGCAGATGTTAGCTGTCTGTTGCGAATTGCTAGTTTGTGTTCCTCTAATCTTGCGGAAATTCTCCTGTTGGTTTGTCCGATGTAGGTTTGGTGACAGGTTCCACATGCAATTTTGTAAACACCCTGATTTTCCAGTTTGGTTGCATCTTTGGGGTTTCTTAAGATCGATCGAACTGTTTGCTTCGGTTTGTAGATTGTCGATATGTTCTTTTTTCGGAGAATGCGCCCTATCTTGTCGGTGGTTCCTTAAAAAATGACCAACGGATATTTTCCCGGAATAATTGTTCAACATATTACTCCATCCGTGAAACACTTCAAACTAACATATATATATATATATATATATATATATATATATATATATATATATATATATATATTATTTATGTATGTTTTGTATGATTTATTAAACGTTTATAATTATTTTAGGCTTTTGTATTTCAAAATAATCACTGTCTGACCGAGAACTGTCAATTTTGAAATCTGTTAGTGTTATGTCTGATTGGCAAATTCTTTATCTGTTTGGTTCATACGCTGGTGGTTGTGAGTTCGAATCCCAATTACGAATTTCCTTTTTTATTTTTAAAATATTTAAAAACCTCACGTTAATCTTATTAAATATATGTAATATACACAAAAATGCTAAATTTTAAAATAAAATGAAAATTTACAACATAATCCGAGTTGTTGGTTTTTTATTTTTATTTTCGTAAAGTAAGTTATGTATATTGGCTGTAAGTTTTAAATACTTATGAATATTACATTTTAATTTATATTGTATTATTATATTGAATTATGTTGCAGTGTATTTATTGTATTGTAATTTTTATAGTAATAACAAAATAAACAATGAATTTTACTGCAGAGTATGTGTAAATTTTTTTTTGCATTCAACTCCTTTTATACATATATGAAAATAAAAATATATATTTTCATTAAAATATTGATATAATTCTTCATTTACTATACTCCGATTACAGGTCAAATGTTTATATACAGCAAACGATGCGCCATATACCTATATAACTAATTATTTTTCTCTTTCTGCTCTCTCTTACCTATAGCATTACATATGTAATGATTGTGCAGATTAACTCCCATATAAATTTTTAACGGTGAACGCGTGTATAGAAGTATAACTTCTACCGGCAGTACTACTGGACTGCCACACCCGTTTTTTATTTCTTTGTTTTGCAATTCTCCTTCTACATTAAACATTTATTTTGCAAAATTTGATTATTTAATAATTATATCGGTCTTAGATTTAATTTTAAATAACTTAACTAATAATTTTAAATAATCTTAAATAAATGTTAAATAATTATTTAAATATTATTTTGGTACGCCTCTTCAAAGTTGATACGGGGAATATCGTTTGATCGCTTTAAGTGCGATGTTGCCAATGAATCACTTTCAATTGAAAATTGTTATAGTACATGCTGATCGCAGACTTTTCTCTTCATATTAATTGGAAAATTTTCGGAAGGTCTTAAAACAATGATACGTCTGTATGTAAAAATGTTAGCGGGTCTGGGCAATACTACACTTTGGATGAATTGGTAGTGTGTTGCCTAAATCGTGCTAGACAGGATGCTGATATAACAGACATTTAGGGACTAAACACCCGAAAATCTTTCAGGTCATAAGAATGAAAAGATCTTATCCGACGTAATAAATATACTGAAACAATGTGACCTCCTGAGGTAAAGTGTTCCAGAAGCAAACATAGCTTCTGTTATAAATCCCTACAACTAAGCCCTGTATAGGCTAATCCTATTATGGATTATCCCCATTATTCTCAGGAATACCTTCAGTGCATAGCTCATAAGTGCAATTGTCCGACAATAAGTGTTTTTGTATTATGCTTCTCAGGAATGTTTGTGAATGTCGATACTAAACATTCTTTTAAGTAACTGTACTAATGTACTTTTATTATCATAAAAATCAACCAAAATGTCATTTCTTCATTGACAAATTTAAAAAACTCCATTGAGATGTCAACTCATTGTCTTAGAAATTTTGGACCTGTTTCTTCAGTTTGCTTATCTACCATCTGTTTAATTGAGGTTTTGTCTCTGTCAAAATGTTACTATTCGAGTCATTTGTATTCGCTATTACATGTATAGGGTTTCATTTTTATGGCCCTTAAAATAGACTATATAGACTATAGACTCAGCTACATTTTATTTTCCCTAAGTATGTAATAAAAACGCCTACAATAAAATTCCACTATTTGGAAGAGTGATTTCATCGTTTAAATGCCAAATTTCCTCAAATTTAAATGTACACAGCGGCCTTCGAAAACTACCCGTTCAATTTGCGGTTTCTCATGAGAAATCACAGAATGTATAATTAGTACATTTATTTGTGCTTCTCTATAGCTGACTTGAACTTATCTGGACGCAATAACAAAACGTTGAAAATAAACGATATTAAAGAATTTCTTATTAAAGCGTTCCTCCATGTAACTTCAGATAAATGGGCTAAATGGGTTAAACAAGAACATCGTATGAGGGAACTTGACACTCATATCGAAGTTTTAATAGAGCCAATTATAATTACACCTGTTGAAGATAATGACAGCGATAGCAGTGCTGCATCTTCAGATTTAGACAGCGAATAATAGTTTCTAATTGTTTATTAAGTGTATAGTGTTTATTGTTTGTGTTAAAATAAAATAGTACGTTTTGTTACATTAGAAATTATTTTTATTTTGTTTCTATGGGATTTTATTTTGTTTTTATATTGTTTAAGATTTTTTTTCATTTTATATAATGGGACAATATGGCTCCTGCCGAACACCCATTAAAAAAAAGTAACGCACCAAAAGACGAACCTCTGGGCTGATGTGGAAATTGTCTTAAAATTTGTTTAAACAAAAAATTAATTCTTTAACTCTGTAAGGACGGGCCACTTCAATAGACGTTTTGTAACTTCCGCGACAGCCGGGTAGCATCAATAAGCTTTCTGCAAATTTATTTGTTTTTTTATATCTTTTTGCTTATGGTGTCTGTATTTTTAGGGGAATGTAGTAAATAAGCCAGAAAATAGTTATTCATGTTTAATTTACTGACGTTTCGATCTCTATATCCAGAGATTTTCATTTTTCTATAGGTTTTTGCTTGTGACATTCTGTATTTTTAGGAATAATGTTAATAAGAATAATCTATTAACTCGCAATAACCTTTTCTTGTTATTTGAAACGTTTTAAACGTTTGGTATTCCTTTTTTCAGGTAGCTTAGCTTCCTCTGTGGATGTGTTGGTTGTTGCTTTGAAAACTGGTCGCGTTGGAAACAAATTGGTCGCATTGCTCCTTTGGTGATCTTTTCCCAAGTTAACATGCTCCTGTTCTAACTTGGCTATACCGTACTGAAGACGACCAATAGTCAGAAATATGTATATACGGTTGCCATCCACCTTATACACATATTTTATTATATTTTTTTCCTTTGTTGCGAGTAAATCCGATACCTACTTACTTCGTTACTGAGCGTGATAACAAGTACGTCATCACGCCCAGATGGATAACGTCTCTCATATGACATATGTATATGCCAAAAATTCATAATATAAACATAAAAATTTACTCGTTTCATAATTTGTGTGCAAAGTTGTCTACAAGTCTCTAACTGAATAATTAGTTTGTCCCTAACTGAATAATTAGTTGGTCCCTAACTGTATAATTAGCGTAAAAGCTAATTAGGTCAAGATATTGACGGTTAGATTATGGACTTCTTACTATAATGCTAGGAGTAAAAAAATAAATTAAATCATACCAATAATCTTCATCATTATTTTCAACTTCTTCTTCATTTATCCCATCATCTTCCTCTTCCATGGCAAGGTTTGAACTGAAATCCACTAAAAAAAAACAAATTCAACATGTAATAGGACATTACTGAAAACATACACTTTGGTAGAAGTAATCGATTTTGACAATAGTGATTCCGACACAGTACACAAGTTTACATTTGAAAAAAAGTTCTACTAACTAGCCTAATAATTACGCCACTCAGTTTCATAGATTGTCCTCTTCAAATTTGTTTTTGATTGCAATTGTGTTAATAGTGCAGTATATTTTATTTCGTTTTTACTAGTTTTATACTAATTTCTAGTAATTAGTCATATTTAATTACCTTATAATGGGAAAATTCCCAGAGGTTGGTTGTATATCATAGTTAAAAAAACTTACAATGAAGTACAAACCTTCTACTGTAAGTGGTATAGTTTATAAAATACAGTGTGGGTATTAAATCTTACCCTCACTAGTGGACTCCGTTATTTAGGACAAAGATGAAAAACGCTCGGACCCGTCAATTTTTATTTTAATAGAGGTATTTTATAACATAAAAAAACTGTCACACCTTTCATCCCCTTCACTTGACAGCTACCCCCTCAGATTTTGTAAATAGCAATGGGGTGCGATAGTTCGTTGGAAAGGGTTTGAAAAGAGAATTCTAAAATTTATCACACTTTACTGTAACTTTAAGGATCTGCTTGTTAATAACGATTTATTGTTTGGAAATACACTTTGCGATACAACAATATAAAAGTAAGTACACTGGTTTTGCTTTAATATGGGACATTCGGTATAACAAAGTTTATTTAATTTTTATTCTTAAACGTTTATACCGAATTATTTTTTTGCAGAATAAATACTTTTGAGGCGTTAAGAGCGTAGGCGCAAATTTTAGATGAAGCGAATCGGCACCGACTGTCCTATCCCTAGTTTATCTTTCTTTACACAGCAAATTACGTGTAGTTAAATTCTCAATGGTATGAAAGCTTTAAAACGGTCGATATCTTGTTTATCCAGAATCGGCTTAGCACATGTATATCTGTGAAAAGCTGTGTTGTATAGGTATTGCTCAATTAATTCATAAAGACTTTATTTATTTCTTTATTTGCGTAAATTCAAATATGGGACGTTGTTACAAGAAATGTATTAGTGTAAAACGAAGAAATAGACGGTTAGCTCAATTGAAAGTACTTTTTATATAAATTAAATTAATTACTTTTGTATTTTTCTGTAAAACTGATTTGTAAATATATAGTGAAAATGTCATTTATAAAATCGATCAGTAAACCATAATGTTTTCATTACATTTTATTTTCCTTTAAAGTAATAAACTATCTGTTTGATTTTTGTGGATTGTATGTTTGTGGTTATCACTACTAGCATTGTAGTAAAAGGTTTACATGTTAATACACTATAAAGAAACTGTAGGTACTAAGTAAGTAATACATTCATTTGTTTTTAAAATTATTTAATTTGGAATATTATAGACGAGCACGATATTCTTGAGTGGCGGCTCAAAAAGTAAAAGAGATATTTATTAAGTAAGCCATACTTTTAATTTTTTTAACATGAAATGAATACGATTTTTCTATAACAGTCAATCCCGTATTTTCGAAGAACTTGCCAAGGAGAACATTTTCTTCTTCATTGAGTGCCTCTCCTATCGGAGATTGGATAATATTAGGGCGATTTTAATTATATTTACTGCTGTTTTGAATAATTCGTTAGTATTACAGCCAAACCACTCTCTTATATTTCTCATCCAGGACATTCTTCTATGGCCTGGATTTCTGCGTTCTTGGATTTTTCCTTGCAAGGAGGAGAACATAATAAAAGAATATTCAGCTACTACGTAAGTTTTTTTTACCAAATATAAAATGGAGTAGCAGTAAAAAGTACAGTAAACTTTTAAACATAAATAAATAATTTATATGTCTTTTAGACAAACTACTTCAGATTTCATATTACAAGGAAGAAGAATTTTAGATGTGCAATATTTTATTAGGCAAATACTGCAATTCCCTCACCACAGATTGTTCAATTGCTTTCGGAAGATATTACGATAACTAGTGAAAAGCGAAAAGGATGTTATTCTAAATTTACTCTCTGTTGCTCAATGTGTCGCATAAAACATGAAGTAGAAACTGAAAAATTTAAACAACTATCCCTCAACGTCAATTCTGCAGCAATAACTGGAATAGTTAGTATTGGTTGAGGATACACACTACTAACTGAATTACCGTCTAGTCTAAATATCCCACTACTATCAAAAAATATTATATTATATTATATTATTAAATAATTGACTTATACCATGAAAGTTCTTGGACATCAATGCTTGAGACTGGACAAGAAGAAATAAAATTAGCAAAAGAGCATGGAGATATTAATAAAGATGGCTATCGTTTTATAACTGTTGTTGCGGACTGCTCTTGGTCAAAGAAATCATATAAAACAAATTATAACGCCAATTCTGGAGCTGCAGCCATTATTGGTTACAGAACCCAAAAGATTCTGTATCTTGGAGTAACGTTAATTATACGGAGAAGATAAAGAACACGTATGTTATAAAAATTGGACAAAAGCTTCGACTACAATGGAAAGACAAATAATTCTAGATGTTATCAACAAAACGATATAGTTTCGATGGAAAACTAGTACCAATTTTCTTACGAAAGCTTTTAAAAAATAACATATTAAGATTAAGAACTGCTGTTACAAAAGCAACTAAATACCATCAACAATCAGCTAAACCAAGTGACTTAAGAATAAAGTTTTTGAAAAACGATACATCTAATATGCAGCAAGATTAAAATTCCATGCAAATAGTCTTTTAAAAAATATGAGTAACAATTATGCCAAACAATATAGTAATGTAATAGCAAAGTTTCTAGGAGGTAAAACAATAAATTATAGCTCTCGAGGGTCCTATGACATGAGATGCCACGCTGCTGGTTTGTCTTCTTCTTCTTATGGTGCCTATCCGTTACGGATGTTGGACACTAGCATGGCTATTCTGACTTTGTTGACTGCTGCCCTGAAAAGTCCGGTAGTGGTTAAGTTAAACCATTTCCGCAGGTTATGCAGCCAGGATATTCTTCTCCGTCCTGGACCTCTTTTCCCATGCACTTTACCTTGAAGTATGGTCCACCAAGTATGGTATGGTTACTATGAAGTATGTCGTAAAATTCTAAAGGTCAATATCAACAAGCCCTTCACAAAATTATTAATAATTTAGTCTATTAATAAACTCTGAAATAATTTAATCTACTCTTCAACTAAAAGTACGAATAAAATGTGAAAGTGCATATTATGTCTGTAGTTGCAGTAAATAAATTAAACCGGGTTAATTTGTCTATGCACACCATGTGTCACTGAACACCACCGGTTCCGACTAAAACATGGCTGATTCCTTCTGCGCGAAGGAGATGCGCGTACTTCTTTTTTTAAGCAGAGTGGGCATTCTGATTGTTTATTATTCTGTGCTTAAGGTATCCTATATATTGTTGAAACGATAATATAGTTAAAGTATAGTCATACTTTCATATACAAAATGTTCTAATTAAGGAAAAAATATTCTTCTTCTTCATGTACCATGTTCTTTCGGAACGTTGGTTACCATTATAGCTATCTTAATTGTATTCACTACCACCCTAAATAGCATGCTTGTATCAACACCATACCAATCTCGCAAGTTCTTTAACCATGAGGTTCTTCTTCGTCCTGACTGCGTTTGTCTGCTATTTTTTCTTGAATGATATTTTGTAGCAACCTATATTTGGGACCTCTCATTACATGTCCAAAATACTCCAGTTTTCTCTGTTTGGTGCTTTTTATGATCTCAGTGGTCTTGCTGAGACATTCTAGTATTGTGGAGTTTCGAATCTTCTCCACCCAGGAAACTTTTAAAATTCTTCTATAGCACCACATTTCGAAACCCTCAAGGCGATTTAGATCGATTTTATTTACAGTCCAGGACTCGACATCATAAAGTAAGACCGAGACCACGTAGCAGCGAAGTAGGCGGTTTCTCAAAGTCAATTTTAGGTCTCTGTTACATAACACCTTGGACATCCTTCTAAAGCTCTAGCCTGCTCTATCCTAGATCTAATTTCGTCGTGACTTTCTGCGTTACAATTTAATTGCTGTCCAAGGTAAACAACTAATGATAATAAGGAAAAAATATTAAAAAATTTAATATAACTAAAAAAACAAAATTTAATTGTGAAATAATTGTGATATAACAAATAATAAAATAATAATTATAAATAATTGACACTCTGTGTATTTGCATATAACTTTAAATACGTCGGTATTCTCTATTATTTCGCTTTCCCTACAATTAATATAAATATTGTTTGGCTAAATTCATTGGTTTAGGAGTTATCATTTTTTTAATGCCCTACAATTTAAGGAAAATCGAAATATCTCCGGAATTACAATATTAAGGTATAAAAAATGCAATAAAATACGGGAGTTCCATAAAAACAAACATACGTTTGATACGTCCACTTTATGAGACCCCTCGTATATTTCAAAATAATTTTAAAATTGCCTTTATATTCCCATTGCAAATTTATTTCGAACACTTTCGATAATACATCTGTTTTGAGAGTCGACAGACACGTTTTCCTAGAACTGCATCGACATAGATATAATAGTAGGGCATCGACACCCAAAAATTTCAAGCACAGATGTTTTTACCTCTTGAAAACACTCATTTATATGTAATTTCTTAGGGTAATAAAAAGCATATAAAACAATCCAGGAAACACACTTTTGAAATAATTCAATAATGATAAGTTATTAATTATGATTAATAGGATCTTATTGCAGAGAATATTTATTACACCTAACATACTTAATATCTTTTAATTAATAGTTTTTATTTTACTTTGAATGTAGGTACCTAGTTATTATACTATGTATTTTCCAGAGGCCTATGTAACCACTTTTTTCTATATCAATAGACAAACAATTTAAGTTTTAAGTCTTAAAAGTACCATTGATATAGTCCAAGATAAATATTGTAAATAAACAATAATGGTAAATTGAACTGAAAGCTAGAACATTGAAAAGTGTTTTAATCCTTAAACTCTAAAAAAAAATAAACACAAAAATATGTAGATGTGTAAAATGAAAAAAAAAGCGTTATACCTCTTCATGAAAGCAATCATTATTTATGATGTCAAAATTTAATAATTCACTCAAGATATTGTCATGCGCCACCTTCGTAGCTTTTCATATCTACACCATGGCCACTTTAGTTTATTCCTAAACTCGCATTTACGATTATGAAAACAAACTCTTATAAAATAATACTTTTATTTGAACTTTAATGACTTCATCTGATACTTAGATCTTCCATAAATAATAAATAATAAATCATTTATTATTAATTTCACATCTTAAATTAATTATTTATCAAATAAACTAATAATATTATTTAATAAGCAACACAAAATATTCCTGAAGCCGTGTCAAACATTTAGTAGCTTTGCCACCACTTTCAGTTCGACTGAGTGCGTTGTATGACAAAGATAGGGAATGTTCGATTTGGAAAATATTACCGCGGACATAGTGTTCATTTTTTTCGAATCCTGAAAAAACTAAAACATATTTTTGAAAAATTTAAACGCAGAATGAAAGATTACATTATTACCGAGGGCCGAAAGTCCATTAGAATAAACAAAAAGTTTTTTTGAATGAGATATATGAGATTAAAAATCACACTAAATTTTCTCTTGTTTTTCACCCCTGTAACTAATTAAAATAAACATTATAGAAGTTTTCAGGGACTTTCGGCCCTCGGTAATGATGTAATCTTTCATTCTGCGTTTAAATTTTTCAAAAATATTTATTAGTTTTCTCAGGATTCGAAAAAAATGATTGCATTTAAAAAGCATTGGCCCGAAATTTTGCGCCTACGCTCTTAAAACATATCGTGGTTAGAACAATTTTTTAAATAATCTAGTTGGCGTGTCTAGTTTTTGACAACTGTCATAAAAACCAAGCAATTAGCACTGTTGATTGTAAAGGATATTGACAAGAACTTGTGATTTCGTGGGCTTTAGTGGTAACCTGTAAATTTGTAGTATTCAAAAGTCAAAACAATCAAAATGGCACCACCTCGTAGATTAATAGACAAATGTGAAGCAATTTTAATATTTAGTGAAGCGGCGGTAACTACCATGAAGCTGTGAGAATATTTAATGAACGTTTTCCGAATCGTCCAATTGATCGACATTACTATAGACTACTTGTCACCAAATTGTGTGAAACTGGTTCTGTAGAAAGGAAAGGAAAAACAAGTAGATATTTTGTCTCAAGTTGTAGTGAATCCATCCAGTTCAACTAGAAATGTTGCTCGCGAATGCAAGTATATATATATATATATATATATATATATATATATATATATATATATATATATATATATAAATATATATATTTATTTTTCCGATGAAGCTACATTCTATTTAAATGGTCATGTACATCGACAAAACGTAAGATATTGCTCTGACAAAAACTCTCGATTGTTTCGAGAGTGTGATACTCAATTTCCCACTAAATTAAATGTTTGAGCAGGTATACTAGGGGATCACATTATAGGCCCTTTTTTATCGAAGTTAATTTAACGGGGGGAAGCTATCTTAATCTATTGGAAACAAATAATTCCTGTAATTAATGATGTGCTTAGAAACAATCCAGGCGAATTCACCCAAGATCTTGTTTTCCAGCAAGATGGAGCTCCGCCTCTTTACGATGCTCGCGTTCGAAATTTTTATAAGATGGATTGGACGTCGTGAATTCATTGAATGGCCACCAAGATCACCAGATCTTACTCCTTGACCTATGGGGTTACCTCAAATCCAAACTGTATGGGAGCCAGTTGACGACACTTGATGAGCTCCGTCAAAGAATAATCGAAGAATATAATAAGATTGATACGCAGATCCTACAAAGGGTTAGGGAGGCAACGAAACAAAAAATCTACTTCTGGCCAGGAAGTAAATGGAGAATATTTCGAGCGTCTCCTGCAGTAATTTAAGTTTTCTTTAGGATTATTTGCCAGTTCCTTTAATTTTAAAGATGGTGTTTAATACATTATTTTTTGTATATTTTATTTTAAATAAAACCATTATGCCATACAAAATTTCAAACATTACATTTTTGAATTCTTCTTTTCAATCCCTTTCCAACGAACTATCGCACGACCCCCATTGCTATTTAAAAAATTTGAGGGGGTAAATGTCAAGTGAAGGGGATGAAAGGTGTGACAATTTTTTTTATGTTATAAAATACATAAATCTATTAAAATAAAAATTGACGGGTCCGAGCGTTTTTCATCTTTGTCTTAAATAACGGAGTTCACTAGGGGTAAGACTTAATATCCACACTGTAGATATAGAATGCAGTATTAGCCAATAGACTAATTATGCACCAATCACAATTTTTTCGAAAAATATCATTCCCAAATGGAAGTAGATTCAGTCCAAAGTTGTATTGAGCGTGAGCTCAAAAATAGAAAAATTTATTTAACAAAAGATTTTCTAAGAACGACTGAAAAAGCAAGAATGAAACCAACACCATATAAATATAAACAATTAGAATATCAAAAATAAAAATAAAATAGACAGTTTAGATTTGATTTCGTTACAGCGTACTACCATTTGCTGATATGCATATCTCAGCCTCTTGGCGTCTTTAGAGCAAACTCATGACAAGCGATTTCCGATTTATATTCTAATTAGTATATACTTTTTTTACTAATTATTCTTTTGATAAGCATAAACTCTACAAATCTATAAGATCTCGTAGAGCAACGGCAGATTCTCAAGTGGCCGATATAAAAGTCATGAGTCCTGAGGGAATCATTCAGGTGAATGTGAAGCTTGATACGAATCATCTTTTGCTCAGTCTAACTTGTAGATTGAAGACAATGGATCCCATAAAACATTATCCAAACATTGAAATTAACAAAGAAGAAATGGATGCACTTACAGGAACTAAAAAGTGTTATTCCTAAGAATTGTCTTGCCTATTGCCTATTATGACTCACTTTCTTCGGCCTTGAACCAAAATATCCCCCCAACATCTCCTATCTGTAGAAAATGTGCTGAGAATAATAACTGCAATAAATTATATTCCAAACTTTCAATTGATTTTTTCTAGACTTACATATATTTTTACGCGAATTTACTACAAAACAAGTAAAAAAAATATTAAAATATCAGGCGACCCTAAAGAAGGTTTATTGTCTCTCCTACAAAGTACAAAACTCATGTTACAGCAGAGAGTTATTGTCACATCACCGACGATATACAAAACATTTTTGAGCATTAGGAATATGAATTAAAATTTTATAAGACAACTTACATTCTTCATGTTCTTCTTCCGCTACATGTTCCCTCGGTAGGCTTAATGCATTTCTTCTAGGATACCGAGAAACAAAATCAATCTAAAAAAATAAGATAATAGAATAAATTTTTTAAATTGGGTATTTTAAAGGGGAAGGTAACTGGTAGACTGGTAGGCCAGTCGATTCCCTTTTGTAAACAGAAATATTTTAATGAAACGGGAATCTTGTCATTGAAGTTATTGAAAAATGATTAATATTTCAATCATCAGAAGAAGCAATCGTTGAAATAATCACAGAAATTTCTAGTCAAATTTAAAAAAAAAAAACTATAAATTTTATGAAAATATGAAAATAACTGTTAAACTAGTTTCAATAAGTTTTTTCTGCAATAAGGCAAAAGGATCTTTATACTGTTCCGGAAGATTTCTCCATAGATTATAGTGTTAATCAAAGCCTCAATATGACCAAAGAACTCTCGTCGACATTAAAAAAAATGGCTTGCTTAGACCAGTTGAAAATTCCTAAAATTGGTAAAGTGCTACATTTTGGAGATGTCAATTGATCTTTATTGGATATGGTGAGTTAGAGAATGTCTATCGCATGGGTAGATCTCGCCATATGTACTAAAAAATATTATGGCAAACGTTAACTGATTTGAATTGGGTACAATTATGACAATAGAAATTTGACTTCACCAAACATAAGTGATGGGTTGGAATATTCAGAAAGTAGTGTAATTGTAAACCTGACTATCTTTGTATACATACTCTGCCATTTTCTTCATTTTCATCAACTGTGGTACTTGGTCCAGAGTCAGATACAACATTTCTTCTTCTAGTTTTGTCTGCTGAAAGAAATATAGTCTGGACTATTTGAAAGGGGAGACCTTGAACTGTTTTCAGCAGGATTTTCTTCAAAAGCTCGACTAGTACTTGGGCTTTCACTTTCACTGTTTGTTGACATTCCTGTTGGAGCTCTGTTTTGAGCTAAGTTTGGTCTGCTGCTGTTGGCACTAGTAGACCTGCTACTTTCTAAGTCATTGAAGCGTGAAAGCGTTATGGTTGGGTTTTGTATCACCGTTCCATTTACAGTATGTGGCTTAACACTTAAAGTTTTTGGATCTGAAAAATTTAAAAAATAACAATGTATGTATAGAAAAGTAATTATATATGAAATTTAATCCAAAATATTCCACCCCTTCATCAACGAGAAAGGCAAGGATAGGAGAAATATAAGAAATATAGAACAGATGTTTTCTTGCCTGTTAATTCAAAAACACTTAAAACTGGCCTTAATTTGGAGACATATTAATTTGCATATATATGGAGATATATGTATTCATGTCTATCTCATAGTAGGAAATATGGGTTATTGGTTCCTTTCTCTGAGTTTGTCTTTGAAGTACCAGTATGATAAAAACACAACACGACACTTAACAAACAAACACAGAAATCTAAAGAAGGATAAAAAAGAGAAATGTATACCCAACACTATGAAGAAAAGAAAAATAAGCTACTTTGATCATATGAAGAAATGAAAAATATAAGTTAGTGTGATTGGTTATACAAGGTAAAGTGGAAGGAAAAAGAGGAACCGGGGAGACAACTCACGTCCTGCTTGAAAAATTTAAAGCAGTGGAGCAAAAAACAACAATAAAATTCTTCAAAACTGTTGCAGAGGAGCAAGGATGAGGCTATCTCAGCTAACATCAGTATTCACTATTTTCTCTTTCAGTGTTTATCTTCACTGTTTAAAGTTGATAAGAAATATACAGACTCAGCTCAATAAGAATTTAATTAATTTATTCCAGAGATAAAAATTCCATATCGTGATACTAGATGAGATTTAATACATTTTAGACTACACGCACCAAAGAAGTGACTGTCTTAGTGTTTTCACATAAAATACACCCCTCTATATTTACAACAAGCTGTTCATCAATTTGAATAAGTCAACAAAAAAATCACAACTTGTAAGGAGAAAATAGGAACTCCCCCCCCCCTGAAAATGACACTAGTACAAGAACTAAAAACCAATAATCATTGCAAGAGAATGTATTGTAACTGCTTCAATAATTTTATTTAGCGATTTTTGCTGTTTTTAAGAAAGTGTAAATGTAGCAATGTGTGAAATCTAAAGTATGAGCAAAATATATTTACCTTTTCCCAATCCACTAACAGCTGAGCCCAAGGCACATAAATGCATTATTTTTGCTATATGATTTACTGCTTCTGCAATTTTAGGAAAGCATGAATTTTTGGTAGTGCTCTCAATTGTACTGAAGATATTTTTTAAGTTCTAAAAAATAAATAAAATATGATGGATTCAAAATAAACAATACTTTCTTCATAACATAGAGTTATCAGCCAAGATACATCAGCAGTGGAAGATAGCTATAATTTTCTGGGATGAAGGTCAAAACAATACTCTATTATATTAAACACTATGTATTTTTATTGCCATATATATATATATATATATATATATATATATATATATATATATATATATATATAATATAGTTAGGTATTATTGACTGACACGTTATGTAAAATAAAGTTTTATTTTGTGGATGCAGTCATTTAAGTAGGGCAGGATAAGTAAAACTCTTTGTTCTTAAATCAAGCTTTCGCAAAATTTATTTGCTTCATCAGGATATGCTAAAATATGTTATGGTAAATACAATGAAATTAGAATTAAAAAAACATTGTATAAAACTATATAAAAATTTACAACATGAGGTTAAACCATTAAATTATTAAATTCACAAAACATTATTAATTTTTCCTAAATTATATTTTTATGCAAGTACAATATTTTAATTTTGAATATATTATGACATTGATTAATAATGATGTTTGATTTATGTCAGAAAGACACTCGTGTCTGTTTTTATTATTGATAATTAGCTCTAGATTGTTATTATGCTTACGTAAAAAGTGGCGCCAAATATGAATATTTAAATTTTTGAAAATGTAGTATTTATAGTCAGAAAATCATATATTAGAAAATTAAAGTATTAATTTTCGTAAGATAGAATGTAATTATAGATATTGCTGAGTTTGTTAATATCAGTGTTTTTATTAACGCATTGATATTTATTTATGCATACCATTTCTAAAAATTCTCATTTATTTAATTGGTTTTCACGTCTTAATATATTAGTTTCATTAAAATTAAATGAATGATTATTATTAATTGCATGATCTATTAATGCACACGTATTTTTATTATTTCTAAGGTCACTTTTATGTGATGAAAGAAATCTAGAAATCTAATAGGTAGACTAACATCCATACTTCATGCCTACTGTTAGCTACGACAAAGGCAAATTGTTATAAGGACAAAAGTTGGGCGTCTTGTCAAAATGAGTAATAAATGGTGAAAATTGGTCTATCATCCCGGACAGACCAAAAAGAAAAAAAGTTTTTGTGGCACTTAAATATTAGATATACTTACAACATATTTTGAGTTTAACGCAAAATATTCTTCTTGTAAATGTGTGATTTGTTTTTGTAATAAAGCTTTGTCTTGTTGAATTTTAGCTACAGTTTGAGCTAAAACTTTATTTTTTCCTCTCAAAGCTTGATTGTCTAAAATAAGAAGAAAAGTATGTAAATCATTGGTAATACTATAATACTACTAATATATATATATATATATATATATATATATATATATATATATATATATATATATATATATATATATATATATGTCTGTATGTAAATCATTGGTAATACTACTAATATATATATATATATATATATATATATATATATATATATATATATATATATATTAGTGGATTTTCTTGGGCTTAGGTTCATCAAAAAAAGTTGATTTGATACTAAGACATTTTCATATATTTTTTCGACGTTTCAGCAGGAAATCCATGCCCTTTTCAAGAAGTAATATTGACTAAAAAAACATTTTATCACAGACATAATACGGTTTAAAAGTTAAACTTTTGACTTACCAAACATATAAAAATTCGGTGCTAACAAGTAGATGTCACAATTAAAATAATATTAAAAACATAGGACATATCCACTAAGTCACTACATGTAAAATGTATTTTAAATCTAATATGTTATTTATTGATGTTAGTTTATCATTTAAACAATCAGTTATTTTAACATCATAGACTTTCTGAGATTGTCTTCTGTGTTTTTAAATTAAATTAAAATATATTTTGTTTAAATTTTTGGCATCTTTTTTATCATTTATTGCGTTATTATTTTTTTATTTGTATAGACTCTAGATGCTCTCTCTTCTTCCTGTTGGGTTCACTTTTTAGGATCTTGGTTTTCTCAATATCAAATTTATGTATTTTTTTTCATTTTCATGTTTTGTGAGGGCGGTTGAGTTTTTTTTTGTCATATTTGTGGTAACATATTCTTGAGTTAAGTAGCTGACTGGTTTGTCCACTATAAACTCCATCACAATTCGAGCAGCGAATTTCATATACAACATGCGATTTTTTTAATTTTATGTTTGGACAGAAGATTTGCAATTTGTTCTGATAATCCTTTTATATAGGGGAGAGACATATAGTTTTTCTTTACCGTGTTGGTTTCATTGTTGTTATTGTTATTGTAAAATTTATGCAGTGGCGATTTGAAAGTGTTGTCGACAAGGTGGTGTGTGTATGAATTAAGTGTTACTGCTGTTTTTGCTTTTTTAATGGCCTGAGGTCTATTGATAGGATCGGATAATCTAATAGCCTTATCAGCGAGTTAGATAACTACTGATTTCTTTTGAGATCGGGGATGATGAGAGTTGAAATTCAGATATCTCGACAACCAGGTTTTTTTGGTGTACCATGAAGTAGTTATAGTGCTGTTTTCTCTATGTAAGGTCAGGTCTAGAAAATTAATTTGACAATTTTTTTCAATTTCTAATGTGAATTTTAGTTTTTGGTGAAAGTTATTGAATTCGTTTAGTAAAATATCCATTTTATCCTCTGGTGCTGCACTCAAGCAGTCATCTATATAGCGATAGAAAAAAGGTATATAAAAATCTATTTTATTTAAAACAATTTCCTCTAGATGCCCTAAAACTAATTGAGCGATGGCACTGGATATGCTAGCACCCATAGCACATCTGTTTGTTGGAAGATTTTGTTTTTATATAGGAAATAGGTTGACTTTAATGTTGTTTGGACTGCGAGCAGACATTCTTCTAGAGGGATGTCTGTGAACTCTTTGATTTCATTCCACTTTTGTTTTTAATGTCTTTCGCTAAAGCTATTGGAATATTGGTGTATAAAGATACCACATCGAGAGAAACTAATTTATAATTTGGAGGTTAATGTATATTTTTGAGTTTTAATTTCAGGTGATCAGCATCTTTTAAATAGTGTGGATTTTTTACGTTGGAAATAATGTTCTTCAAATATTTTGAAAGGTTTTCAAAAGGAGACTGAATGCATGAAACAATAGGGTGCAGTGGCGCACCCTCTGTGTTTTGGGTAGACTGTATATTTTTGGAATTACAGCATTATATATCTTGAGGGAATTAGCAGTGTTTGGTGAGATGTAGCACATTTTTTCCCATCTATCGACTAATTCGTTATTTCTTTTTTGGAAAATATTCGTAGAGTCATTTTTCATCTAACAGTATGTTGTGTTGTCATTCAATAGAAAATCCATTTTAATGTCATAGTCATCAGACTCCATAATAATAGTCTTATTAGTTTTGTCAGTTTTCAAAACAACTAAATTGGAGTTCTTGTTTAAAAAAGCTTTTGTCTTTTTAATTTTCTTTTGTAGTGTTTTGTTTTCAAAAGAGTATTTGTTTTTATTTTTAAAGTTTGTTAAAATGTTACAACATTTAGTTCTGATATCATCCTGTACATTGGTACTTAAGTTAGAAATTGAACTCTCAATTGAACAAATAATTTCTGATGTTGGAATATCATTTTTATTGCGGATGGGAACTGCAAAATTTTCTCCTAAACTTAAAACATCTTGTATGTCACTGGGAATTTCTACATTTGTTAAATTTTCTAACCAAGTATCCTGCAATTGGTTTAGATGTAGATTTTTTTGTGCTGGAAATGGTTTAGATGTAGATTTTTTTCTAAATAGTTTTCGAAAAAAGCTGAAAAAATCTTTTTAAAATACAATGTAGGCTGTCACTGTAAACTGTCATTTAGGTATTTATTCTATTTATTTGTCTTGTGTAAATTGTATGTAATTATTATTGAATTCTAAAACTGTTAATATGATATGATTTATTTAATGGTTGTTATTATTGTAATTGGTATAAATGTAAATAAACTATTTATTTATTTATTTATTACTTATCAACTTACTGTACTATAATTAATTTTAAACCCTACACTTTTAGCTTGTTTTTTAGTTTATTAAGCATTTCATTATATTCTTCAAAACTGTTGCTTTAATATTATGGTCTGCATACCTTACAGGCCTTAGTCATTAAGTCAACACTTTACACATGTTAATGTCTGTCCACTTATACTTTTTTAATCTTTTCTCTATAATTATATTAAAATATATCTACAGTCATCTTAAAATTATAGAGATATTGTATCTCCCTGAATAAAACTCTATTAATATTTATATGTTCTGTCCATTTTTTGTTTTTAAGTAGGTAATCGTATCCATAAATATAGATAAATAAAAAAATTGTATTTTATAAACTTTCAGTGTAATGCTTCCCAACACATTTCACTTTCCTCAAAACTCACAGCATTAACTTTAATCTGAAGTAGTAGATGCTACTGGAATAACTACTAAAAACTGTTTTACTGCTTCAGATTATTTAACATCAAAAACCCTCATGTCACAACTAAACATTGAATAAAGAGGAGACTAAATTAAATAATAGTTAGGAACCAATAGAGGAATTTCCTGGAAGATAGACACATCTTACTTATTGTCATCAATCCCACAATTCTCAAGGGGTTGATGCAGAACAAACGATATATTACTTTAGTTTAAAATTAGGGAACTTAGTAAATAATAACTTTATAAATGATGAAAGGAAGAGACTTATGCCTAAAAATGACATACTCCAATGACTTTTATTATCAAAAACAGACTTATTCAAGCTATAGATAATGTAATAATAATATGTCTTAATCTATATTTTAATTTCATATTCAGGTATTTTAAATGAGTAATTTTTTATTTTCTTATGAAGTATTTGAAAAATAAAAACAAGCTTTACTGTCATTTTTTGTTTAATATCTTGTAATGCTGAATAATTTATATTATGGCATGGTTCAAATCAAAAACAAGAAAATAGACTAGACGAAATTTGCTGGGTATTTAACTTTAGAAATAATTACAAATTTGAGTAGTATAAATCATTTGAAAAACAAAAATGTGAATCTTACCAACTTCCATTTTTATGTAATTTTCAGACTGGTCAAATGACGATAACTCTACACTAGATCTTTTTCTTCGTCCCATTTTTAATTTCACCTTATTATAAAAAATTATTTAAACTTGCATCAAAACACAAACATATATTCGTAACCGATCGGAGCTTCTTGTTCAAAATCTTCAAAATACTTCAACTTCAAATCAGTTTTATAATAGGAACGCTGACGGTTGACAATATTTGACATTGACAGTTATATAATCTGTGACAATTAAAATCTGTGGCCTTGCGAGAAACACACTGTGAAGATAATTTAAATTGAAATGATTATTGTAAAAATTTCAAAGTGTTGACATGATTGCCACAAAATAAATAACAATCCAAATGCCCACTCTCAAATGGTGCCTTTGAAATGTGTCAGCAGGCGATCGCCATATTTTAAACGGAAATAGACTCGGATTGCGAAATTTCAAGTATCGCAAACTAAAGTGCATTGTAAATGTAACTTTGTAACCTGTTGGATTAAAAAACGACAAACTACGACAAAACCATAGGACGGATCGGAAATACTTTTACCCATTACTGTATCAGAAGTAAGATCAGCTTTAAAAAATTTAAGAACCATCGATCGCCTGGTGATGATGGACTCGGTATTGAGACAATAAAAGCAGGAGGAGAAATTCTATTAAGACCAGTAAACGAACTGTATGCAGTGATAGTCTTGTTACACAAAAAAGGCGATATTACTAAATTAGAAAATTATAGACTCATCAGCCTCTTGACACATACGTACAAACTCTTTATGAAAATCTTAACAAAGAGACTAAATTTGATTTCTATCAGCCCAAAGAACAGACAGACTTCAGGGCAGGATATGGCACAAATGACCATTTGCATCCCATAAAGATCTTAATAGTGTATCGAGTACAACATACCACTGGTCCATGCATTTGTCGATTACGAGAAGGCTTTTGATTCTGTATAAAACAGTACTAGAAGCCCTAAACCAAAGCCGAATAGATTACAGGTACACCACGACGCTAATCAAAAACATCTACGAGAACACTACATCAAGTATAACGAAGACACAGAAAAATTCAGCTTAGGTCGAGGAGTTAGACAAGAAGACAATATTTCATCAAAATTGTTCACGGCAGCTCTAGAGTCAATAATTAAGAACACTCAATGGCAAGATATGGGCATCAATATAGATGGAGAAAGATGAATCATCTAAGGTTTGCAGATGATGTATTAATCGCAGATAACTTACAGGATACAGTTTATATGATACATTCGCACAAAAGTCTATCTAAGTCTAAGTATAAAGAGCAGGATTAAAAAACTTTGAGAAAACTAAACTTATCACAAATCTCTTAAATGAATGGAAATATAACTATTGACAATAATACCATACAACAAACAGACACTTACAAATATCTGAGACACGAGATCAAAATAAGAAAAGACAATCAAACACATGAAATACAAAGGCGAATAGGCCTGAAATGGGTAACATTTGGCAAATTAAGCCATATTCTAAAAAGTTCAATTCCCATATGGCTCATCACGTATCTATTCGCTCCGTGAATAAACTCAGAGTTACACAACGAGCCATGGAACGTGCAATGCTGAACGTGAGCCTTCGAAATCACATTAAAAACCAACAAATTAGACAAATATCAGGAGTTCAAGACGTCATCGAAAGAACCACGACGCTTAAGTGGAACTGGAACAGAGCGCTTAGCCAGAACACAAGATGGACGGTGGACAAGACCTATTATGGAATGGAGGCCCAGAAACTATAAAAGAAGCCGAGGCCGACCACCGATCGATGATATAATGCGTGTAGCTGTAAACTGACTATACGCGGCTCAGTGTAGAGAAAACTGGAAAAATCTGAGGGAGGCCTATGTTCAGCAGTGGACGCGATTGGCTTATTAATGATGATGATGACGACAGAACCACAGAATAGTAAACAATCAGAATGCTCACTCTGTTTAAAAAAAAAGTACGCGCATCTCGTTCGTGCAGACGGAATCAGCCATGTTTTAAACGGAACCAGTGCTGTTCAGTGAATTTTTTTTGGTGTGCATAGTAAAATTAACCAGGTTTAATTTATTTACGGCAACTATAGACGTAATATGCACTATTTTATTCGTACTTTTAGTTGAAGAATATATTAAATTACTTCAAATGTACTAAAATTAATCTCTAAAAATTTGAATTACAATTCTATCGTAGCTTGTCATAAATTTCTCAATTCGAGTCTATGTTTCCGTTTAAAATATGGCGATCGTGTGCTGGCAAACTTTAAAGGCGGCAGCTGTTGAAACAACATATATATTTCAAAGCACACCCATGCCACAGAATAATAAACATACAGAATACCCACTCTCCACGGAAAATTAAGTACGCGCATCTCCTCCGCGCAGACGTTCCGCCATGTTTTAGGAGGATTTTAAAGAAATTATGTGGTGTGCATGGAAAAATTAACCAGGTTTATTTGACTTACGGCAATCATAGACATACTATACAATTATATTAACATTGTTAAATATAATAACATAAATATAATATAATTAAACATAAATATAAACAATGACATAACCACACAAATCATATGTATGTGTCCTCCTCAAACATGGCGCGCGTGCTGAAAAACTTCAAAGGCGGCATCTGAGAGTGTCCCTTCTGATTGTTTATTATTCTGTGCCCATGCGTTCAGACTACTTTGCATAATTAATGTAATTAGCTTACGTTGTTTTTGTTTTTAGAAGAGCTTAGCTTGGACAAATGTTGCCTATGCGTTCTGTTATATGTAAACATTGTATTACATGTATTGCTACTTAGAATAAATATATGACGACTAGAAACGAATTGATCAGGACTAGTGAATCGATTTGAAGCGCCAGTATAAAAGCTTCCCTTCAATAATTATATCTGGTATATCTTTATAACGTCCATATGTGTAAGTGAACATTATACACATTATAATGATATATAACTCTAAAAACACATCAGACTAACAATAAATATAAGATATAACTATTCATTAAACCGTTCTAACTGTCTAGTAATTTAGTAATTATTTTTACAATGTATTAGTAAATAAATAAAAGTGCTTTATTTAATTTTAAAAATATTATTTAAATTTTAAAAATGCAGTAAACGTAGTATAAAGTTTCTACTGTACTGCCTACTGTTCCACTTTTTTGTTGATAAACTATAAGCACAGAATAATAAACAATCAGAATAAAAAATCATTTGGCAGGCACAATTTGTTCTACATATAAAATTTATTGCAGAATGATATATAGCTATTCTATTATATAGTGAATATTTTGGAAAATAAAGAAAAACAATATGATACCATCAGTAAAAACTCCTATTTTTTTTTAATTTTACTTCTGCCATTACAGATCTTATACAAATTGCTACCTTCTAAATTGTTTATTACTCTGTGATTGTCTTAATTCTTATTTCTGTTATTGCAATTTTTTATTTCTTATTTATTGACGTCACTCAAGTGACTGTCAGCATGTCAGCTGAACGTTTTGCAATTTGACAGTCAGTCAACAAACAGTCCAATGGAAGGAATATGCTTCAAATTTTCAATTTTTGGTCAGTGATTATTGATTATTTTTATAAATAATCCTCTTATTTTTAAAACAACTTACAAAAGCCGTTTATATTAGTCATAATATTGTTACAATGGTGCTAACTAAAGAATACAGAATATGCATGCCGATGACTGTGGAAGAGGTAATATAAAGCACAATTTTTATTATTAAATTAAGAATAATTATGTTTTATTTTTAAAAGTATCACATAGGACAACTTTATATGATAGCGAGACATAGTTTGGAACAATCAGGAGATGGTGAAGGGGTCGAAGTAGTCGAAAACAGAGAATGTTTGGATGAAAAACACGGCAAAGGACAATTTACAGAAAAAAGGATTCATCTCTCAAGGTACGTACGTAAACAAGTTACTTTATTATGTAAGCTTATATGGATTATGAAAAGGAGACTATCACAATATCTCAGAATTATAATAAAAAAATTGACAAAGGAAATTAATCACTAAGTATCACTAACAGGTTAAGCATTTCCATTATGAGGACACTGTCAAAGAATATAGACGCATATGTCTCTATATTCCTTGATATTGATATTCCTACTATTAAGCATTTGGCCTGTATTGATCAATAAGAAATCCTTGTAAGGCTTTCACTATCTAAATTTTCTTCATATTGGCTTTTCTGCTTCTTTTCTATCTCTAAAAATAGAATCTCCAATTAAGTCTCTAGGAATCTTTAGTGTTTCTTTTCTTTTTTTGTAGATATTTGTAGACATATTTAGAAGCAAACTTCTTTATTACTTGATATGTATGAGATGCAATGATATTTATATTATACCTATTGTATGCAGGCAGATGTCTGTTAGGTATCATACCTAATTAATAAAAAATATAACTTTGGGTAATCATATTTTCTGCAAAATTTGAAAGTTTTGAATGAAAATTTATGAATATACACTCCCCATATTGATGATTATTCTTCACAATTCAGTCTACATTCCATGTAAACATTTTAGTAATATGCTTTGAAAAAGTCTTTCATCAAACACAATTCTTAGATCTTGAGCTGTATCCAATTACTGTTGATTTGTACCAATGGCAATATAAACATTTGTCAGCTTATGACTGGAACAATAGAAACTTGTGAAAAACACTTGTTTACATTTAGAAACACAAGTATTATTAACTTGTCTCCATTTCTACAGTACATAATTACAACATTATTACACAGCAAAAACAGCAGTGGTACATAGTGAGATCCCCTGTGCCTCCAATGTTACTCTAAAAATATCCAAAAAACCCCTTTTTGAAACAAACTTTGAATTTCTTATTATTGACAAATAAATCAAGTATGTTAAATTAATTAGTACTTAGGTAGTGTTTTATTTTTTAATTATAACGTGGGTCAGAAATCCTAACTGATTTCTTAAAATGCCGAAGTGCAATATCATTTATATTGTAATGATTTATTTTTGAATGTAGTGTGTGTGTTTACTGAACTGTTTATTTGCATGCCGCAAAAGCATTTGTAAGTAGATTGGCAAAATAATTATATTATCTTCAAAATATGCTGTTGGCATTTATTATTTTTATACAAACTTAACTCAAGCCACCCATTATGCTTTGTTACATTCTGAAACTCGGAGTCTTAGTTTGCTTCCAGTCAACACAGGACAAACTGGAAGGGGAAGACTATTGTATTCTCCAATCCTAAGATGTTACACTATTATGCTTGAGGATACATCATACAAGGAGAAAAATATTGTCTAAATGATATCCTAGAGAGCTGGCAAACTGTGGCAGATTATAGCAATTCCTGGGAATAAAATGGATACACTCTATAAAAAATGTACAGGAACAATTATGGTCACCAGATTCTGTATATGTCCCAACTAGGTAAGGTAGTTGCCTCAGAACTGACTTGTTCAACATCACATTGATGCAAGAGCCTTAAGTATGCTAAGACCAAGTAAAAGGTCCATCTGGTGTTGGTGAGAGTTTTACATAACAACACTGTTGAAGTTCCGAGAACTTGCATAATAGTTTGAAAGATGTACAATAAACATAATTTTTGCAGTATGACTTTTGTAGAACTAAAGACTTCCAGAGAGAAAAATAATACTCCAGATAGTTTTCTATTTTTTAGTACCTACAATTTGCATATTTGTGCTATATTTAATAAACTTAAATGGCTTACTGTGCAGAAACACTGTCTCTAACAAAAAACAGTGATTTAATGCTAAGAATAGTACAAAGAAGGATGAAGCATTCATTCACAGGAATAACAATAAAAGACAAGATCAGAAACAAAGACCTACAAAGCAGAGCTCAAGTTACAGATGTTGTGGAGGGAGTTGCAGATTGAAGTGGAGATGGGTGTGTAGTCAAATGGGGACAAAGGACAGATAAATGAAAGTCCACCTATAGAATGGCAAAAATTGGATCCATATTATACAATACCAGGCACTTTGAATACAAAACAGGAGAGGCCTATATCTAGCCTTGTACTTAAAACAGACTAATGATGATAATGACAAATTTCAATATTTAATTCTAATTGTTACTCAGATACAACCCTTGCACTACTATCACCTAAGCTACATTTAAAGTAACTATTAACATGATCAAATTTTTCAAATTGTGTATCATTTGGTTATTTTTATGAAAATGACTTGATTTTCTAACAAAAATGTAAAACAACCAAGTACCTATTAATTGACAAAAAAAATAATCATTTTCGCCTATAAATACTGTCTACTAGTTGGTAGGATAGCCAAGCGAGCTGGGCGGCTGGCTTCTCCTTCACTTCAATGCGAGAGATGTCAGTTCAAATCCCCAGCTCGGTGTACAGAAAACAAAAAAAAGGCTAACGCAGCAGTTTAAAATTCTAAATGAATCTGCGGCTTAGTCTAGAATATGCTGGTATCTGATCGGCCTATGGTGGAGCAGTACTGCAAGAGATAAGGGCTTGCGGCTTGGTGATACTCCTCCATAGATCCCTACCGGAAGGGTGTGTGCCGCCTAAATATCGGCTATATATAAGTAACACTGTCTACTAAACTGATATCATTTTAAATCAGTAATGTATTTTCCTGATCAAGCAGGGTGGAGCCTTTTCTCCACCTTTCTCATCTCATATTTAGTAATTTTGCTTTCAGAGTTGACTATTGATATTTATATTTTCTATTTTAGCCGTCTTCCATATTGGGTTCAGTCTGTCATTCCAAAGATATTTTATGTAACAGAGAAGTCATGGAACTTTTATCCATTTACTATAACTGAATATACAGTAAGTACATAATTTATAGTTTTTGGTGTATGTTTTTACAAACTGTATTAATTTAAAATACTATTTTTTTACTTTTGTATGCTATTTGGCAATAAAAATAATTTTTAAAGTTTCTCCAAATAAATTGAACCTTTATTTTTAATTGTTTTAACATTTGTTCAAGTTCAGAAGTCTTTGAAACAGATAAACATTTCAAAAATCTCCAATATTCTTTTTTATTCAAGTGTCACATGCTTGTAAACTGGCTATAATTAATTGCACAATCTTTATTTTATCTACTGCTACTCAGATTTAATAGCTTACTACATACAATGGGCTTATATTTTCTAGCAGTGACTTTTTTCTTCTTCCTTAAACACAATTTACCTTTAATCAGTACTAGACTATTAGAATATATTGATCCCAAAATGATCAACATATTATAATTTTTATTGTATTATTTTCTTTACTTATATAAGTATTCCTTTGCTTTCATATGCACTTATTGATTTTCTGTGGTATATTTTGTCTTTTTAATAAAGTCAGACTTTCTCATACTAAGAATTTCTGCAGTTTTCATTGTATTACTTCTCCTCAACTTCTCTCCATCATGCCAATCTCCATCTTGCAGGTGTCTTCTGTCTATGATGGCGTGTGCTTTATCTCTAGATTATTTTAGAAGCTCTCTTCTTCCTATCGGAATCTATTCTGTAATGTTGTTTATGGAGTCTTAATTCTATCTTCTTTTGCCCTCATTTTTGACTTTATTTTTCTTATTTATTATCCAGTTTTCAGACCCGTAAGTCAGTATACTTTTTGTCTAGTGTTATATATTCTAATTTTTTGCTTTTCTAATGTCCTGACTTTCAAAAGGCTAATTTAAAAAGAAATTATTTCTTGGGATTGTCCCTTTACCCAATAGTGACTGTAAACTATCTGTGCCATTGGTCAACATTTTAGTATTGCAACATTAGCCACATTGTTGTGTGATAAATAATATACATGTCAGAATTTACCTTGATGCAGCCAACCAACTTCATACGCCAATTAATTTAATTAAAACTAACATTTTAACATCATCAGTTGGCGCTACAGCCCTTCGTGAGCCTTGGCCTGCTTCAAAACATTCTTCCATCCTTCCCTATCGAGTGTCTGTCTTCTCCAGCCCCTCACTGCAATCTCACTCAGATCTTCCTGGACATCGTCCAGATATCTGAGTTTAGGTCGCCCCCTTCTTCTTCCGACCGACCTGTTTAGCATAGTTATCTTAGTGGGATCACTCTCATCCATCCGCATAATGTGACCCACCCACCTTAGGGGTATTGAGCTAAAAGAAAATTATGTCGAATAAAATAAAATAATTTTTTAGAGGTTTAATAAGGTTACTTATTAGACCACCTAGTACGAGTTATTTGTGACTGAACATTTTTCTATTTGTTTTAATCGGTTAAGTACATTTACTATTTTTTTTGTAGTGTTCCTTTATTCCCAGATTTAACATATCAATTGAAACCAAATATGAGAACAACAATGGATGTACAGAAAATGTAAGTTTTCTTTTTTTTTTATTTATATTTTCCATCTAAATATTTTTTCATAAATAAGAACTTACAAATTTCCATGATGCTATATCATCTTGAGAAAGTTCTACGAGTTTAGATGGCAACTTATTACAAATGTCATACAATACTATTGCAAATCCTAGTCTTTTACTATCAATGAAAAAGAAAAAAGTTATATCTTCTTTGAAAATACAAAATGAAAATCGATTTTTTCTAAGACCTCGTGAACTGTTTGGCGTTTTGTAATGAAAATTGACACGTGGCTTTCTTATTATGAGAGCATCTTAAAACATAATAAAAAATGTGTGCCCCAATAAAAATTCCGTGGCACTAGTGGTCCCTTAAACCGCCCTAAGAGTTTATGTGTGTTACATTTAGATTATTATTGTGTCACCGTTAGGTTAAAATAAAGTTTTTAAACTTTTTTGCCTTTTATTACGTCTTCTAAGAGTCAGTTATTATCGAGATACAGTTTCTTTTTATTATGATTTATACTTTGGATGTTAACAGAAAGCAAGTGTCCTGGGGAGTTAAAAATAACGCCATCTTTTACATATTCAAGCTTTCGATTACCGTGCATTTAAGATTATTATGAAAGCTGAAATCTAATACAAAATGGAAAATATGAATTTAATTATCTCTAAAAACTGGCATAATAAAATACTATACCAAATTTCAATAAGCGATACAGAGCATGTAAACAACGATATATACCATTTTTCAAAGTAAAAACGTTACTTGTATTTAAAATTTCCAGAACGTCAATCTTAGAGTTGAAATTGTCCTAACACAGCTAATAATACGAAACCCATACGGAACTGATCGATCTTTCATAGGCGTCAACATTGTATAATAATTAGAAAAATGTAATCATTATTATATTGGGAATTTTAGAATTATATTGATTAAAAATAACCAAAAACATTTTGTTATTATTAATAATATAAATTTTATGAAATAACTGTTTAAGTTTAATATTCCACAAAATAATCATTTTAATTAAATAGATTATACACAACAACTATAAATACTTAGGAACATGGATAACATCAGATGTAGACCAAACCAAAGAAATTAAGACACTTATTAAACTTAAAAAGTTTCTTTGTTGTCGGGATATGAGGTTAGAGAATGCCTGAGAATGCTTCGGTGTTAAGTGTTCTCTACTGTTCTTTATGGCTTGGAAGCGTGAACACTAAAACAAGTCCATCTGAATAAGTTGGCCGCCTGTGAATTTTGGTGTTACAGAAGAATCCAGAAATGAGGCGGAAATAATATTAACTATCAAAAGACGAAAACTTGAGTACTTAGGACATGTGATGAGAGGACAAAAATACGCATTATTACAACTTATGCAAGGCAAAATCCGAGGAAAGCGAAATGTGGGAATACGAAGAATATCCTGGCTGAAGAACTTAAGGGAATGATTTGAATGCAGTAGTGCAGAACTTTTTAGAGCGGCAGTCAACAGAGTCCGTATAGCCATGATGATTTCCAACCTTCGATAGAAGTATATATATATATATATATATATATATATATATATATATATATATATATATATATATATATATATAATATATATATATATATATATATATCAATCAGTTTATAACGTTCTACGCCGTCTTCTGATTTCCAGTATTCATTTATCTCGGTCGTTCCAGAGGTTTTCTTCAACTCCCTTCTCCCTTAAGTCTTTATCGATTCCTTCTCTCCAACTTAATCTGGGTCTACCTTGCTTTCTTCTTCCATGTGGTGTGCAGTTCAATACTTTCTTTGGTATTCTGTGTTCATCCATTCTTTGGACGTGTCCATACCATCTTAGTTAATTTACTCTGATTTCCTCTGTTAAATTGTGTTTAACATCCATAATTTCTCGTATTCTTTCGTTTCTTACTCTGTCTAATCTTGATTTTCCAGTCGCTCTTCTTCAGAACTCGATTTCTGTTGCTTCTAATGCTTTTAAGTTTTTTCCTTTCAGTGGCCATACCTCACTTCTATATGTAATGATACTTTTTATAATGCTGTTATAGATTTTGTGTTTGTTTTCTTTGGAGATTGTTTTATCCCATAGTACACTGTTTAATTGTCTAATGGCTTGCCTTCCTTGGTTATTTGTATGTTTAATTTCTTCGTCTAATTTGCCATCGTTGGTTATTTGCATGCCTAAATATTTGTATTTTTTACAGTGATTTATTTCTCGCTGTATTTCTTCCAAGATTAGATTTTGTTCAATTCCCCCAATGCACATGTATTCAGTTTTCTTGATATTTACTTCTAGCCCCCATAGTTCGTATTCTTCGATAAGTTTACGGGTCATATATTCGAGGTTTTCATAATCTTGGGCCATCACTATCTGGTCATCTGCAAAACTCAGTTTGTACAATATTGCGTTTAGGTTTAGAGGGATTCCCAAGCTTCTGCATTTTCTTTTCCACGTCTTCAGAGCTTGCTCTGAGTAGATCTTGAACAAAGTAGGAGACAAGCAGCATCCTTGTTTGAATCCTTTGTTAAGAGTGAAACCCTTCGATAGAAGATGGAACCTAAAGAAGAAGAAGATACGGGAATACTTCAAATTTCAATGACAGTTAAGCGTGTGGCAACATTGTATAAAGTGTTGCCGCTTTAAAGCGAAAGTACAAGCTGATAGCCGCAAATATCAAACATTGAACAAAACATTTCGGTATAGCAGTGTTGGCATGTTTTTACAATGTAGATGCTGTATGCTTCAAATATAAAAAGATCAAGCTTTAGAAAAGTACATTTTGTTTATATTATGTTATGAATTCTGCAATTTTTGATTTATATAAAACAACAATGAGTAAATATTTGTTTCTTTGGAGATTAATTGCAGTTAATTATTAGAAATTTTTTTAGCAATTACCCTTTGATAGGTTAGGGGATAGATTTGGTAATAGTCAAATCAGCAGTTGCCAGATTACAACAGATGTTTGCAATTAATCGGGAAAGAGACAAATATCCACTCGTTATTGCTTCATACAAATTAAAAATTGCAGAATTCATAAAATAGTATAATCAAAATTTACTGTTTAAAAGCTTTATCTCTTTGTATTTGAAGCATACAACATATGCATTCTAAAAACATGCCAACACTGCCAAACCGAAATATTTTTGACATTTGGGTCAATTTCAAAAAAAGATGAAAACCTACAATTTTATGCCTGTAATTAGTTTTTTTTAATGTTTATGCTTATATTTATTTTTAAACTATGTATTTATCATTAATCTAAATGTACAAACTACAATTTGCAAAAAAATATGACCATAAATTTTTTAGAAAAAATAAAGTGAAAAAAAAACATTACCATGTCCCGGTCGTGTGATAGATTTGAGTAAACAGCTGATACAGCATGATCAAAAGTTTTATTTTAATAAACAATTAGTATAATTCAATATCTTTTTACATAGAACAACCTTTTTTGATATTTAACATCTTTCAAACTTTTGAACTTCTCATTGTATATTTAGTTTTAAATTGTAACCAAGAGATATGCTCATTACCGTGTCACCAACATTTTATTATAATCTGGCAATATCTAAAAGTATTTGGTTAACCTTCATCGGGTGGAACTATTCCCCCACCAACACTTATGAACCCAGAAAAGAAAATTCTCGAAGCAGTTGCTAATTAGATGCGAAATAGGTGAGTCGTTCGACTAATTGATGAAGTGTTACCGCTTTGACGACATTACCGTGACCCTCAGATATTTTTGTGCTGTTGCAAACGAAGTTTTGTAAATACCTTGGATTATTTGGAGCAATTTTACTGCAAGGTAGGATTGATTTGACTTTTATATTATTGTACAATACTTAAACAATATTTGGTATTTTGCTCATTACCATGTCAGAAATGCTTGACATTACCATGTCTTTTAAATGACACGGTAATGTTGTTATGACACGGTAATGTTTAAGGTAGCCATTATAACGACTAAAATAGACATTTTATCTATTTCAGATGGCCAAGCAAACCGCCAAACAATCTAGGGAAGATATGTTGAGTAAGAAAAAAGAAAGAGAACGTGCAAGAAGACAGAAAGTTAAGAACAATCCGGAAGAATATGAAAAGCAAAGACAGAAAGAAAAAGAGCGTTACCAGAAAAGGAAAAGCGAAGGCAAAATTAAACTTATTTGCGATTTAAGTGACAGAGATAAAAGAAAAAAACGAAAAAAATGGATACATCATAATAGAACATACAGGAAAAAAAAAAGAAAGTTAACTGATATTGAGAACGAAGCTCTTTGCAATACTCCTACACCATCTGTGGTTGACATAAATGAAGACCAAATTGTAGAGAATGCCTTGTCACAAACTGAAATTAATTTGAGAAGAAAAATATCCGGTCTAAAGATGAGGGCACACCGGGAAAGACTTCGACAAAAAAAAGAAATAGAAAGTCTTAAAAATGAGAATAGGAAGCTAAGATCCAGGGCATTGAAAGAAAAAATTGCAGCACAATATAGAAGTCCAAATGACAAAACTAATACGGAAGAATGTCCTTCGCCAGATTTGACTCCCAATACAAAAATCAACGTTACTCTTGAAAAGGTTGGAGTTGTAGTTCCCAACAGTATCAAAAAGGAGTTAGTTTTTGGAGAGTGTCTAAAGCAGCAGTTAAATGCAAATTTCAAGAGTATTAAAGGTCATCGTTCAAAACAAGTATTTGCTGAAGTAGTAGGAGGAGGCATTCTTAAAAAATATGGAGTAACATGTAAGCTTAATATGTCGCAATATCTAAGCACGTCATTGCCAAGTCGCAAAAAAAAGAGAGCTAATGTAAAGATAAATTCTGTGAAAAGAGATGTTATACAATTTTTCGAAAATGATGATAATAGTCGTCTGTATGCGGGAAAGAAAGAGTGTATTACATACAAAAAAGTTAAAAAGTAAAAACTCTATATGAATTACTCACTTAAGTCTTTGCATCACAAATATTTAAAAGAAAAAAAATGTAAAATATCTTACACTACATTTTGCCGTCTTAGACCCTTTTGGGTAATGGCACCAAGACTTGGCTCCCGGGACACTTGCTTATGCATAACGCATGAAAATTTTCGTTTGATGGTTTCCAGATTACACTTTAAAAAAATTATAAATTTGAAAACTCCAGAGGAAGTTATTAGAGCTGTTACGTGTACCCCCCATAATGAAGAATGTTTAAGTCGACAGCGTAATACTTGCAAGGAAATTCAAGTTCCAGTGAATGAATTTAATGCCAACAGCCAATGTCAATATCAGAAGTGGTGTACTAAAAAAGAATCCCGAGTTAGTAGTAAGACTGATAAGACGATTATTGTGCAGATAACTTTGAAAGAAGATATTACAATATCTCACTACAATCTTGTCCAGGAGGTGTTCTTGCTTCTACCAAAATACATGCTACGCGTCAGAAATATCTACCATCAGCACAGAACATTATCAACAATCAAAGTCACTTAATGAGTCCGAATTGCTTCTTCATATTGACTTTTCGGAAAACTATTCATGCAAATATTCCTCTGAAGCACAGTCGGTTCATTTTGGCGCATCAAGGCAGCAAATTACATTGCATACAGGTGTTGCTTACATCAAGGATCAGGTAAGCTCATTTTGCACTATATCTCCGAGTCTTAGGCATGATGCCAAAGCAATTGCTGCTCACTTGATTCCGATTTTAGAACGTTTTTCTACGCCTTTGATAAATACCATATATTTTCTTTCGGATAGCCCTAGTACACAATACCGCAACAGAACGATGTTTAATATCATTGGGTATTATTTGCCAACGAAATTTAGAAATATAAACCACCTTTCTTGGTCATACAGTGAGGCTGGACATGGCAAAGGTGCCCCGGACGGAATTGGGGCAACCTTAAAACGTACAGCGGACCGATTGGTAGCGGAAAATACAGACATACCCTGTTACGAAAAATTTGTTTACGTAGTTAAAAAAAATGTATCTAACATACATATTAATACAGTGACCGATTTGGATATACAAACCGTAGAAAACGAAATGACTGAAAGTTATGACACGTTTAAAGGTACAATGCTTGTGCATAATGTATCATGGTGCAGATTAAAGGAAGAACTACACTTTAACACATTGACTTGTTTATCTTGCGATATTGGCAAATCTTGCACCCATTACGACCTTGGACACATAAAATTACAAATTGATCCATTGGAGCATCAAGATATTGAAGAAATTAATGAAGCAACCAATACTGAAATTACCGAGAGTCCCATACCAGACGATAAACTTTTAAGCGTCACTCATAAACCTGATCCTGATATTCCTGAAGAGGACAAAGATAATCAATCACACATTAAACCTAATGAATGGGTGGCTGTTCTGTTTAATGATTTCTGGTATCCGGGAGTAGTTTTATCTCTGAAGCGTAAGTGTTTGGAAATTCAATTTATGGACAGAAAAGATGGGGATTTTTTTTGGCCAAAAAAGCGTGACATCCAATTTATTCCATGTCCTGAAATTTTGTGTAAACTGTCCAAGCCACCTGTGCAACGCTCTACCGGACTTTTTGTTGTTCCGGAGTCTAAAATTATAGACGAATTGGTGTAATTTTATTCTGCATATTTAGTGTGTTTTATATGCAATTTTTATTTTTAAGTATTTGATTGAATTATAATTTTTGGTTTTTTTGTATAAATAAACAGCACTCTTGTTTTGATATGTTTGTAGTTTTTGTGAGTTAGTGAAAAAAATACTTACTGCTAATAATATTGAAAAAAAAATCAGTTCTTAAAGGGCAAAAAATCGCACATTTCCAAATTTTATTAGGGTTGTTCCAACTCGATACAAATCCGTTCTTGAATCGTTGCGCGCATGCGCAATAGCGAATAATTATGCGCAGTAACACATTTTTCGTTACTGCGCGGTTCACGAACCGTTCAAAAACGGTTTTGTATCGAGTTGGAACAAACCTTATATCTTTGGACATTACCATGACAACAATTTAACATTGCCATGTCATCTGTACATTACCGTGTTTGACAAATCTCATTACCGTGTCATTTTTTAATTTTTTTTTGAAAAATATGAGGGGTACATAATTTTTTTTAAATAATTTTAATATAAATTGTATATTTGCACCAAAATAAATTATAAAAGTAATTTATTTGTAAACTTTCCAATGTAATACTCAGTTTTCGTTATTTTTTGAGAATGACCCATTTGTGGCTATATTCAGCTTGTACTTTCGATAAACTCAACTATAATATATTTTATATAGTAATAAATTGTATTTATCGATTTGGAACATGGTAGGTGAATCGAAATTTTTCAACACTGCTCCTTCTATTCGGACACGGTGTCTCTGAACAGGCACCTTTTCGATATTTTGCTGCAAGAATATATCTTGCTCATTTTTGGTGGAAAAGTTGTTTAGTGTGTCAACACAAAAAGCCAATTCTTCTTCAGAAAATTTTTGGAAACATTTTGCTCTGCATCTAAAAAGAAAAGAGATTTTTAAGGAATGCTAAAATTTCTAGCCCACTAGAACATAAAATAAGTTTGTAGCCAATAAATTCCTGTATAGTGATATTAAACCTCTTATTAATATTACAAAAAACGCCGATTTTTATCCTTGGAACAAGTTTTCATTGAACTGACACTAAGTTTATATTTTTAAAATTTGAAAACAAGAACCTTAACGACAATATTACATTACTGTAGTTTGTTTATTTATTGTGGAAAAAATATGGTTTTATTAATGAAATATTAAACTATGTTATGAAAATGTCTGCTCAAACTCGTCCAAAGTGTCACCATTTCTTGGAAACGATTCAGTCAAAATAATAATAAAAAAATGGTTTTATATTCCGTATCGAAATGGCTATAGTCGGTACTACAATGAAATGTTTTCATAAAAAAAAACAAACAAAATGACGAAATTTTGATTTTTGAACCCTTTTTGCACTTTTAACTGCTTTTAGCTGTTTTATCAATGAATATGTTTGATTGTAGTACTGATCATAGAGAGACATCTAAACAGTAAAATGCTGTTTGGTGCGTATTTATAAGTGTAATAGTTTCGAAATACGAGTAAAACTTAATTAAAAAGTTGTGGTTTCGAGAAATGCCGATTAAAGTAAACAGCTGTATGGCCTTTTAATTATTTACTAACCAATTGACTCTTTTCTAATATTTATACACTTAATATTTCAGTGTCTCGGCCTATCTCCCGAAAAATTAGCTGAAAGAACAGTTGACCATATCGATATTGCATATGATGAATTATCAGCAAAACACTATAAAGAAGAAGAAGATCCTCGATTTTTTCAATCCAGAAAAACACACAGAGGGCCCTTGGTCGATGGTTGGAGAAGTAACTGCCAGCCAATAATGTGTTCATATAAATTGGTACATGCCTCATTTGAAGTATTCGGCCTACAGACTAAAGTAGAAGATTTTATACATTCGGTATGTATTTAACTTAGCGTGTTCCTATTGTAACAATAGTAAAGTTCATTCAGAATTATAAGAACTGACTTATGCAGAATTTAAAATTATCCCGCTGATAAAGTGGAAGCCATAAAGGGATTTGCCTCTTCAGGTAAATAGTAAAAAGGGCCGGCGTAACGAATTTTATATTTTATTTGGCATTTACATTACATATTTTATTTAAATAAATATCTAGACAATTAAGGGAAAAAATACATAAACTGATGGAGTATTATAATTAATTAATTATTATATTTTCTGTGTCGATTCTTTATTAAATATATTCAAATTTTGAAATAATAAAATAGTGAAGTCAAAATTTAAATGAATTAATGTAGGTATATACATACAGATTGAACGAAATAAATTCGGAACATAGGAATATAATGTATTTCGGCTCAATTCTGCTGTAGGTGGTTGGCCAACAAAAGATTGTCAAATAATTATGTTATATAAATCCCATACTTTAGCGGGCTGCTGGATTCTGAACTCATAAAAATTGAAAGCTACATATAAATCTACGATTTATGCTGTCAAACCAGTTATAGTCGAGGAAATGAAGTATTTCACCTCGCAATTTTTTCGTGCCTCGTGGATTGACTTGAAATTTAATAGAAGGTAGGTAATAGCCTAAGGATCAAAATCTATATCGAACCAAAGTGCGCCAAAGCCTAGTGGGTGGTTGCCACCCCATCTCTGGGGTGAATTTTTTTTTTACGTTTTAACTACAGGTTTCGATTAAAAAAGTGATTCTAAACAAAAAATGTGCTATACATTTTTTTTATAAAATGATATTTTTCAAGTTATTCGCGATTGAAAGTAACAACTTCTAGACAAAAAAATCCACGTTTTTAATCGATTTTTCGCGAATAACTCGAAAATGGTGCATTTTATCAAAAAAATTGTAGAGAACAAATTTGTAGCTTTTAAAAAGACAAATACAATTCATTTTTTAACATGTTTTTGCGATATAATAGGAACCAAAATACGGCCTATCAATGTTCAGCGGTTTTCTTCAAATGCCAAATTTGAAAGATTCAAAGTCAAATAAGTATCGGGAAAATGATGCATTTTTGGAAGAAAACTCACAAAACCTTTTTTAAAGTGCATAAATAGACATATCATAAAAAAGACTCTAGCTCAAAAATTGAGTGAGTTATGATGAAAATAAGGTCAATACCTCATTTTTTTACGAAAAAACCGATGAAAACAACCCCCTAACCACCCCCATAATTAAAATCGATCTTCACCCTTCTGCAATTCCCTTTGTACATGTATTGTTAATACGTCCAAGAAGTTTGACCCATTTAAAATGCTTTGTGTTAGAAAAATTACAGCTTAAAGCGAGAAACGATTTACAATTTCATATTTTTTACCCTTCTTTTTTTAAATATGCCCGAAAATACTGAATATATGAAAAAAATAAAAATTACCAAATTGTAGCTTTTTTAATGACTAAAATTATCCTTTACTTAGATTTGTTGTAGAATAAATATTTGGTGAGATATAGCCGTTTAAAGCATCGATTTACGATCAAGCACCATCTTTTTCGAACCCTTTAAACTTACCCCATTTAAAAACCAAGGGTTCCAAAAATATTTAATTCACAGATCCTTGTAGCTCTTAAAAACCTCAACAAATCGTTTTTGAAGAAACACTCTATCGTTAAAAATTAAAGGAAATCCGTTAAAAAAAAAAACAGTGAATTTTTTTCCGGAAAATTCCATTAGTATAGTACAGTACATTTCGGAGCATAATAATCTATAAAACCGGTATATTAGCTAGTGGGGCGTTATACATTCGAAATTTTAAGCGTTCTAATTTTGAAATCCCATACAACAGAATAAAACATCTGCTCATATGTCTATGGCTTGGCAATGAAAATATCAGAGCAACAGATTGGGGATGGTATTCCAAAGATGGTTTGTTATTACCCGTACGCATAAACAAACAACCTGCACTCGATGAACTTTTGAAAATTATTTTTTGCCAATGCAAAAAAGGATGCGGTGTTTTATGTGGGTGCAGAAAAGTTGGTTTATACTGTAACTCTACTTGTTCTGGGTGCTTAGGTGAAGGGTGCAATAATAGCCCACCAATAGTTGAAGATGAGGATGACATAGATCACGATGAAGATGTAATTGATGACGAATAAGATTAATATTATAATGGTTTTACCTATAAATGTAAATATTTTCAACTATTTATGTAAATGTATAAGAATATATGGTGCCTTTTTATGTTGATAAAAATTTTTTTGTATTTAATTCTACTTTTTTCAATTTATATCTTATAAATTAGTTTATAAAAACTGCAATGTTGTAAAGGGTGATTTTCAAAAGTTGAAAATTTGCAAAATTTTGGCAAAAAATTGTTTTCACCGATAGCCTCATAACAATTGATTTTTAAGGGTTGAAAATGTATGAATTTGTATTTTAAAGTATATAAAACTCACTATTTAACTAATCCTAACCAAATTTCACTCATCTTAAGATTTATAATATTATTTTACAATTTTTGAAAATTAGGGGTAGTTTTCACCCCTAAGAACAATCAGGGTTCATCGGCATGACATAAACTATAAAGCAGAGGGTGAGTTGAGCTTAATTCCAAATTTTTATGCAAATCGTTCCAAGGTGAAATCATTTTCTTCGCATTACTAATTTTTTTATATTAATCTCTAATAAGGGTCGCTTTTTAAGGGCTGAAATATGATGGAACTTTATTCAAAAGTACGAAACTATCATTATTTAATTAATTCAAACCAAATTTTACCCTTATTCAAGTTTAATATGTTATTTTATAATTTTTAACAATTAGGGGTAGTTTTCACCCCTAAGAACAATCAGGGTTCGTCGACATGACATAAACTATAAAGCAGCGGGTGAATTGAGCTTAAATCCAAATTTTTATCCAAATCGATCCAAGGCGAAATCATTTTTTTTAGAATTAGTAATTTTTTTACATTAATCTCTAACAAGGGTTGCTTTTTAAGGGTTGAAATATGATGGAACTCTATTCAAAAGTATAAAATAATTATTATGTAACTAATTCAAACCAAATCTTACCCATATTCAGGTTTAATATATTATTTTATAATTTTTGACAATTAGGGGTTGTTTTCACCCCTAAAACCCTTCAGCGCACTTCGGTTCGATATAGATTTTGATCCTTGGGCTATCACCTACCTTCTGTTAAAATTTCAACTGGATACATGTAGGACGAAAAAATTGCGAGGTTTTAACTTTTTTCGAGCTTAATTTCCTGAACTATTATCGTTTCCTTAGACAAACCCGTCTTACGCAAACAACATTGTTGTGAGACAGATAGTTGAACGATATTTTATACAATGTCTATACCCAGGTATGGATTTATTTTTGTCCAAGTTTTATATTGGTCCACTATTTCAAATGCAGTTCAAACAGACATGTATTAAATTGTATGTTCCGTTTTAATTTGGTTCAATCTGTATAGCTGAATATGATTATATTTTATATTACATGTAAGGGAAGAAGTTTATCAATTGTTAGTAAGGTATAAAGTATTTCTGAAAAAGTTGGCAACAAATGGGAAATTTCTTTATTATTAATTTCATGAGAAAAACTATTCTTTATAAAAATTTCTGCATTGCATAGAAATCAATCATCAATAATCAAATTTATAGAATTTTAAGTGGTATACAGCGAAAGTGATTTTAAATTTAGGTATAGAACAAAATGTCATTTTAGTTTGGTTGTAGGAATTAAAAATTATATTCAAATTTAGATTCATCGCCTTTTAATGATGTGTCAGTAGGTGCATTAATTTTTAATTTCATTTCTAATTTACCTTATTTTATATACAATATTTTTTTATTTACTGTTTACTTACAATGTGTAACGAATATTTTGCTTACCTCAGGGTAAGAACGTGGGGTAGAAGATGGGACAAACAAAATAAATCGAAACTAGTGCATACGGCACTCAGTGGGTTTTTGGAGAGCTGGGTCGTGGATAAGTTGAAATAAAATTGGGTCGGATTGGGGTATCTACTAAATGAAAACAAAGGGATACTTACATAAATCTCCTGGGTTAAAAACGAACAAGATATGGCAGACAAATTTACCTCTAGCTATTTTCTTTTTTTTTGTACGCCGCTTTGAAGAAAACTTCCTGCTGGAAAAAGAAAAAATTCTTCTTCCCTAAAATCTAAAATACATACAAGGATTAGGAGACTTTTCTAAATTAAAATACAAAATGGATCAGAGAAACAAATCCACTTCGAGTGTGGTGGAAATTGAAACGTCAATAAACTTACTTTTACCTTTAATTGTGGCTTATTCCCATTTAAATAGTAATTACTTTAAAATGCCACAAGAAAATAGCTTCAGAACAATATTGTATTTGTTTTCATTTGAAATGATTTTCAATTTTTTTAAAAATATTTTCCAAAATGTATTATTTAATAATGATATTGGTTTTTATACCATTGTCATTACAATAACTCCTTTACAATTATTTTGGATAAAAAGGGTGACAATATGAACTTAGATAATTACTGGCCAGTTTGTCTACTCAATCGTCTATACAAATTATACACTAGAATCATGATCAATCGATTGGAAATAAAATTCAAACTACATCTGCCAAGAGAACAGGCTAGCTTTGCTTCTAACATGGTACAAATGACCACTTGCAGTAGAATCTATAGAATATAGCAGGCTTTCGTTTGTGGACTTCCATAAAACGTTTGATACTATTGAACTACCCATCTTTAAAGGTACAGGAATAGTGTCGAATTGATCATAGGTACAATATTATAGAAAATATATATAGCAATGATAAAACAACTATAAAAGATACATATCAGGAGAGGTGCTCGACAGGGAGATACTATGTCACCAACGTTGTCACAACGTCACAACCCAAAAATTTAGTTCCGGGTACATATGACGCCGTCATATGTATATGAGTCAATGAGTATATAATTATGAGTATACACTTACTCTTACAAAGACATCTACAAGTAAATTACAAGTAACGCATCGTAGAATGGAAATATCATTGTCGAGCATAATGTTAAGATATACGGTAACAGTACAAGATCTCACTGCAGGATCACTACGTTCAAAACGTATTTCATCAAATTCACATTTTTACATACATTTAAAATTGGGAGAATACATTGATAATAGGTTACCAGTCGAAAAGTGGCCTCAAATATTTTTAATTCAGTTCATAGTATTTAGTTTTTGACAAATATTTTATTTCGTTCATTTATATTTTAAATAAAATAAGCTTCTCAAGACGTATATGCACGTTTTTGATATCAAATTAAAGCTAATTTTTTACTTAATATGATGATCCTAAGGTTGCCGAGAAAAATGGTCGAGAATTGACATTGCCAGCTGTTAAAAACCCGAGGTATCAAATATAAAATAAAATAGAGTTAGGCGCAACGACACTGGTTTGACAAGTGATTATATGCATATTATTATATATCTATCGACGCATGCTTCAAACACTCACACAACTGACACTTTAAACCAGTAGCGTTGCGCGCTAGCTGCTTTTTATTTTATCTTTGATAACTCGCGTTTTTAACAGGTGGCTACCATAATTTTCGACCATTTTTTTAATGGTTTATATAAAATATAAAAACCTATTAATGCCTATGTCATAAGTTACAATGATTTAAATCAGTACTTATTCATTAATATCAAATAACTTTTAGTGTATAAGAGAAGTTCTTCTCTTGGGCCATAGACAGGCATTCGCATGGATTGACGAATGGATAGAAATGAATATGGAGGATGTTAGAAAATATGAGTCACAACTACAATCGCAGACTAATTCTTTATTAAAACAGTCAGCAGGATCACCATCTGCATCAGGTATGTCAATCGCATGATTCAATCGAACTTGTTTCCATCTAATATAATTTTGATTTTCTGTTAAGCTTTTTTATATCTTAAATTAAATGACATTTAGCTCAACACCAACAATAATCGAAATAAAGCGACTAAAATAAATAAAGGCTTGAATGTTTCTATGCAAACATATTTTATCTATAAAATAAAGGATAAAACTCAATAATTTTTCTTTTTCATTTAATCCGGGTCTTTCTTTTTATTGCTATTTTCCTTTCTTTGTGTTAGTGCTTGTTCCTCTTTTATGATTTTTATTTTTCAACTTACAGTTAGAGATTACCTGTGCCCGATATACTGTTTTTTTTTCTCGCGATGTTAAGTAATTTTCACTTTTTTTATATAACTACTCTACACATTCATCCATTTACGTGGTTATACTGTTTTCTTTGCGTATGGTGTGGTACTATTAACTATTTAATCATTATTCCGTCAAGTGTGATTTCGTCTAATATTTTTTAAGTTATTTCCAGCATTCATTGTTTTACATTCGTTTTTTCATCGCGAGCTATTTGCCACTCAGAATCTGTAAGAAATCACATAACAGGACTTTTCATCAAAAAAATGGTATCAACCATTTGTTTCGAACAGACATTTTGTAAACAAACAGGTTAGGTTAATTATATAGATAATTATAATGTATGAAAAATACCAAAGCAAGTCTAGTTAGTGAAAAAATAAAGTCCCACAATTGGCAACTCAATTTTTTTAATCGATTATTATTACGATACCTCGAAGCGGTATTGTTATAAAATATATCGATGGTTTAAAGCACAAACATAGTATGTCCACTTTTTGCTGATTTAAAGATATCACCATAGACATATTCAGTAGGGTCATATGAATGTTCTGCACAATTATTGTAAGTCAAAAATGATTGTAAATACCTTAAACCGCCTTGCCTAAATATAGTATTTCCCATTTGTACTAAAAATCGACTTCACAGACATATTATGTCCGTTGGAAGTGCACAAACATAGTATGTTTTGGACATACAATATTAGTGCTCATATGATCAAACTTATTATGGCTGTAAATATTGTTTGTCCGGACATGCAATATTTGTGCTCTTTATGATTTGAAATCAAGCTGATAACGTTGTAACATAAATATATCATGTTTGTGCATAGTTTGCAAATAGTTTTCGTATGTCTGTCTCTTAATCAGTTATAACGACTTTCGGTAATCTAATAGCAGTTCTGTTTTTACGTTCGAATAATAAGGTAATACTGTTTTGTGTGATTAGTGAACTTAAAATAAGTAGTGATTTTATCAAAATGTCTAAACGTGCTAAACTTTTAGTGGAATTAGCAAAAAAAGGATGCGAAACAACAAGAACATCAGGTATCTATTGATTGCTTCTTTGTATACATAGGTACTGTATTTTTAAGAAAATGGGCCGTACTTACCTAATAACGACTACAATGCTACGTGATTTATTTTAGAAATTATTTAGGAAGAATGTACTAGAAGTATACTAAAGACATAAATAATTATTTTACCGGTTTAACCTTACTTCTTTGATAAATATTTTTATACTATTAGCTAAACATCTTGTTAGATCAATAATTTGTATAACAAAATAAATTTAGTTTTCGCGGTATCCCGTAATTACGTTAATTTTATATTTTGTTAGAGGTAACGTGTGACACTAGAGATAATCCGGCAATGGAAAGCTGCAAAGAAAATGAGGAAAGTTGTTTCCAAGTCTGTGATGACATCATGATTATTCCCTTTGGTAAGACCTGTGTTGGGTGTTTATATTAGTTAAATAATATTAGTATTTCTTTTTCTGTTTAGAGGAACTTGAACGAAATGAAGATAATTCCATTTATCATTCAACAACTAATTGTCTCATTGATAACATTTTTTCGGTGGAAGAAAACTGTATGAATACAATTGCACAGATTCAAAATGTTGTCCAGTTATCCAAACCCATAGAATATAATTCATACGGAGAAGATGCTGATGGTAACTTTTGTCAGTTTAAAAAATATATGCTTTATTTTGATATGTACTATTTTTTAGGAAAGTTTAGTCTACCTGAAAACTCACTAGCTGTTTCTGCACAGGAAACTTCTTGGTTACATTTGCAACAAGTCCAATCTGTTCCATATCTTCAATCAAATGAAGATATTTCTGTTATTACAAATACTGCTTTACAAGAAAACAATGAAGACCATAGTATTCCTCAAAATGAAGTGAAAGCCACTGAATATTTATCAGACCCTGATTTTATCCAAGCAGACTTAGACGTTTCAACTGACAATGACTTCGATAACCAAGCGAATGCTTCTCCATTGCCTTCAGAAACAAATTCTACTTTAATGAATATAGAGACAAAAACAAAAAAAAGCCGCAAACGTCATGCACAACCTGAAACATGGGAAAGGAATATTCGTAAACAAAAAAGAATGTGTGGTAAAAGTTATACAAATAGCAAAAAAGAAATTATTCCTGAAAAGCGTATTCAACATATTATTGACTGCTCAAGATGTAGATTTAAATGCTCAACAAAAATTCCTCCTGAACGTCAGAGTATTTTGCATCAAGAATATTGGGCACTGGCTGATTCTGATCGACAAAAGGGGCACTTGTGTTCTTTAGTTACAGAGAGAAATGTAGCTAGACACAGAAAACGTAACCCTGAAAGCAATATTTCAAAATCAACATCGCGTGTTTACACATTATGTGACACCAGTGGGGAAACACAGAGAGTGTGTCTCAAATTTTTTTGTGCAACGTTTAGTATTAGCTTTCAGGTAGTTGATTTGGCATTAAAAAAACGTGGTCCAGGAGGGGCTTACGTAGGTTGCGATGGGCGAAAAGGGAAAGTTCCAGCTAACATTACACCCGACGCAGCTAAAAATCACGTGACAATTCATATAGACAGTTTTCCTAAAATGGAATCGCATTATAGTCGTCGCGATACAAAGAAACTTTATTTATCTTCTGACTTAAACCTTTCTATTATGTACAGATTGTACAAAGATGAATATTGCTCTAAGGAAAAAATTATACCCGTTTCCATAAACGTTTATAGATCCATTTTTAAGAAGTATGATCCTCAGCTATCGTTTCATATTCCCAAAAAAGATCAATGTTCTACTTGCAACGTTTATTATAATGCCTCAGACAAATCTTCTTTGGAAAATAATTGGAATCTCCATAAGCAAAGGGAAGAAGAAGCCATGACAATGAAAAAAGCAGACAAGCAGAAAGCTATTGAAGTAAAAGGAGTCAATTATAGAGCGATCACGTTTGACTTAGAAGCAATTTTGACAGTGCCGTTTTCTGCAGATTCTCAGATTTACTACAAACGGAAACTTTCAGTTTTTAATTTTACCATTTATGATTCATTTGATCAAAGTGGTCACTGCTATGTCTGGGATGAAACCGAGGGTTCCAAAGGTGCCTCAGAGATAGGCACATGCCTTTTAAAATATCTGTATAGTTTGCCAGAAACCGTTGAACATGTAGCCACTTTCTCAGACACATGTGGTGGGCAAAACCGCAACCAGTTTGTTTGTGCTGCAATGCTATACGCTGTTGCAAAAATTGATAATCTTAAAACGATCGACCTTAAGTTTATGGAATCTGGCCATTCTTATTTAGAAGCTGACTCAATTCATGCAACAATTGAGCATGCTCGTAAGCACAAAAAGATATTCACCACCGAAGAATGGGCACTTTTGATTAGCATGGCAAGACACAAACCAAAACCCTATGACGTACATAAACTCAACCATTCAGATTTTTATGACCTGCAGAATCTTGCATCACTTATAATGCAAAATAGGAAAACTAATGCGTTAGGTGATCCAATAAAATGGCTTCAGGTTAAGTGGTTCCGGTTTCAAAAAACAAGGCCATTTGTTATTCAATATAAATATTCATTGACTGATGAACATTTTTTAGAGTTTGATGTCATACAAAACAAAAGACATACTAAACAAGTTACACAAGTTACATGGACAGATGTCAAGCTAAAATCCAAATATCAAAAAAGACTTTTCATATCTGAGCAAAAAAAGAAAGACTTGTTGTATTTACTAAATAAGGAGATTATACCAGCAGTTTATAAAACGTATGTGGAAAGTCTTCCTACATAAAAAAAAACAAAAGATCTTGTACCTTGGCGGACCCCTGAAGATGAAGAAGATGATTACGAATAAAATATATTACTTTTGTGTTCTACCTACTATTTTTTAACAAATAAAGCATAAAATAAAAGAGAACTTTAACAAATTCATTATTTTAAATCTAGGTTACATGTTGTATGTCCAAACAGTAAGAACCATTATGTTGTATGTCCATACAAATTTTCAAAAAATAGATTTTTTAACCTAATAACATATAATATTTTGAAAATTATCTACATTAAGCTAATAATGATAACCGAAATTATTACACAAAAATTATAATATATCAATATATTACCAGTACCAATCAAAAAATAAAGCGAAAACTTCAAAACGTTTTTCTCAACAATTAAGATATTTGGACATACTATATCTGTGTTTTAAACCATCGATATAATTCTTTATTAAATAAAAAATATTTATTTAATAAATATTTCTTATAAATTTATAAACCAGTCCGTATGACGTACAATATATATTATACGTTATTGTTAAATCTGTCTGTACGAAAAACATGGCGGCCGATGAAAAGTCCTATTTTATTAATTTGGTTTATTCATCCAACAATACTTAACAATAAGTGACACCAGGTGTCTTTCTATCTTATACTGATTTCATATTGCCTGTGATTTATTAACTCATTGTAGTTTTTATACGGGTTTTCTTATACATCTATTATTTCTACATCTTTTAAATCTCAAACTCTTGGAATCTCCATTCAAAAAGAATAATAGAAGTTACTGCAAAAACTACAGAGGCCCTAGTTTACTAAACACCATATATACAATCTATACAAAGATCCTAAACACTAGACTGTACTTTCCGCCTTTGTATAAATTAGGCATTAAAGTTTCAGGTCCAGAAACGTCGTTAGTGGGCGTTGATGGAGGAGGCGATGGAATACAGGATAAAACTCTATTAGGAACAACACCACCAGAAACACCAAAGACCCCGACAAAAAAGGGATATTTCTCGAATTGGTTTTAAATTGTACTTGTTAAAGATGTAGTTACTCATTGTGCAATGTTATTTTATTCTGTTGTACATTTTTTTTTAGCTAATTTATTAATAAAGTTTTCAATAATTTTTATAACTTTATTTCTTAGGACTGTAGTGATGCAGCAAAAGTTCATGGTCTCCTAGTTTTTTAGAAATGCTTTTTTATTTGAAAGCTTATTTAGAGTTGAAGGTAAAAACGTGAAGATAATATGGTATAAAAACTAACTGTGGATGACATAAAATGGGAATGGGTTGGAAATGGAACTTTCAAACGAGAAAAGTCTAGAAATATGGACCCAAAAAACGGCATATAGTAGTGGAAAAAGAAAAAGACGAGACTAAATAATGCAAGATGAAATGTACGAGGAGTATACAAGAAGGAAGCATTAATTAATCTAATGAAGAACTTAAAAAATATAAAATACACATCATAGCAAATATCAATATAAGAAACCATTAAGAAACACATTTGACTGGAAACAACAATGAAAACATTAGTCCTTACACGTTTTATACAAGGAGAGGCGATAATAGGAATTTTGGAGTGGCACATGGTACATGAAGACGTGGAGCGGTTTAAACGATTTGTAGCAAAATCTGACAGAATAAGCCACAATTGAAGGTTAAAGTAAGATTATTGACGTTTCAATTTCCACTTCGGAAACCGTTCTCGTGTATTGATTTGAAATCGATAGAATTTCGATAGAATACTATTATTACAAATACAGGGTAAGTGAACATTAATGTAGTACAAGTGTATGCTATGACACTACAACTTCAGTCAAATAAACAAATTATAAATATTATACAAGTATATGCTCCTACGGCTGATAAAGATGATGAAATTGAAAGTTTCTATTACGATCTGGAACAAATTCTAAAATAAATGAAGAAACATCATACTACAGTAGTAATGGGCGATTTTAATGCCAAAATTGGACATGGATGTGTGGACGGTTATGTGGGTGACTATGGATTAGGAGAACGAAACGAACGAGGAGACCGTATGGTACAATTTTGTCAAGCGGAGGTACCTAACAGACGACTGTACACATGGAAATCTCCGAGTGACACCAAAGGTAGAGTAGTCAGAAACCAAATTGACTTTGTCCTTGTTAGTCAAAGATTCCGCAACTCTATACTCTCAGCTAAAACCTACTTAGGAGCAGATATAGGCTCGGATCACAATGCTGTAGTAGTCACATTAAGAATAAAACTAAAGATCATTAAAAAACACATACAGAAACAAATTGACGTGAGAAGACTGAATGAACAACATATAAAAGAGAAAACAATAGTGAACATCAAAGAAAATTTACAAAATATACAGAAACTGAATAGAAATAGTGATAACATAGACCAAAAATGGGAGAATATTAAACATGCCGTAATGTTGGCAGGGAGAGGAAATTTAACACCGAAAGAAAGGAAACATAAAGAATCGATGAATGAGGAAATACTACAGCTGATGCGTGAAAGAAGGGTACACAAAACAAATAATCCGATAAGATACAAAGAAACAGATAAATTGATAAAAAAGAAAATAAGAGAAGCTAGAGAAAGATGGCTAAGTGAACAATGCCAGGAGTTGGAACAATTGGAGCGAAAATATGACTTTTTTAATGTACACAAAAATATTAAAGAAATGACAGGAAGGAGAAGAACAACAGAGACAGGACAGATCAAAGATACAGATGGTATAATTATAACAGATTTACAACAAAAAATGAACCGATGGACAGAATACATATCACAACTGTTTGATGACAAAGATAGACAAGAAATCTCAAACGAATAGACAGATGATACAGGGCCTGATATAATCAGAGAAGAAATAGAATATGCAATCAAACAAGCAAAAAGTGGTAAGGCCCCCGGTCCTGATGAAATTCCCGTAAAACTGCTCAAACTTATGGACGATGAATCTATTAAAATACTCCTAGATCTATTTAACACAATATATAGAACTGGAATAATACCTAGGGAATGGCTCCGTTCGACCTTTATACTACTGCCAAAAAAGGCAAATACAAAGGAATGCAACGAATATCGTACGATAGCTTTGATGAGTCATGCTCTAAAACTGTTCTTAAAAATAATCCATAATAGGATCTATAGGAAATTAGACGTAGACATCAGTAACACTCAGATGGGATTCAGAAAAGGGCTGGGTACAAGGGAGGCTCTGTTTGCAATGAACGTTCTTTCACAGAGATGCTTAGACATGAATCAAGAAATTTACGCCTGCTTTATTGATTTCGAAAAGGCCTTTGACAAAGTACAACATGAACCGCTAAGACAAGTTCTAATAAAGAAAAATATAGACAGCCGAGATATTCGAATTATATGCAATCTATATTGGAATCAAACAGCAAATGTCAAGGTTGAGGGCAGACTAACAGAAGAAATTCAAATCCATCGAGGAGTCCGGCAGGGATGTATCTTATCGCCACTTTTATTTAATCTGTATAGTGAAGCTATCTGTGAACAAGCACTCGAGGAAGAAGATCTTGGTCTGATAATAAATGTTGAGACAGACGATCAACAATATAAGGTATGTTGACGATACAGTTCTCCTAACGGGAACGCTAGTAGAACTACAACATCTCGTTCAAAGTCTCAATATATACTGTAACAGTTACGGCTTGAAAATTAATTTGAAAAAAACTAAATTTATGGTAATCACGAAATCAAAGAACATCAGATCTAATCTTGTAATAGACAATACAACGATTGAGCGTGTGCCCTGTTATAAATATCTAGTTGCTTGGATCACAGACGATACTGATCAAACAAAAGAGATTAGATGTAGAATAGAAATCGCTAGATCAGTCTTTAATAGAATCCGCAAACTCTTTTGCAATCGTGATATCAATATAAAGTTGCGAATACGAATGCTGCGGTGTTATGTCTTTTCTACCCTGTTATATGGAGTTGAGGCTTGGACACTAAAACAGTTGACCATAAAAAAACATCGAAGCTTTTGAGATATGGTGCTATAGGCGCATTCACAGAATATCATGGATGGACCACGTCACTAACACGCAAGTACTCCAAACTTTAGACAAAAGATGCGAAATTCTAAATGAGATAAAAACTAGAAAGATGGAATACTTGGGGCACATTGTGAGAGGTGAAAAGTACGAACTTTTAAGAAACATCATGCAGGGCACAATTAAGGGCAAAATAAGTGTGGGAAGAAGAAAAATATCGTGGCTTCGTAATCTACGTGAATGGTACGGGTGTAGTTCGATTGAACTTTTTAGGCGCGCTGCTAACAAAGTCGCAGTGGCCATGATGATTTCCAATCTCCGCTAGGAGTGGCACGAGAAGAAGAAGTGTATGCTCCAACTGCAGATAAATCAGAAGCTGAAATAGAACATTTTTATGAACAACTCAAACAACTTCTACAATTCACAAGAAAGGAAAAAATTACTATAATAATTGGTGATTTAAATGCAAAGATAGAAAAAGGCCGAGTCGACAATATAATAGCCGATTATGGTTTAGGAATAAGGAATGCTAGAGGCGACAGATTGGCTCAATTTTGTCAAGAAGAGAACCTGGCGATTATGAATACATGGTTTCGATTAGTTACCCCGTATACTGTAAAAGTTGTCTTAAAACCGAAACTGAGGGTAAAAAAAAGAAAAATCCAAAAGTTCTGTGAATACTCAGTTATTCAAGATTAATGAAATCCGTGCCGAGGCTTCAACTTGTATCAATCAAGAAATGAGGAAATTAACATCAGAAATGAAAAACACTGAGAATGTGGACATTATGTGGAACAAAATCAAAGATTCTGTTATAAAAAAGAAAGAAACTCTACAAAAGAAAACAGAAAGTTGAAAATTCGGATGACTCAAGAAATACTGGAAATCATGGAACAAAGAGGTTATTGGAATGGAGGCCAAGGAAAGACAAGAGAAGCGTCGGTCGACCACCTACAAGATAGACTGACGATTTGAGAAGACTCAATAAAAACTGGATAAGAGCGGCGCAAGATAGACGGGGCTGGAAACACGAGGAAGAGGCCTATGTTCAGCAGTGGACTCTTGAGGCTGGATGATGATGATGGAACAAAGAATAAAATATAGAAACAAAACCCAAATAAGTGCAGAGAAAGACATAAATTAATAAGAATCAAAATAAAAGAGGCTTAGGAAAAGTGGATGATGGAAGGAAACAGGCATCGAAGTGAAAGAATTGCAGAAACAGCCTGATCATTATAATTTGCATAAAAAAGTGAAAGAATTATCTGAAAAATCACGAACAAATACACCTAACCGATTAATTGACAAAATCAATAAACCAATTAGTAAACCAGTTGAAATAAAATAAGTATGGACTAAATATATTGAAGATCTTTTCATGGACACAAGAATGGAACCAACACAAATTGATAACGAGGAAGTTCCAATAATATTAAAATCTGAAGTCCAACATGCTATGTCTCAACTCTCTCCAACAACTCAAAATCTGACAGAGCCGCTGGGCCAGATGAAATTCATATCGAGCTGATTAAACTTATAGACGAAGACAATTTAAGTGCAATAAATATACTCTTTAACAACATATACAAATCTGGTATTGTTGTATTGTTGCGTTGTGCATTTTTTTCTTGTTTTGTTACCCGAGAAAAGAAAAGTGTTGATGAATAATCAAAAATTAGAACTCATAAGTTAAATTGAAAACTGTGCTTCCTGTAAACCTATGTGCCTTCAGTACGGTATCGGTGAGTCGACAATGTCGACGAAAAGAAGAATAATGAGAACCTCGACTTACGAAGAATTACAGACGGCGTTAGTAGAATGGAGAGAACAAGTTCGTAACATGGGTATACCCATATCAGGTCCAATAATTGCTGTAAAAGCAAAACAGTTTTTGGACGTAAAAAACTATAGAGTTGGGCTTGGAAGGGGATTTTGATGCATTTTCTGCTTGGTTGACTCGTTTTAAGCAACGCCATGAGATAAGGGAGTTAGTGCTTTAGACAGAAGCTCGTCGGTGATCAACAGGGAGCTAGGGACATTAAAAGTTAGTTAGGAGAGTTCCTTTCTTTAAATGATCTGAACTATGAACAAATTTAT